AACAAAGATGACGACAAAAGAGTGATTTAGTAGTTATAAATGAGATTTTCATGGAATAAAACAGAAATTTTTTCTAATAACAAAACACTCATACCTGATTCCACTGAATCAAGAGGTTAATAAAAGATTCAAATTTAAAAATCTGAAAATAAGGAACAAAGGTCGGGATATGTATAATTTTTTTTTTTTACTAATTAATTTTTTTTCGAGTAAATAGAATTGTATTCTTTAAAAAATGTGAAGTTTTTGAATTAAACTGAATAAAGATTTAAAAAACAAAGATAACGACAAAGAGTGATTAAGTAGTTATAAATCAATGAATATCCCATTTTTTAACAGTTATTTCATGGAATAAAACAGTCATTTGTTTTAATAACAATGAATATCCTGTTTTTTTTTTCAAAAAACGTAAAGATTTGAATTAAACTGAATAAAGGTTAAAAAAACGATTAGATTACATGATCAACATCAATTATTTAAAAAACAAAGATAACGACAAAGAGTGATTTAGTAGTTATAAATCAATGAATAAGCAATCTTGACCATTGATTTAAAGTAACAAATCCTGTCAATTGAAAATATAATTCTTTTTTGTATTTATTATATTCACCGATTTACCATTAAAGGAAACTTTTTTAAATGTTGTAGTGTGAACACATTGGTGAAATTGAACCACAGTGCGACACGTTAGCAAGGTTTCCACAGAATGGAATTCCTTTATAATATAAGATAAGATACTTTTTACTATCTTTATTTTATAATCTTTTAATTTACTTATTATTTTTATTTGTTTTGGGTTTTATTTTCTTTTTGTTATTAAACATGATATATTTTTTTAAAATAAAATATCTTTTGGGTCCTTACTAAAAATTATGGGCCCAATTTAATAATTTAGAAAAAAAATCGACTCGTGATATCTTTGAATTCAAAATAGACCTATATTAATTCTTTTGAAAGACTAACGTGAATCTTCTTTGAATTTCAGAAGGACCACAATTTTGATTAATCAAATTTATTTTAAAATTCAAATGCACCACGAGTCGATTTTTTTCCATAAGAAATTAAATTGTGCGCGTGATTTTTGTTGATAATCCAAATGATATTTTTTTTTTTATTATTATTTAAAGAAAGAGGAGTCTGAACCCATAACCCCTCACTTAACCGTCATCCCTCCTTCACCGACTATCAAAAACCTATCTCTAGTCAATCAATTTATTTATCTTCAGATAACCCCACGTGAACATGTTCAGGATACTAGGGAAAGGATAAGAAAAGCAGGGGAGCACTAGTGAAGTTGAAATCATCATCAACTTCCAGGGTTATCGTGCAATTTCAATTTTTAATTTATATGTGTTGTTTAACAATTGTAGGCGCACATCTCTTTAATCTAGATTCCTAATATTATATTGCGTTGATTAGCTATTGAAAGTAGATTCCAAATAGTCAAATACTATATAGTGGTTTGTCACTGTATCAATGTAAGATGAATAATTTTTTTATTTTCTTGGTCGAATACATCAGCTCACCACGTGCTTTAACAGGTTTTTAATAAAGAAATTTGGTTGCAATCTTGCTAGGGGTGTCAATATAGGTTTTGACACGCGGGTCGATCTGTGACACGACACGAAAATTCGTATTTGGGTTGACCCGCAAAAAAATCCGTGTTGTGTTCGTATTGAAAAAATGACACGTAAAAAATTCGTGTCGTGTTCGTGTTGATGTATTCGTGTTCGTGTCGACCCGTATTTTTTTTAAATTATTTTATTTTAATTTTTTATTATTATTTTTTTAATATCGATCCATTTTTTTAAATTTTTTTTGTCAATTTTCACTCTAGTTCGCCACAAGGGATGAAAGCAAAAAGGAAATAACCACTAGTCCAACACCCACGAAAAAAGAATAGGCTCCTTCGGAACAGAATACGTTGTTCCCGAAGAAGCTGTTTTCAACGCTAACTCAAAATGGAATAAATAAGATCGGACAATTCTTCACCTTCAGCTTAGATTCCCATGAGGACGATTTCCGCCTCTAGTAAGAAGGAGATCAGACATGATCAATGCCTTTCCATTCCGTTCTTACTATATCATGGGCAGTTGGGTTGGAGTGTGATGGTTCGAGAGTGGTTTCAAAAATCCTCGCATCCATGGCCTTGTGTTAGAAATGTCTCGCGGGACTGAGTTAGTGGTCGAGTCGTTTTTGGTAATTGACACCCGTCGCATAAGTTTCAATTCATATGTTACCATTCATAGTGAAGTAGCCCTCTTTTTGATGTCTTAGTGCCTTATTCTATCTATCAAAGTCCTTCTTTGTCTATAGCTCGGGCTCCTATCAAGCTTCCCCCCATGGTCTGCTTTTGATTTTCTCGAACAGTGCCGGCCCGCATCAGGGACTCTCGTGCGAGCCATACAACGTTCCCAGGCAGGAACTGCTCCTTTCCTTGAGCTCCCTATTTAGTTCCTCCCATCCCAGGCGTTGATCTCGCAACGGCCCTCCAGCATGTCCTCATATCGCGTCCGTCACCACTGCTGCGCATCCCCAGATAGATACATTGTTGCCATTGTGACTTGGTCGTCAAAAGGGGCACAAACAGAAAGTACTAATCCCTATTTTGCGTGTTATTCGTGTCGTGTCGTGTCAACCCGCAAAAAATTCGTATCGTGTCAGTGTTGAAGATTTTGACACGAATAAAAATCCGTATCGTGTTAGTGTTGATGTATTCGTGTCGTGTCGAATTCGTGTCGTGTCGACCCGTTTCGACACCCTTACTTCTTGCATGCACGATAGAACTTTTCGCTTATTGTTGTGTCCCACTAATCCATTGTTTATTTTTATCTATCGAAATTAATTTCGGGTCGTTACACCTTTCGTTAGTTTTTTGTGAAGCTGATTTCCTGTTAATTTATGCAGAATTTACCCAGTTGCAAATGTGAAATCTAAATGGAGAATTATTGATTAAGTTACTCTGTTAATGATGCACTTATAAGAAGAATAAAATATACATGTTGATTAAGTTTCTAATAAGGATGAATTTGGATAAAAAAATATATAAGGATATAAATGATAAAAATATATATAAGGTTGAAAGTGATTCAAAGGCAAACAATAAGGGTATTTGAATTTTTTTCTATATTTTTATGTCATTTTTGTAATTAATTATTTAATTATCAATTAGTATTTTTTATTTATAATGTAATAATGAAGGATATTGTATTATTCATTCAAAATTTTGAATAAATAAATATTAATATTTCTTAAATTTAGTCAATTTAAAATTGTTATGACTTTATTTAGAATCTTCTATTTTCATTTTCTTTCGAAAAAAGTTAATTTATTCTTTTCTCAAAGAATCAGAATAATTACTTCTGATTTGAGATACGAGTTCCTTATTTATTTTATGTGATATAATTTTTTGAAATATAATATTACTGCAGATAAGTTATCTGCAGTAAGTTCAATACGACGTCGTTTTGAGACGAAAATCATAGTGTTTTTGTAATTTTAATTTATTTCAAGATTATAATAATCTTTATATTTATTATTTTTTAAGATTTAAATACGAAAAACGACATTGTTTTGGTAATAAATGCAGATAACTTATCTGCATTAACTGCAGAAATATTTTTCCCTAAAATCAATTATTTCATTGGTACATGTGACTTTTAACATTCAAATCTATTTATTTTTATTTGTGTTTATAATAACTATTAAATGTTTAAATTATTTATTTTAAAATTAAATAGCCGAATTTTATTATGATTAATGTTACTTTATTCTTAATTGTTAATTTATTTACCGATTTATAATTCTCCATTAATATGAAATAAAATTATTTCTATCAACTGCCAAATTATATTATTTTGAAAATGGGGAAATTAATGAAGAATTTTTGGTAAAATTTATGTATAAAAAATAAATTAAAATTTTCAAAATACTTTTCATTAATTTCTCAGCCCAAAAGGAAATAAATCTTTAGTAGTCCAGTTGTATATATATCGCATCAATAAATTGTGACATATCAATGGACGAGTTTCTAAAGACAGAGATTTTTTTTTTAAAATTCACACTACTAATTAGGAATAAATCTTTGGTGTATCATAAGATCCAATGTGTCTATCCAATTATTTTGTAACATGCATAAAAAAATATCACATTATTTGTTTTTTAGATAATATAATATTTTTTTATCTACTTGTGATAAATGGGGAAATTAATGAAGAATTTTTGGTAAAATTTATATATAAAAAATAAATTAAAAATTTCAAAATATTTTTCATTAATTTCTCAATCCAAAAGGAAATAAATCTTTAGTAGTCCAGTTTCTAAAGACAGAGATTTTTTTTTTTTTTTTAATTCACACTGCTAATTAGGAATAAATCTTTAGGATATCATAAGATTCAATGTATTTATCCTATTATTTTGTAACAGTGGATAAAAAGAATATCATATTATTTATTTTTTAAATAATATGATATTTTTTAGGGTTTGATGTTTGTCATTTAAAATGACATAAGTTATGTCATTTTAAGATAGAGATAGACACAGAGAATGAAAATCATGAGGGAGAGAAAGTGAGTGATTTTTTTTAATTTAAATTTTAAATAAAAAATAAAATTATATGTCTATCTCTCTTTTAAAATAACATAAATTTTTATCATTTAAAATAACAAACAATCGTCCCCATTTTTTTTTATCTACACGAGATAAATGGATAGATGCTGAGTCAATGCATATGCTATACTAAATGGATAGATGCTGGGTCACTGCATATGCTATACTAAATAAAGATTTATCCATAAACCAGCTGTTAATTTTTATTTTTATTTATACGACGGTTATAAATAGGTTTGTTTAAGTTTTCGCAATGAGACCTAATTCAATCAAATCCCACTACTGTGATAAACCCTAATCCGTCATCGTCTTTCTCCATCACCGAAAAATTTACATCCTTTGATCATAATTTGCAGTAATCGCACAGGCCTGCCTGCCTCCAGGAATCAATTATGGGATCCTCTTACGAACGTGATTTGAAAGAGCAAGAACTTGCATTGCTTCGAAAATCGATTGAGGAGTGTCGCGTTAAGAGAGAAGCACAAGAGCAGAGATTGCATTCCCTAGAGATACACATCGAGGAGCGTTCCAAAGCGTTTGAGACTAAGGACAAACAAGTTAGTTCTATCAAACGACAATTGAGCTTGTTTTGTGGAGATATCGATGCGAAAGAGAGAGAATACGATGCTATTCGAAGACGAGTGGAAGAACGTAACAGAGAGTTTGAAGCAAAGGAAGAGAAACTCAAGTTGATACAGAAGCACATTAGCGAGTGTGAGATGCAGCTGCGGTTGAAGGAGGAAGCGTGTAACTGGCAACATGATATGGCGCACCAGGTGATCATTGAGCGCGACAAAATGCAGATGGAAATTGAAGAATGTGTCAACAATCTCAGAGCGAAGCAAGGACGGCTAGTTTTGATTGAGGACTTGATTAGAGAGCGCGAGCAAGAGCTCATGGCGAAAGATATGGATTTTCATCAATTCCTGGATAACATTCATAGAGATAGTGAAGCGAAGAAAGATGAACTCAGGGCTCTATCAGAGAAAATTGTTGAATGTAATATGGAGCTTAGGACGAAAGAGGAAGAGCTTGATGCAATGAAGAGATTAATTAATGGAAAAGGTAACCAACTAGATTTTAAAAGGAAGGACTTAATTAAGTCCATGCGTGTAAGAATCAATCAGCTTGTTCGTGAGCTTGGATCAAAGAGGAAAGAGATTGATACTCTCACATGGATGATGAGAGAAAGCAATTTGGAGATTGAAAAGAAAGAGAAGAAGCTTGAAGGAGTGAAGGACCTTGAGTCAATGAAGAAGCAACACGAAGGGCAAGTGAAAAAGCTCGAGTCGAAAGAGAAGCAATATGAAGGGCAAGTGAAGGAGCTGGCTTCGAAAGAGAAGCAATTTAAAGAACGATCGAATGAGCTGGCTTTGAAAGAGAAGCAATTTAAAGAACGTTCATTAAGTTGTTTCTCTTTTGAAGAGAGCTCGTTTGTTAAGTTGCTTCTCTTTTGAAGAGCTCGATCGTTCTTTAAATTGCTTCTCTTTTCTTTGAAAGAGAAGAGAAGATCGAAAGCTCTCTTCAAAAGAAAGAACGACTGAATGATCAAAAGAGAAGCAATATGAGCTGAAGGAGCTTGAAGGAGAAGCAATTTAAAGAACGTTCAAAGAGAAGCAACTTAACAAACGATCGAATGAGCTCTCTTGGCAAAAGAGAAGCAACTTAATGAACGACTGAATGAGCTTTCTTCAAAAGAGAAGCAATATGGAGACCAAGTGAAGGAGCTCAAGTCAAAAGAGAGACAATTCGAAGAACAAGTGAAGGAGCTTGAATCAAAAGAAAAGCGAACTGAAGGACGAGAAGATGGGCTTAAGTTAAAAGAGAAGCAACTTGAAGGGCTAGAGCTGGAGCTCAAGTCAAGGGAGAAGCAATTTCAAGGTGAAGTGAAGGAGCTTGAATCAAAACGGAAGCATTTTGAAGGCCAAGTAAAGGAGCTTGAATCAAGAGAGAAGCAATTTGAAGGGCGAGTAAAGGTGCACGAGTCAAAAGAGATTAAGTTTGAAGTGCGAGTGAAGAAGTTCGAGTCAAAAGAGAAACAGTTTGGAGTTCAAGAAAAGGAGCTTGAATCAAAACAAAAGCATTTTGAAGGCCAAGTAGAGGAGCTCAAGTCAAGAGAGAAGCAACTACATGGTCAAGTGAAGGAGCTTGAATCAAAACTGAAGCATTTTGAAGACCAAGTAAAGGAGTTCAAGTCAAAAGAGAAGCAGTTTCAAGGTCAAGTGAAGGAGCTTGAATCAAAACGGAAGCATGTTGAAGGTCACGTAAAGGAGCTGGAGTCAAAAGAGAAGCAGTTTCAAGGTCAACTGCAAGAGCTTGAATCTATACAGAAGCATATTGAAGGCCAAGTAAAGGAGCTCGAGTCAAAAGTGAAGCAATTTCAAGGTCAAGTGAACGAGCTTGAATCAATACAGAAGCATTTTGAAGGCCAAGTAAAGGAGTTTGATTCAAAAGAGAAGCAATTTCAAGGTCAAGTGAAGGAGCTTGAATCAAAACAGAAGCATTTTGAAGGCCAAGTAAAGGAGCTTGAGTCAAAAGAGAAGCAGTTTCAAGGCCAAGTAAAGGAGTTTGACTCAAAAGAGAAGCAGTTTCAAGGTCAAGTGAAGGAATTTGAATCAAAACAAAAGCATTTTGAAGGCCAAGTAAAGGAACTTGAGTCAAAAGAGAAGCTGTTTGTAGGCCAAATGAAGGATCTTGAGTCCAAAAAGAATCAATTTGAAGGGCAAGTGACGGAACTTGACTTGAAAGAGGCACAATTTATAGTGAAACTAAAGGAGCTCGAGTCAAAAGAGAGACAGTTTGAAGGACAACTAAGGGAACTTGATTTAAAAGAGAAGCAATATGAATCATTTGAAGAGGAAAAAGTGTTGATCAAGAAGTCCAATATCCTCCTTCATCAAGTAGAGACTGAGCAGCTGTATTTTAAAGATGCTGACAGTGTAAGCAACAGCAAGGATTTACAATTGCTTTTTAATCTTCTGAAAAAATATGAGTTGCTGTGTAGTCAAGTCTCTGATGTTCTTCACACATCAGCTGACCCTGCTAAGTTGGTGCTAGATACAATAAAAGGTTTTCATTCTCCTCAATTGAGGCAAGAACTTACTGAATATGATGCAAATATTTTAAGGAGAATATGCAGTAGTTTTTTGATGGATGAATTAAAGAAGTCTTCACCAGTAACTAGTTTGCATGTGAAACAAGAAGCTATGAAATTGGCAAGTGACTGGAAGGTGAATATAGCTGCAGGTGATAAGGATTGTTTGGGGGTCCTAGATTTTTTGAAGTTTGTTGCTACTTATGAGATTGGTTCATCTTTCAATGAAAATGAACTTCAGAATCTTCTAGACATAATTGCCCACCATTGTCAGACTCCACAAGCCCTTGGTTGTATTGAAAAACTACAAGGTATATGCACTTCTTTCTCTAGTTTGTTGGAACAATTTTCATCTCAACTGTTGCCTTTAATTATACTGATATTTTTTATTCACCTGATCTGTGTTTTGTTGAAATTCTCTGTAGTCAGGTTAATGTTGTATATCTTGATCAAATTGAAAGAATAGTTAGGTATATAAATATCTTTAATGATTTGTTGTCCAAGTGACTAGAATTATATTGTGGACCTTTTTAAACAGTTGTAGAAACTCTTACTTTGCATCCTTCATTAAGTCGATTTTAATAAATTAATGTAGTCCATTCTTAAACTATATTCGAAATGGTGTGTGGCTTACAAGTTACAACATTTGTTCAGTTTCCTGACAAACAATGGGGGCACTTAATAGTCCTTAAGATCAAAGAGAAGAAATTCAGTAAATGTTAATCTCTGACTAGTTAGCAAAAGAGCCTTCATATATACCAATACATTTCTGTCCACAAGGATTTTTTATTTTATTTTTTGGGGCATAATATAGCAGCATTTCTAGGTTAACATTTTCCTAATAACTTCTGTAGCACCTAATGTCAAATGGCACTAATTCAGTTGACCTCAACCGTATGATTAGGGATGTGCATGGGTCGAACCAAACCGAATTTTGCAGATATTATTATAAAACGGCTTTCCTTCTGTCACCCATGCATATCAATCTTGGAGAGCTTTGCATACTTTCATATTGCTTTCTATGATCATTATTTTCCAATTGTCACCTTGATTTTCTGATGCTTTTATAAACATGAGGAAGCTTAAATATCTGCTAGCTAAATATTCAGTTTTGTCTTACACAGATAATCAAATAAGTCCGACCATTGATGGAAGAGATTTGCAGTTGCTCTCTGATGAGCAAACAAATGAGTCTGAGTTGATTGACAACGAAATTTCTGTTCATCTCCAAACATCATTAGATCCAGCAAAACTCGTTTTGGATATAATACAGAACCCTATTGTTCCACAGAATAGGGAGGGAAACGAAGGTGTAATGATTGACGGGAGTCACATCTTTCTTTTAGAACAGCTGATGAGAATGTCACCACGTATTGAACCTCATGTAAGAGAAGAGGCAGTGAAGCTAGCACTTGATTTGAGAGAAGAGGCAATGAAGCTAGCACTTGATTTGAAAGCTAACATGAGAGCTAATACTGAAAATTCTTTGGTGGTTTTGGGTTTTCTACTGCTCTTGTCTGTTTATGGATTAGTTTCTTATTTTAATGAAGATGAAGTTTTAAAGCTTTTTGAATTTGCTGCACAACACAAGCAAGCTGTTTCGCTGTTTCGGACCCTTGGTTTTGTGGATAAAATCTCTGGTATGTTTATTAACAATTGTCTTATTTAGTCACCTGTAGCCCTGTTTTTTCTTTTCTTTTTGGGTGTAGATAATTGAGGGGATTTTTTTTTTTAAAATATATATTAAAAATGTTATCGAAAAATAAAATAAGACAGCTATATGAATTTTCTAAATCTAAGATTTGCTTTTTGTTTTTCCTTCCCTAACAACTTTTGGATACCATTTGCCTGTATTTTTTTTTTGCCTTGAACTAGTCACTACGAGCATGTCCTAATTCTTCTGCTGATTTTTCTGATGTAATATACCATAGGATTTTTCTGCTTTGATTTGACAAAGTGAAATTGTCTTGTGTCTCGCAGATTTTGTTCAGAATCTTGTCCAGAACCAGCAGCATATTGAAGCTGTTAGATTCATTTGTGCATATAAGTTGGCTTACAAGATCCAACCAGTTGATCTATTGCGACAACATATGCTGAAAGCTAAACTGATTTCCAAGAGAATTTGCCGTAAAAAAAAGTCCATTGAAAAAAAGGTTCCTTTTGCCTATTCAAATTCTATTTCATTAAGTTATTAGTCATCATATAATTGCATTCTAGTAATATGTTGAACGTGAACTCAGGTTATGGGCAGAGATAAAGAAATTGCTAGTCTGGAAACTATTCTACAGTGTATTTCAGATAACAATCTAGAATCTCAAGACCTAGTTAATGAGATTCAAGATCGCATTCTTGTGCTAGAACAGATAAAGGAAAATATTGTTCTTTCTGCATCAGAGCCTTCCTCCAAAGTTGCAATTACTTGGCCTGCTAATGAAGCAGTCACCAAGAATCAAGTTAAAAAAGTGGAACAACCTGGAGAAAAGAAACCTGCTAATGAAGCAGTCACCAAGAATCAAGTTAAAGTGCAACAACCTGGACGAAAGAGACCTGCTAATGAAGCACTCTCCAAGAATCAAGTGCAACAACATGGAAATAAGAAACCTGCTAATGTAGCAGTCACCAATAATCAAGTTAAAGTGCAACAACCTAAAGAAAAGAAACATGCTAATGAAGCAGTCACTAAGAATCAAGTGCAGCAACCTGGAGAAAAGAAACCTGCAAGTGAAGCAGTTACCACGAATCAAGTTCGAGTGCAACAACCTCAAAAAAAGAAACGTGCTATTGAAGCAGCCCCCAATGATCATCAAGTACAACAGTGGGGTAACAACAGCAAACGTCCTCGGACTGCTGTGCCTTCCGTCTTCCCTCCTCAACACAATCCAGTATTTATGCCTGGCAATGAAAGAGGTATAATACCTAGACCTAGTGGAATACCTGCACAATTTAGGCCACCCCCGAACTATGGTTTTCCCAATCCTATAGGTGCAGAATGGCGTGGAAATACTGGAACAAACTACTTCGGTAACTCCCGGCCTTATCCTCCTTTTAGATGACCCACGTGAATACAATAAAGGGTTAATTCTTTGTAGTTTTAAATTACATAATTTTGTGTCATTTTTAATAAAATTATCGTTGTTTCTTGGTATTTAATTTAATAATGTATATTATTTATTTTAGGCATCTAATTTAATAATGTATTTCTAACATAACTTGTATAATAAAGCTTACGCTAAAAATGTCTCTACACGTCACAATGGTTAAATAAAATATCAGAGTCTACTAAAGGTTTCCTCCTTTTCTGAAGGGGAAATGGCATTTTATTCACAATGTTTGCGTTGCAATGAGCACCAAAAAAGGGCCCTTGATTGAATAAAGTATCTTTTGGACGATCAAGGGGTTATTTTCTCGTATTGAATAAAGTGGGAGCTTATTGTGGAGTTGGTTTGTGAAGCTGCTTCAATCCCTTCCTGGTGATGCTTCTATTCTTGTATGGTAGTAGCATTCATCATGAGAGTGGTAACGTTACTAAATTTTCTATCTGTTGAAATGTATTAACAAAATAAGAAATATCCAGTTTGCAAAATCAACAAAATGTTCTTTTAAAAAGTATATTAAAAAAATAAAAAGATCATTTGAAATTACAGTATGCAAATAACTATCTGTTGTTAAATACTACTTATACATAATGTTTCTTCTATCTAATTGACATAGCATATTAACACGATTTTTATTTATTTTTCATATGAATCATGAGATCATTTTCTTAACTTATATTGTTCTATATTTGTGTGAATTGACAAACTCAAAATATAAGTATGAACAAAATATAGTAAAATTACAGTAATTACATGATAAAAATAGTTTAATATTTCTCATGTTATAGGAGATAAAATCATCTCATACATATAAATAAAAATATATGAGATCCATATAAAATCATATGTTATAGGAGATAAAATCATCTCATACATATAAATAAAAATATATCAGATCCATATAAAATCATGTGAAGAGAAGAGAAAAAAAAAATGAGATCATACACTTTTATGTGTATATAAGATAATTTCATCTTCTATAATATTAGAGACATTAAACTCTAATAAAAAATAATATATGCATAAGTAGGTGTGTTTAGCATTGTTGTATATATAAATAAAAGAAAATCATATTTCTTATTATATGAGATTGATTTTTTATGTTATACTCATATCAAAAAAATATGTCTTTTTTCTATTTAAAAAAATAATGGAAACCATTTTAATATGAATTTTTTTTCTTCTATTATATGAAAGAAGTAATCACATAAATAAAATAAGAAAAAGAATGGTTAATAATGTGGTGACGATGACAAAGTAACCACCCTCTCTTGGAAGATACTTGTGGGGATGGCAAGGGAAAGTTGAGTTGTATATAATACCAAGGTGCAGAACACAACAATTGTTGTCCATCATCTATGGCAAATAGGCGTTATAGGGATAAGTGCATTTGGAGTATATGGGTACATGCGGAAAAGTACAAGTACGGATACTCCCTCAATGAATCACACGTATATGGTTTTTGCGTAATAGGAAACGCCTGCGGGATTCCCTTTCTTTTTTTCATCATCAACTTTGTGATTTTGTACCAATATGGTTTGGATTTTTGGGTACGGTTTTGTACCAAAAGCAAAAGCGAAAGGAAAGTAAATGTGACCACCACTTGCCAGCTTGAAAAGGCGTGCCTGGTTGTCTCATTATTATTCTCGATATCTTAAAAGCTTCGTTCTCTACCAATTGTTATGTTTTATCGTCACATGGGAAATTCTAATTTTTTTAATTATATAATATATATCACATGCAGTTATTATTTTCATATTTTAATTATATTTTAATTATAATTACAATTAATATAAAATAAGAGACTTCTTACTGCCTATTTGGATATTTTTTAAAGTTAAAAATTACTTATAAGCATAATCTAGGCAAACAGGATACACGTTTTGAGAAAAATTCTTATAATGAAAAGCGCTTTTATTTTCTTGAATTATTATTTTTTTTTTTAAATGAATAGCATAGCTATATACATAGAGGAAAATGATTTTATTGAAATATGTGTTTTTAAGCTAAATTTTTTATGTAATTATGAAACAACTTTTAGCTTATAAGTAATTTCTACTTTATAAAAGAGAGAATTCAAACAAGCTCTTAATACTATAGAATTATTTATTGAAAAAAATGTGTATCATTTGGAAGAATATAAAGTTGTGTTATTTTAAGTGTGAGAAAGAGATAAATAAAGGGAGAGAGAGTGGACAAAATAAAAATAAAAATAAAAATGTATCTCACATATTTGTAAGAGTAAAATGATACAAGTTGTGTCATTTAAAAAAAATATTTTTTCTTTTTTATTTTAAATTTAATTGATCAAAGAAGCAAGCTAGAGTTCTTGTCATTCAAATGTTTCTCCCGTTATCATTTTTTTTTTTTGGAAACTGATTCTAATTATCTCTTTTAGCTGCCTATGAGACTAATACAGAATTTGGGTGCGAGTCCAAGGATTACGGTACTTATGCCCCTCCTCAGATGGATGATGTTAATGGGATTTGAACCGAGGTCCTCTTCCATCACTCAATCCCCATGCTACCAACTGAGCCACCACACTTGAGTTCTCCCGTTATCATTTGTTAATCGTTGTCTTTTCTTTTGGACGATTTCAGGAATAAATCCTTTTGAGTTAAAATTTTATATGATTAGATTATGTAAAATTTGTATATTTATTTTTCTCTTCAAATGCATTAAATATGTGAGATCTAATTATCATTAATAAAAAGATATACACATATAATATACTAAAATTTATTTCGTCATTATTCCCGGTTCACGTACACCCCACGCTTAGTTGGCAATTTTTCCTCCCTTTGCAATTTTACAGCACTAAAAATAAATAAAAGTACAATTTAAGAGTTACCATTTTAAAATTTATATAGTTTATGAAATCTTGGGGTGCTAATTACCCACTAAAAAAAGAGGGTTCTTTTTATTCAATCGAAAAAAAAAGCATTATTAATTTTACTAAAAAAATACTTTATTTATTTATTTTTTTGAATACAACTTTCTTTATTTTCATATTAAGAAATAAGAAAGAAACCTTTTGTTATTGGACCTATTATTTTTATTGAACCTTTTTTTATTGGACCTATAATGGGAAATGATCAACAATCCCACTATAAAAAGGGTCTTTTCTTTTCTATTTACTTACATAGCCATTGAATCTAATAAGCCATTCCTCCCTCCTCACATCAATTTATCTCAAATAATTCCTTATTCCAATTTCAATGCTCAACGCCCTAATCTTAAAAAAATGGTAGCCGAAAGAGATGTTCATGTTCATGTTCATGGTGATGAAGGAGCCCTGATATTCTCGTACGGAACTTTGAAGAGAGGTTTTTCAAACCACACACTTATCCAGGACCTCACGCGCTCCGGCGACGCGTCCTTCATCGGAACCTATCGCACCGCCTGCAAATACCCCCTCGTATGCGGGCCCTACCGGGTCCCCTTCCTCCTCAACATCCCCGGGTCGGGTCAACGGGTTCACGGCGAGCTCTACTCTGTCTCCACGCGCGGCCTCGCTCGAATGGACGAACTCGAGGGCACCACACGCGCTCACTACGAGCGTCTCCCAATCAAGCTCATCCCCGGCGGCGCAGACGGCGATGAGAAGGAGGAGGAGGAGGAGGAGGAGGAAGAAGAAAACGAGGGCGATGAGGCTGTGGGGCTAACGTGCGCGGAGGCGTACTACGCGCACGGAAGCTACGCGATGGAGATGTGGAAAAAGAACGGGAAAAGAGGTTTGAGGTGTTATTCAGAGAAAGAAACGATAGGATATGTGAAGCGCAAAGATAGGCCTCAGCATTTGACCTTCCTTGATCATATTCGTTTGTTCCTTTCCAACTGAATCTCCTCTCTCTCTCTCTCTCTCTCTCTCACACACACAAAATAAATAAAATAAAAAAAAACAATAAGAAGTGGTTTAGTTTAGTGTTTTAGTGTTTAATGTTATGTATCTGTTGTTGGTGGGTGAGAGTTTGAGACTTTTGTGTTGTAAAGATTGGTTGGTATCTGGATATTCAGATTCTGTTCTAGTATCAAATGCATATTTCTCTATTCTCTTTTCTTAGTATATGTTTATACTATAATAGGATTTTTGCCTAAACTATGATGAAATGATTTCGCAGGATGATTTGGATCTATGTTCCTTCTTTAGTTTAGTACGATGTGAAACAAACTTCCCTCTTTTCCTGCTGGATTTTTTTTTATTTTTTGGGGTCAGAGATAGAAATGAATTTAATATTTAAAAGTGGGTGTTAAACATAATTGTTGATTTATGTAGTTTTTAGGCTTATTACATGAGATAACATTATTTTATATAGAGACATAATTAGGTGAATTTTACAATTAAAAAAAAAAAAAAAAATGTTGACTCCAATTTCATGAATTTGTAAGGTGAAAAAAATATTTCTCTTTAGTTTTTTTACTCTCATATTCGAAATCTTGATTTTGCGGCTAAAGTTCGCTTGGAATTACTGTTAACTTTTACGCCGCCGGGTTGATTGGTGCAATTTATATACGGGAATTTTAATATTTTATAGTTGAATCGGAGGAACACTGACTATTTTGTCAGTGAAAAGTAAATTTTGTCAAAATGTCATGTGACATATTTTGTTATACTATATAGTAAAATATGTGTGTAAATAATTCGCTACACAGTATAACGAAATATCTCACGTCAGAACCAAAAATGTCACATGTGTAGCGAAATTCTTCCTGTTTGTCACGTGACATTTTTGGTTCTGTGCATTATGACGTGACATAATTCGCTACACTGTGTAGCGAATTATTTGCACACATATTTCGCTACACAGTGTAGCGAAATTTTTGACAAAATTTACTATTAGCGTGACAGTTTGGTAATTATTTTTTTTTGTCAACAGTGACACTTCGGTCACTGTTCCTGAATTGGATACTTATATAATTAAGTTTTTATGGGAAAAAAAACTTTTTTTCAGCTTTTAAAGTGATTTGTCTTCAGACTTTGGATTCCATGTACCAACGAGTACCTAGCGTAGCTATACATGAGGTGATGTCATTAACCGTAATTTCATTTAGGTATCACATTAATTAATTGCTTGTCATGTTTTATATATAGCTGATTGTCTTTTTTTTTGTTTTTTAGGTGATTTGCTTATTCGTTAAGTTTTGCAAGGTGTGAGATTTTTGTTTTAACCTCTTCATTGTTTTTTCTACCTTCCAAAAGCAGTTTGTCATAGAATTTTATATACCAACAAATGAACATGGTAACGTCTACGGTAACCATGTGATAGAGCCCCATAACCAGGAATATTTTGCCTTCAAATTTGTCTTTGATGAAAATATACTCTGAAAAGTGCATAACGACCATGCTTTGATCCTCCCAACCCACTTTACTACTTTTCCAAATTCAGGTTTTAAAAACGGGAGTGTGTGGTGCTATTCCCTATTTATTGTCTATTCTTACTCTTCTTTAGCTAACTCCTCTTTCTCGATTGTAATGTTAAAGATTATGAAATAATTTCTTAATACTTTACCAAAATCTGCCAATTGATTATTTTATTTTTTCTGCCCAGCTTTTCATTTAATTTGTCAAATGCAAGTTATCAGTTAAATTCACAAACTCAGAAACTGCTTAAGAGAAAATGCCAACAAGAAAACTATTATATGCATGTGTAAAAGAAAAGAGAAATATTATTCTTATGCAACATAAGATAACACTCTTTCCTACATATTCATTGATTTCCGTGTAGTTTAATTTTTATTTTTTTATTTTTTATAAATGAGTGGACCCCACCCATGATTGTCTCTATGGTAGGAGAGAACTTCTCTCCTACAACATAAGATTAATAAAGCCCAAAAAAAAAACTTAACACTTACGACCAGTTCTCGGAAATATAGATAAACTGCCAATTAAAAAATATATATATAAGGCAATAATCGTCTTAGTGATTCTCTCAATCCCAATATGTTATTATTTTAAATCTTTTATTCCGTAAGTATATTTTAAATTTTTTATTCCGTAAGTATAAATATATTAATTTAGTATCAATGACGCCAACGGAATCTTGGCAGTGTAATTGATAAATGGTATCAATTGATAGTATTTCCATTGATTTAAAACTGTACATCAATGTATCTTAAATAGAATAGGCTGTTACGGCTGTTACCAAACAGTCTGTTACCAAATAGTAAAACAATTTCCTAAAGATAAGTAACTACACCTAATTACAATAGGACTCAGTTATACATATCCTAACAAACTACAGGTTACAACATATCACAGCAAATCATAACAACATATAGAATCTTCTATTCCAACACTCCCCCTCAAGTTGGAGCATGAAGAATGAAATGCCTAACTTGGAAAGAACGGCAAGAAATGGAACACGACCAAGTGCTTTGGTGAAAATGTCTGCGAGTTGCAAATGAGAACGAACAAAAGTAGTTCGAATCGTCTTAGAAACCAACCTTTCTCGGACAAAATGGCAATCAATTTCAATGTGTTTAGTTCGCTCATGAAACACAGGATTTGCCGCGATATGTATAGCGGCTTGATTATCACAACATAATTCCATAGGATCATCATGGATAACATCAAGTGAAGCAAGAAAAGACTTCAACCATATCAATTCTGCTGTCGCGGCAGCCATGGAGCGGTACTCAGCCTCTGCTGAGGAGCGTGAGACAGTGAGTTGCTTCTTTGTTTTCCAAGAAACAGGTGAGGTTCCAAGCATAATGAAGAACCCAGAAACTGACCGGCGAGTTAAAGGGCAGCTGGCCCAATCTGAATCACAGAAAGCATGAATTTTGAGATCACTTTTGGAAGAAAGGAGGATACCTTGGCCAGGATTCATTTTGATGTATCTTAGTACCCGAATGACAGCCTCATAATGTGCTTCCTTTGGAGCTTGCATGAACTGTGAAAGAGTGTGCACTACATAACTCAAATCAGGACGAGTGATCGTAAGGTACACTAGCTTGCTGACAATTCTTCTATAGCGACCTGGATCATCATAGTCAGGTCCATCTGCCAGAGCTAAGCGATGATTCTGTTCAATTGGAAACTGAACCGGTTTACAATCCAACAAACCTGTTTCTTTGAGGATATCTAATGCATATTTTCGTTGACACAAGAAGATACCCTCATTGCTACAGGCAACCTCGATGCCCAAAAAATATTTCAAGTGACCCAAATCTTTAATTTTAAAACACTTGTTAAGATAAATCTTAACCTCTTGACATGCTTGGGAATCATTGCCTGCCAACACCAAATCATCAACATAGGCTAGTATGGTCAAGAAGGTAGAACCACGCTTCAAAGTGAACAAAGTGTGATCTGCTTCGGATTGAACAAAACCGTATTTAATAAGTGAGGAACTCAACTTTGCAAACCAATTCCTGGGAGATTGTCGTAAGCCATATAACAACCTTTGCAAACGACACACTTTTCTTCCTTGTCCTTGATTAAAGCCTGCCGGTATGCGCATATACACTTCTTCGTCCAGTTCTCCATTAAGAAACGCATTATGAACATCCATTTGGTGCAAGTACCAACCTTTTGCAGCTGCAACCGAGAGTAGAGTTCTAACACTCACCATTTTCGCTACAGGAGCGTAAGTTTCATGGAAATCTTCTCCTGGAACTTGATGATTACCTGCAATTACCAACCTTGCTTTGTAGCGCTCGATGCTACCATTGGAATGATATTTAATTTTATATACCCATTTACATGGAAGGGCATGTTTGCCTGCAGGTAAATCAGTGATAGTCCACGTATTATTTTCTTCTAGTGCATGTATCTCCTGAGCCATAGCTTTACGCCAAACATCATTGGTCATTGCTTCTTTAAATGACCGAGGTTCACTACCTGCATCAATAGCAGCAACAAAAACTCGATGTTTTGAAGAAAAATTGTTAGTATTCACATAGTTGGCAATTGGATACCGTATACCTGAGGTGGAGCTAGAAGAGGTGAGACTGGGAGTGTATGTATGTGCCTCAATCAGATTACATTTGTAGTTACTCAAATAGGACGGAGGCCTTCGTGTGCGTGCTGGACGAAGAGAATCGTTTTGAGCTGATTCTGCACTTCTATTCCAACAGTAATTACTGGCTAGCGATGATGTTATCATGAAAATTCACTTGATTATTATTTTGACTAAGCGTGACAAGAAGTAAGGGTATAAATTAGTTGGGTTAGGCTTTTGTCTAATTATAGGTATGACCAGTATAAAATATTTTTAGTCTGGCTTGATCAATTAATCTGTTGTAAAATGAATTATAAGTCTAATATAACTTACATTAGAAAATCAAAAGACTTGGTTTAAGATTGTCAGCCTGACAAGCCTATCACCATTCAATATCTATTAAGAATTTAAAAAATAAAATAAAATAAATTTATTAATTAAAATTATTTGAATTTATGTTTTTTTTTTAATTAAAATAAATAATAGGATATAAAGCAGCCCAAAGAACATTTTTTAAGACTTGAGTCTATTTTATTTTATTAAATATATTAAATCATACCTGATCTAACCTAAGTCAGGACGTAGGCATTTGAAATCCCTAACTAACCAGAAGCCACAAGTATTGAACGATATTTGAAGATTCTCATGACTATTGAAACAAAAGACTAATAGCCGAAGTTTTTTTTTTATATTCAGTCTGCCATTAAGAATGGAAGGAATTTGATTTTGAAGTCTCATCCTTGCAATTGTCATTCAAGAAAAGTTCTCTGCAGTGGCCATGGTTCAGCAACGTCAATGAACTAGGGCATTTTTAATAAAATAAAATAAAATTACGGCAATAATTGTGTTAGTGATTCTCTCAATCCTAAAAAATTGTTATTGGAATTGTTTATTCCATAAGTATAAATATTTTAATTCAGTAGCTTTTACGTCAACGGAATCTTGCCGGTGCAATCACTGGCTACGGTGATGAACATTCACTTATTTATTAACTACTCTTGATTAAATAATTTCGCATGACCCAAGCCACAATTTTTGAACAATATTGGAAGATTCTCATCGTTGACAATTGAAACTAATACAAATGGCCGAAACTTTGTTTGTGTTTTTGTTTTATTAAATATATATTTTTTAATTTGCAGTCTACCATTATGATTGAAAGGAATTTGCAGTCTCATCCTTGTAATTGTCACTTGTTATTGTAATTTTTAAAGTAATTATTCACTTTCTTAATGGCAAAATGCAATGCATTATACATGTGATCTATGAAGTACCGACACTTCAAAAGCCTTGACGTGTCGTGTTCGCGACACTCCAACATGCGTTTTAGAAACTCAAAAAAAAGTTTAAAGGTTGTGTTGCGTTGTGTTTTTAGTTCCAATTATTTGATTAGTTGGATTACGATTATTATTTTATTGAGTTTAATATAAATATTTGAAATATTTTATGTTTCTTTGAAAATTGATGGGTATTATAAATTTAACTTCATTTTTTTGTTAAATTATTGAGTATTAAATATAATATACATGACATAAATTAAAAATAATATTTAATATCAAAACGTGTCCTAACGTATTGAAATCTTGCATTTTTTAGAATTGACGTGTCAGAGTATCGTGTCTCGTATCAGTATCGGTGCTACATACCATGTGATACATCATACATGTAGTATATGGACCCACCGTAACTAATAATACTCACTGTAATACAAGACGACACAGCAAAAGTTAAATGTCCTACGCAGCATTTTTTGTGTGGCATCCATACATCTTAGTAGATGCGGACAACATACTGATAATGGCACCAAAATAAAACAAAACAACATGGTGAATTATGGGGGGCTTTTTTACCCTTATGCCCCTTAATTAATAATTAATTACCAAATTGCCCTTCATTCAAAACTATTTCGAAAATTTACCCTCCCCAACAAACATAACACCAATCTGCCCATGTTTGACCGTTGACCACGAAGCCTACCCGGGTACACCATTACCTACCCGGGTAAATTTTGAAACTTTTTATCTACCCGAGTATGTAGGGGTGTACCCGGGTAGAGTTCTTGAATCTGGGAAAATGTTTGAATTATTTACCCGGGTAAGGAGCAGTGTACCCGGGTAAATCGCGTCCAGAAACCCCAATATGTATGGGTTTCGGCCATTGTTGCGAGGTATAGGGTTTTTGAAACCCCAAATCTTTCTCTCTTACCCTCTCTAATCCGAAACATCACACATATTTCATCTCATCATTTCAGAAAGCTGAATCTTGGTGGGACATTGAGATTACATCTCCACACTCCCATTTTGTGCTAAAAAATCCGAACCAACCTCCAAACCCAAAACCTAGATCTAATTTTTGTGTGAAAGATGAGTTCAAGTCCAAACATGGTTCCTATAGTTATTTACTACAATGGGAGGCATTTTGAAGGTCCGAACGGTGTCCGATTTGAAGGAAAAACAAAAACGATTAAAATCAAAGTGGGCACTACATGCAATGAACTGAAGGAGAGAATTCTTCAAAAAATGGGGTCAGAAGGCATACATTCCATCCACCGCATGATAGCCAGGTTAGAGACTGTAGTGGATATGGATACAATATACTACATTGGAAACGATATAAATGATGATGAAGATGTGGAGTTCGTAACAGATGCGTTTGTTGAATGGAAAGTATTAAAATATATTGAGATATATGTTGAAGTTGATGTTGGACAATCTTCATCTTTACCGGTGCATACAACCACTACTGCACACTGTACCGGTCAAGAAGATACAGTTGTACGATCTTCTGCACCTCCTCAGGTAGCATTGGATGAGGATGAAGAGGATGAAGACGAGGACTATGTGGACAGCGAAGATGAGGGAGAACCTGAAAGTGCTATTCCAGAAGGTGATTCGTCAGACACTGACGTGGACGGTAATTTTGAGGCTGACATGAGCGCCGTAAGTCTCGGTACCCCAGCCTTGTCACCACTTCATGTCGACCCAGTCAGTAGTGGTAAGTTATTAAATTTGAACATTTGCTTTAGACAATTTATTATTTGTGGTGGTATTCATTCAGACAAATGAGAGTTGATCTTTAGATGCAGGGTCTGAGGAGCCATTCTGGAATGAAATCCAACATTATTCATTCATTAACTGGGCGCACCCTAATGACGAGTTGGAGATCCTATATGGCGATGATGACTTGCACGGAGGTTGGAAGTTAGGAGATCCGTTATTTGTGCAACAAGAATTTGGGTCCAAACCAGAATTGCAACATGCTGTGAAGATACATTGTATGAAGGGGCGCAGGACAGCCACATTTCACCTGCTGACTGTGAAGGAGGGCCCACAGGATGACAAAGTCCCCTTCCAGCACCTTTGAGTGATTATGCGGGCGCTGGAAAATAATATGTGTCACCACATAATGAAGAATGCGAGCAGAAACTGACAAGTTGCTAACAGGATAATGAGCAAAATGACCGGGCTCAGCGTCTGCCCTCCTAGTCTCTGTAACAATGGTCTCCCGGTTATAATCACCAAATATATGATGGATGTCTCCATCATATAGTGCTGCTCCTGTGACACCATCAAAATCGAACCCCAGTAGCTCCGTCCAGATAGGAGCAGTCATGATGATATCAATCCCGCAGACACGGGAAGTCAGCTCGCCTTGCGAGTAGCCAAGGTTCTGGTAGAAGGCTCTTACCATAACCTCCGAGTATGGGCACCGCATCTCCGCCAGGTGAAGTAAATGTGTTTGCTCAAGAAGCGGCACAATGTCAAAACGCTCTAGGTTGAAGAATGCTGAATCCAGTGATTTCGGTTCGCAGATCTTCCGGGTCATGAAAAACTTCACGAACTTCTCGTGTGAAGGAATGTCATCCTCAAACAAATATCCGAACGTCAAGTCCGGAGCCTGACTCGAAGCAGCCTGGGGCTGAGAGGATGACGACCCATCGTGACGACTCTTGGTTCTTCTCTCGGAATGGGTCACTTGCAGCTTTGAAACGCGTCGAGAGGTCATTGTGTCACACTATTAAACTGAAAAAATAACCAAAATCAGAAATTAGATACATGTTAGGGTTAGGGTTAGGGTTAGGGTTAGGGTTAGGGTTAGATTCAGGGTTAGGGTAAGCGTATGACATACAAATTGATAAAATAATTCGGACAGAATCAAATGATATAAACGAAAATACAATGAATCAGAACAGAAATCATAACATAATTGAAAAAACTAAAAAAAAAATCACCTTTGATCGATTTCAATCGGTAGAAGGCACAGAGGTTGCAAGGTCCGCGAATGATGATCACAAACAAGACGAATTAGTGCAAGATTATGCCTGAAATCGCTCAAGATGACACTCCTCCAGCAGCTCTACTCGGGTACCCCTTTTGTGGGTTTTCGAAATGGGGCTGCTGGGGTATTTTAAAACCCTACCGTCGCGATTTACCCGGGTACACTGCTCCTTACCCGGGTAAATAATTCAAACATTTTCCCAGATTCAAGAACTCTACCCGGGTACACCCCTACATACTCGGGTAGATAAAAAGTTTCAAAATTTACCCGGGTAGGTAATGGTGTACCCGGGTAGGCTTCGTGGTCAACGGTCAAACAGGGGCAGATTGGTGTTATGTTTGTTGGGGAGGGTAAATTTTCGAAATAGTTTTGAATGAAGGGCAATTTGGTAATTAATTATTAATTAAGGGGCATAAGGGTCAAAAAGCCGAATTATGGGTGATAAAGGATCAACTTTACTATTTTAAATTTTTTTGTTGCATTTTTCAAGGTTCAGTGTCGTTATCTTTCATACATAAAATATTTGGTAGTTACTGAAAAAATATTTTTGGGGGTCGCATTTGTTTACCAGTATTACAGCCCACAAAAAGCATTCAACCATTTAAGCTCCTTGCTTTAGTGTGCTGCATGGGACATGCGTTCAGAATTCTGACTCTGATACCGATTCAATTAATAGAGATTCATAACTGAGATCAAATATACAGGTAAAAGGCAGCATATTAACTACAAGGTCATCAAACTAAGAGGGAAGATGCATGAAAGTGAACTTGTACAAGGACACAGGTTCATAATAAATTATTCTAAACGTACGTTGTAGTTCATTAAATTATACAAAAGCAATATTGATACTGAATATATTACAATATTATTCAATCAGACCAGGTTGTTTAGGTATTGCCAATTGATCATCGGATACTCAATTATGAAGGTTTCAAATCTCAATGAAACCGGGTGGGGTTAGGGTACCCATATCGTGTACCCTCAAGTATTCAAAGAAAAAAAATCCATGTTTAGGTATCCTTGGTCATAACCCTGCTGGCCGAAATTGAGATCAGGATCCCTGTCAGAAATGTTTCTCAATTAAATTATGTAAAGATAAGGCTGTATACAAGAATTGTCCTCACTCCACCCTCGTCAGTCAGGGTTTAATGGGAAGTGGTTTATATATTGTTGCAGTGATCAAAATCAAGGGAACTTAAATTGAAAGAGAGCAAAGGACTAACCTTATTTGTCGACGGATTCAAAACTTTCAATTAATTGTGGTGACCTGCATTACATCACAAGATTAAAATTCAGGTTAGGTAAGAATAGAGTTGAATAAAAAATAAAAGAACTGACATCAGATACAGCGCAGGTCCGTTTACAATAATAGATGTTCAGTTGGGGGACTAAAAAAAATGCAACCAAGGACTGAAGTTGGGACTTTTCGAGGCTGTGATCAGCATATTCAGAAAGTAATTTCAATGTATTGATGTTTTCGAGACTTATTAATAAATCATGAACGAGTGGTTTTGAGTTTAGCAGGTTTGGAAATAACGGAATTATGGAATTAAAAAAATCGAACGGGGAAAGATCTCAAGTAGAAAAAACAAAAGCTTTGGTTCTAAATTGTCTAACCTAAGAGGCTAAGACATGATGGCATGACAGAATCCAAGAGACGATCCATGTGTCATAAATTCCCCAAACACAGTTCCACGTTGAATTGAATGGCTCGAAGGGCTCAAAACATTATGTAGACAATACATGTAACCTTAAACCTACATTAAGTGAAATTCCTATCTTAAAGCTGCAGATGTTGAATAGATACTATAAATATCCACGAACAGGGCAAAAATTGCACATGGATTACAAGGAAAAAATGTAAAACAAGAAATTTGTTTGACATCAGTGAGACTTGAACAGCTCTTTTGTACAACGTAGTTTGAGACCTTGCTGGATTAAAAAGTATCATGAGAAAGCTGAGGCATCGAAAATTATCAAGTTCCTAAAGCACAGCTTTGCTAAATTACGACCTGTGCCAGTTTTAAGTCAATTGTGTCCATTAAATTCAAAATAACATTACACTACCAAATAATGGCTAAAACTTTTCATTAACATACAAAATATTGTTTTGACTTGAGAATCTCTGCAGTAAATATAGGGCTTGAAAAAAAAAAATAAAGCTCATTGGATTGCATGGAAAGAACCAATTATAAAGCTCTACATCCTGTAGTAAGAGTTTTTCATTAGTAAGATTTTAGTCCCGGTAATTTTGAAAATCCTCTTGGATTGACAGGCCGTGTGATGGTTACATTGAAGACATTATGGCTGGTGAGTTCCACTCCTACCATAGAATACAAGAGAACAGAAAGACTGGAAAGAAGAAAAATTCAAACCAAATACCATCTGTCTGTATGATTGATACCAAGTCCATTGCAGGTTAGGATCATTCCTTTAAATCTGGTAAGATATTCCTGTGTAGCAATTAGACATGCCCAAACCGAAGGTAAGTACAAACCAGCAGTTATGATTCAAGAGCATACACTGAAACAATTATAAACAAATCTAAGTAAATAATTACTAACATTGAATGATAGTTAAGTTGCATACCTGCAAGCTATACTTTTCAATCTCACACGTCCCAGTTAAATCATAGTCAAAACGCTTGGCAGGATCACTCAATACTATGAAATAACAAAGAAAGACTAGAATCAACAGAAATCCATTATTATTATTTACAAGCAGCCGTTTGCTGTTTTCTAAACAATAACCATATGAAAGAGAAACACACATCTAGGTCAAACTATGTGGTTCAACAGAGAAAATTTAATCCATGAAGTATCACTTACAGACCGATTTATTACATTTAAGTAGCTTCCATTACTAGACAATTTTGGGTTTGCCAGTATGCTCAAGTTGACAATCCTGTAAGTTTCAGTATATTCATCTGAATATCTTATTCCTAAATTCAAACAGTTGATTGTTGATTTATATATATGTATAAAGAATAAATTCATTATCATATCATTAAGTTAAACAGATGGGAAATATATATGTTATATTACTTGGGTTTTCCTCAATTTTGTTTTGGATTTGAGTTTTGCTATCATCATGTTCATCTGTGTGAAAATTTCCTTCCATCATTTTTCTAAACTTTCCAGTTAGCACTAGGAGTAAAATTAAGTTCACATGCTCATAAAATTACGTTAACATCTGGATATGAAAGAGAATAACTAATGAAATAGTTAATTAGTATTACAACAAGTGGGAAATGATAGGAACCCAGAAACAGATTCTAAGTTTTAACAGAGAGAGAGATTAAAAAACACAGAGAAAGGAAATTAGAACAATACTTCTGCAGTGTTTATTGAATTATAACAGAAACCCAAGGAGAGAATTTCCCTTCCAAGGGTATCACCTTTCCATAATTGAGCTAATGCTCAATTCCCAGATGACAACTGAAATCAGAATTCCTCTCTTCTACCCTCTCCTCCTATTCAAGCTATTTCCCTAGCTCTAAAAGCTTTAACCGCCCAAACATAACCATTCTAACTAACTACTCTCTGGCCCTTTAGCGGGAACTGAGAGGCTGAAAGCCAGACAACAAAGGTTAAACTTCATATCCACACTAATGAAGGACCACAAATCTCTGTGCTTAAAATCACTTGTCCTTTTATTCTAACCATTTGTATATTTGTGATTGTGTTGAAGATAGAAAAAGAAATATTCCATTTTCAAGAACTGTAATGATAAGGGTGACCATTCCAGCCAGAAGAATGAAGCTTGTTAAATAATGTGCTCACAAGGAAAAAGTACAGGCATGAAATTTTTTACTATTACATGAAATAATTACCATTGTAAGCTTCATTTATCTCTTGAAATTTTGCAGTAACAGCGCTGTCACCTTTGTGCTTGTCAGGATGCCATTTCTATCAAATGTGGTGGAATCATGTGTACATAGTAAGTCAAACTTGTAGAAGAAATATATTCAGATTTTGAAAAATCATGGAAAGAGCCTTTGCAGGAACTACTAAAAAAGGTAAAGTTACCAACCAGTGCGAGTCTTCGGTAATTGAATTTGATATTTTCATCAGTTGCATCATAATCAACCTCCAGAACTTTGTAATAATCCTTGAAATAAGTATAAGTGACACATCAAGAACACATAAAAACAGCAATCAGAGTCACAAACATTTTCTGCTAATCATGTAACATTTTTGCTATATGCAGTAATGATGACATTGTCACAGCATGATAGTTACAAGTGCAAATAGGAAAGCTGCACATAATTTTCAGTTTTACAAAAGCAAGAGAAAGATTGTATTGCACAATAATCAGAGACAGATTTCAGTAAAAGCTCAAGAGCAATATGAACCACAGCATCAACCAATTAATATCTATATAATTCAATTAATAGATAAACCCACTTCCTCAGCACTTCAACATACCAATTTTCACCATCTAAGTTGGCGCCCACAACAACAATCTGCCAGAAGCCTAACTACACTATTAATCAAACAAAGACACTTGAATTACTCATTTCAGCATTGTCTTTTCATCCTATGATTATGAATACCGAAATTGTGCAGATTAGCTCAATATTTTTTCTTCCTCTCAACTCCAAACTACATTCTATTCAAATACATAACTTTCCTTTTAACCAGTCCACTTCTTCACCAAAGGGTCTCACCATTAAGCTTCCTAGCTGAAAACAAAGCAGGAAAGTGGGATAGATAGAGAAAATTAAACTAGGAATAAAAATGTGAACTTTCATACATCACAAATAGGCAATGGATTTCGGTCAAACTTAAATTTAATCACCAAATTTTTTATTTTTTTTTAACAGGAATCAAATAAAGCAACAAAATCACATGATATGGGAGATTGAAAATTTGCGATTACTTTTAATACCTTTAGGTTGGTATTATCAGCGGCAGCCATGTGCTACAAAAACGGGGTCGACATGTGCAGCTTCTTTTACATAATTCATCGGAATCGGACAAAAATATAGTACACCAAAAGCACAATGCTTCAACCAACTGCAGACATGCTTGAAATTCGAGAAAAAATAATTGTAGATTGAAATGAGGGATGGAGAAAACAAACTCAGAATTAGGGATTTTTTTTTTTTTTGGTATTAGAATTAGGGATTTTTGTGGTGAAAGAAAAAACAAGAGGACATTCCTGTGCCACAACTGGGAAATTTGGATGGGGTTTCTCAGATTTTTTTTATTTTTTATTTGGTATGGTTCTTTGTACTGTTATGCGTTGTTCTGCATGTTCACCGTGGTAAAATTCTAACGGGTGAAGGGTTTATCCGAAGGAGAAAGAAAGGAAATAGGATGTATTTTATTATTCTTAAGAAATTACGGGTTTGAAATTTTATACCAGATAGATATTGTTAGTGCTAAATAAGGTTATCATTGGTGTCTTGGCGCTAAGTTAGTGGGGTTGGATATGTGTTCGATTCTCGCTGTATGCATTCTTGGGGAGGGGGCTAAACCTTTAGCCATCACTGTTTCCCCGCACTCCGGATTAGTCCCATAGCCGGCTCAAAGAGTCGAACTCGTGAGGATACCGGAGGGAGCCAACTCGTCTCAAAGAGATAATTAGGGTTGGGTAACTCAAAAAAATAAGGTTATCATCAATTTTATTACGGATTTTTTTTAATAAATTTTTATAAATTATACTGTTTTCTTCTTGAAAAAAATAATGAAATCTAGAGAGAAGATAGTGTAGTTTGTAAATAAATTTTTTCTGTAAATATAACATGTCCCTGTTATTATTATATCTTAATCATTGGTTTTCGTCAATCAACTATTATTATTTATTATGAATTAATAATTAATTAATAAATTTGATTTATAAAAATAATAATCATTAATTGACAAAAATTAACAATTAAGATATAATAGTAACATTGATAATAAAATTATTTGCTAGTAACAATAAATCTTATCGTTTTTTTTTTTTGGTACCCTTATATCTTATGGTATTTTATATTTATTAACTTTATGCTTTTTCTTCTGTAATTATCTAAGGGATTTGTATTTGTTATTTAACATGACACAACAAACTTTCTTGCACGCACAACATTTTGTAGGGCCCACACTTTTTAAATAAAAAAAATTACTTTGTGTCTATCTCTCTTAAGATGACATAACTTTATGTCATTTAAAATGACAAACACGTTTTCCTATTAATATTTATTTGGAAAAATGTTGAAAAATAAGAATAGATTAATATTTAAAAAAATGACTACCTTTAAATTATTAATAAAATTACATTAGTTTTATAATTTATTTCAAAGTCACTCCATCTCAATAATTTTGAAATGTAACTACACTTTAATAGTCATATTGATGCCGAAAATACACAGAAAAGACAGAAAGTTAGGATTTTTATAAAAGAGTAACTCTCCGGTTCTCAATTTTAGTTATCAAAATAACAAAATATTCAACTCCTAAAATAAAGATCTTAAGCATCCTTTTATATACTATTTACAAATTGATCCAAAATTCAAAATCTAAAATCCTAAAAATAATAAAATTTCCTAGAATAAATACAACAATAATTAACCTCTAAAAATAAAAATAATTATAATTAAATCATTTAAAATACGTCACAAATCTTATATATCAAATGTGTTGCTTTCCTTTACTTGTTAAACAACGCAATCATATCTGCTGCTTCATTCGGATTTGAATTTGATTGTAATTTATTATATTTCAAATTAACGCCTCTTTTAACAATTGAGCCATAATTCTTGTTGACTCTGGGCTTCCTGAATCAATGGTTAAGTCATGTGCAATGGGCCAACCGTAAGCGCATTACATATTTTATGAATTCTCCTCGTACTTTCTTCTTCTCTAGTTGGACACTGCTGATAGATATGTTAACGGGCAGAGCTGAGTCTGACTTTGGTTTTAAAAGGCTAAGCTTGTGTTCAAATGTGTTAGTCTGACCTAGTCTGTTACTTATTATGAATATAATTATTGGCCTGTAGTCTGTCTTATTTACAAAAAATAAAAGACTGGTTTTAGCCTGTTAAAAACAAGACAACAAAAATTTATCCGAACAGAATGTATGATCAACAATACTAATAATTTCACAAAGATTTATAAATTCAATGTATATCGGCCTTTTGACCTTGGTAGTGTAATATTTATAATGTTTGACCGAAATAATTTCTTGGTCAAATGTATTACCTAAATAATGCATAACGACGCGATAGTGTGAGTAACGTTTTAAGACATGACACATAGGCAACCACGTCCTGTGCACTGATTCTGGGCCCACTGGGACGCGACTCGCGTCCTTTGCAAAAATATATGCACAGGACGCGTTATTGCATCAACCACGTATCAATACGTCACATCCAAAAAAATAATGCAAAAGACATGGTACAGTGTGAGCTGCGTTCCAGTAAGAAAGATAAACAAAGACACGGTCCTATATGTATTGGTTATTGCCCTTTGAGGTAGTGTTTGGTTGGGGAGAAATTTTTTTTAAGTGGGTAGTTGTCTTTACTAGGAAAGATGTTGGAAAGCTAGTTTGGTAGGAAAGTTTAAAAAAAATTGTTTGGTAGCGCAAAATATTACTAGAAAAATTGGGTTAAAAATCCTGATGTGTGTTTGGTTGAAAATAAAATTGTGATGGGAAAAAGAATACAAAAGACGAAATTAACCTTTTTATAAAATTAAACATTTTCTCACATGTATTCTCGGTTCTTTTTATAAAAGTCTCGGTCTCCATTACATTGTCCTACCTCCAAGCTGCCAGCTTCATCGCGCACGGTGATTGAGTCTGGAGATATTTGAGTAAGATCGGTTCATGTGGCTATGGATATAACTTTGCTGTGAATTTTTTTTTTGTTGGTTTAAGATTTCATGGTTCTGGGTTTGATCCTGCATTTTTTTTACCCAAGTTCATCCCTTTTGTTCTCTCTCTGTTTCTTAAATTTAGCGATATACCATATGTATGTGTATACTTGATTCATTTGAAATTTGGAACACATAAGCTAACTGTGTGTTAATGCGAGTTACAGGATTATAGATGTTACTAACAATGGTTATCCCTTGCTCGTGTAAGTCAGAATGTGGTTTTGGATATCACTTGTGTGGTTAAGAAGGAGGGGTATATTTGTCACCCCATTCTTCACCTTTTTCAGATATCTGATTTCCTAAACCAATACCACCTGTTGAAAGGGCTTCTTCAACAGTGCTCAAATCCAATTTTTACACTTCTTCTTACATTGCAGGGCAAGTGGGTTTGATGGGCATATTTTTCAAAAATCCCCAACCAAACGTGATTTACTCAAATTTCCACATGCACTTACCTAGCAAAGTTTTAACTTCTCTCCAACCAAACACTACCTGAGACACTGCTATATTCAGAAGGATTAACAACTAAGCTTCAGTCCAATGACACATGTTTGCATGACATAAAAATAAATCTCTGAAAAGATACTTCTCAAATAACATGAACCCTCCCCAAGAAAAAATAACAAAATCCGACATTTAAAAAAAATCCCATCACCGGCTCTTCAAATTTTTTCAAACAAACACAATATTGAATAACATAGCAGGGTCACAACAAACACCAGTAAATCAAGAAATAAATTTTAAATTATGTCATTTTAAGATAGATAAAGAAGGAGAGAGAGTTGACAAAAAAAATAAAGGTGTAAGTCTCACCTCTTTTTGAGAGTGAAATGACATAACTTGTATCATTTAAAAGGATAAACATTTTTTCATATATATATATATATATATATATATATATATATATATATATATATATATATAAGTCATGCAAAATCCAACTCACGCACCACATATATATATGGGATTTGCATTTGTCATTTAACATGACACAACAAACTTTCCTACACACACAACATTTTGTGGGGCCCACACTTTTTGAAGAAAAAAGAAAAAAAAGATATTACGGCACGCAAAACGAATCTCTATAACATTACACAATCACTTTTTCTACAACATAACTCTTATAAAACCCTATATATATATATATATATGTAACTTGTGTCACTTTTTTGGTACATAGATAATAACAAAATTTAGATAAAGTATATACACTTTGAATATAGCAGTGTCTCAAAGGGCAACAGCCAATACATATAGGACTGTGTCTTTGTTTATCTTTCTTACTGGAACGCGGCTCGCACTGTACCATGTCTTTTGCATTATTTTTTTGGATGTGGCGTATTGATACGCGGTTGATGCAGTACTGCGTCCTGTGCATATATATTTGCAAAGGACGCGGCTGAGAGAGTAACGCGTCCCAGTGGGCCCAGAACCAGTACACAGGACGCGGTTGCCTATGTGTCATGTCTTAAAACGTTACTCTCCCTACCGCGTCATTATGTATTATTTAGGTAATACATTTGACCAAGAAATTATTTCGGTCAAACATTATAAATATTACACTACCAAGGTCAAAAGGCCATGTATATCCAAATGAGGGCGGTTATACTTACTACTGAAAAGTTTTAGAACTCTTACTACTAAACTAATCACCGTTGATTTTCGCCAATTTAACGATTTTAATATATTGGAAATTTAAATTAATTAATAATTGTACTCAATAAATTATAACCGTTAGATTGACGGAAATCAACGAGAATTAGTTTAGTAATAAGAGTTATAAAAATTTTCAGCAGTAAATATAACTTCTCCCTATCCAAATACATAATACAGAACAAAAGCATTCAAAAAGTCTGTTTAACCAATAAAATGAGGTGAAATGAGTTGAGGAAAGAGAGGGCTATTATGAGTAATATAAAAAGGGGAATGATATTGTAACAACCAAGTTGTGTTACTACCATGTTACTACCAATCAAACTCACTGTTACATCGATTATGTTGATTCTACGGTTATATTTATTTCCATATTTGTATGGTCATGATTTTCCAAATTTAATACTTTACATTTATTTTCACCTTTGTATGATTATGATTTCTCATATTTAATGCTTTCACTTTACATATGGGGAATCACAAGCATACAAAGATGAAAATAAATATAACCGTTGGATCAACATAATCGATCTAACTGTGAGATTGATTGATAGTAACATGGTTGTAATACAACTTGGATGTTACAATATCCTTCCCCGTATAAAAAATATAAAATAAAAATAAAATTTAGTATACTAGGCCAGTCTAAGAGGCTTTCAGACTCGACTTTTGAATTGGAGCCTGAAGCTTTTTTATTAAACTGACTTTTTTACAAGTCCAAGCCTGGTTCCAACAATCAATTTTAGACATGTAAACTCAGACTTTCACGAGCCGAGTGAAAAGCTCCTGATTTGTTTAGCTCCTCTAACTACTGGTGTTTGTCATCCAGATTGGGCAGGGCTAGACTTTGCTTCTTTATTTATTGTTTTTCTTTTATTGTCTTTTTTCTTGCTTTATTTTCATATATCAATAAAAAAAGTATTATTTTATAAAGTAACCACACTAAGAGGTAAAAATAAGAGGATGTTGGGTTGGGGTTTTCTTAGAGGATACCCAACCATCACATATTAGGAATTTATGGCGACCATTTTTGGTTCAAGTTTTTTTAACAATTTTGGCATCAAACCAATTGGTCCAGACTTTTAGAATTGTTTGGATAAAGTGACCACATACACTGTGCCAAAATGTCCTTTGGAAGTGGTATTGTAAGATGACCGGCTAAATTGAGAAGTGAGAACAAAAAATGTGATAGAAATACCCTCTCCTATACATCTCTGCAAAGCCTCATTTTAACACTGTTCAAAGCCTAATTTTCTCGATATTATCAGTATCATCATCAGCCAAATGAATTGCAGCCATAACAGATAGCAACTTCAAAGACTGCAAAGGAAAAAATTTGGTCAAGAATATAACAAAATGTAATACAAACTCAGTAACAAAATAATGTTCATAATTGTGTCATACAACAGAGCGAGCAGTCATGGTGATGGCTCAAATATCTTCTTTCCATGTCCAAACACGAGGCATTGAATCAGAATCATGGTTAAACAACAACGTAAACCTGCTTTCAAATTTAACATAAGTAAGAGCCTCTAAAGTAAGATTTGAAGGAAAAAGTAAAAGCCAACTTGGATGTTGAAGAAGGTTCATACCTGTCCTTCATACGAATTAGAACTCTTCAGCTTCTTCCCTAGCCTTTCCTTCTACCAGACCCCTTGCATAATCCTCTAAACTCAAAATCATTCTGTGTCTTGTTTCTTCATCCATATCAAACCCAGTAAGCGCAGTAAATATGTACTTCTATTGACATTCAAAAATTAAAAAGGGGTTAATTTTCTAATTTTAATATATTTTTTCATCAATATTTTATCTTCAACTAAACATAAATTCAAAAAAATTTAACCAATTTTTCTGATAATATTATGTCCTACCAAATAATTTTTTTTCAACTTTAACAGCAAATTTACTTTCCCTCAATTTTCCCATTAATTATATTTTTCTAGTAAATTTTTTTTTCAACCCTCCCAAAAAGTGTTTAAAAGTTTATGCTGGAACGAGGAAAAGTGGGAAAGAAAGGAAGAGAGATTAGATCAATTTATATTTATTTTATTTATTTATTTTTTTAGTATCATTGTTTGTTTATTAAATATTTCACAAAATGATTAAATCTTATGACACTATTATAATCATACAGGAACCTTTTTAGACCAGGCGATTTTGCCTGTGCTTTATAGTTTGTTTATTTTAAATTTTTTCAAAGCCAACAGGTGTTGTACTTGTAGAGGAGCTACAGATATCCTTCTCTTTGAAAGCATGTTGTGAAATTTAGTACGCTCGAGGGTGTCATCAAATCGTCATGAAAAAAAAATGGTAAACATCTTAAATTTCTCATGTAGATTTTATTAAATTAATTTTGTAATTGCTTTAATTATTTAGAATTACTTTCGAAAGGACGAGAATTTGGAAGGGTGGATTAACTTAGAAACATATAGGAACACACAAATTGTTTTTAAATGAAAATGTTTTGAAAAACATGGGCTGCCAAAAAATTTGGTTATTATATAGTTACTTTTTTCAAAGCAACAAGTGGCATTATTATTTATAAAATCATGGTATGTTGCAAGTTGTTGAAGAATTAATTGGTCTACGCGTTGAATCTTATTTTATAATATCATTGCCGGCTGTTTATGGTTATAAAAAGGAACCGCGACTCCTCTTCTCTTTGCAGAGCAAAGTCTGATTTGTTTGCTTTAATTAGGAACTGTATTATATCTACAATGCCGGGCATTATTACATGCAAAGGTATAAATCATTAAGCATGTTTTTCTCTTCAATTTTTTATCTGATTTCCAAACATTGTTATGCAGCATTTCCATAGTAGCTAAGATACCTCTGGTTCATATAAATATGTATATGTATAAATTTTGGTTTGGATATTGTAGCTGCCATATGCTTGGGGGTAGGAAAACCCGTGACGGTGGAAGAGATACAAGTAGATCCACCAAAAGCAACCGAAGTTAGAGTTAAGATGCTTTGTGCTAGTGTATGCCACACAGACATTTCAAGCACTCAAGGATTCCCATGTGTTAAGAGTCCTTTCAATCCTATGCTCTTGAGTTTGACTTTCCTTTCGATATATATATATATGATTAGGATCATTTTGTACCGCTGCAAAATTAATAAGTCTTATACCACATTTCAACCATTGATTTCTGTGCATTCAACAGTTATAATTTAGGAAGTCATATGAATTAATTAATATTAATTAATCATTAATTACATTACAAATATCAACCGATGATTTTCGTCCATTAACAACTGAGATGTGGTGTAAGACTTGTGAATCTTATACTGTTGTAAAAAAAACCTATCCTCTATATGTATATATATATATATATATATATATATATATATTTCACTATTGAATATTCCACTAATTGATTACTACAAACTAATTTGCAGGGTAATTTTCCTCTAGCACTTGGACACGAAGGAGTTGGGTAAGCTCGAAAATTAGTATTTTTCTATTTACGTGATCATATAAGAACAAATCAAGAGAGTGTAACATATTTTGCTTGTGACTTAATTGTATCTGCAATTAATTACATGTATTGCATTGCTTGCAGTGTTGTAGAGACTATTGGTGATCGAGTGACAAATCTGAAAGAAGGTGATGTGGTAATTCCAACATACATAGGCGAGTGCCGAGAATGTGTGAATTGTGTTTCAGAGAAAACCAATTTGTGTCTGACATACCCTGTAAGGTTGAGTGGTCTAATGCCAGATAACACTTCAAGGATGTCCATTCGAGGCCAGAGGCTACACCACGTTTTAAGTTGCGCTACATGGTCAGAGTACATGGTTATTGATGCCAACTACGTACTCAAAGTTGATCCAAACATTGATCTAGCCCATGCTAGTTTCATCTCATGTGGGTTTTCAACTGGTTTTGGTGCTGCTTGGAAGGAAGCCAAGGTTGAAAGTGGATCAAGTGTAGCTGTTTTCGGTCTTGGGGCTGTTGGATTAGGGGTATGTATGCATTATGTAATTGTATTAGTTAGTGTCAGTTTTTTTTTTCTTCTAATTTTGAAGCTTGAATTTTGATTCTAAATGAGAATGACCTTGTGCTGCAGGCTATAAGTGGAGCCAAAATAATGGGAGCAACCAAGATAATTGGGATTGACAAAAATGAGATGAAGAAAGAAAAAGGAGAAGCTTTTGGAATGACTGACTTTATAAATCCTGGTGATTCTGCTAAATCTGCTTCAGAATTGGTGAAGGAACTGAGTGGTGGAATGGGTGTGGATTATTCCTTTGAATGCACTGGAGTTGGCCCTTTACTTACAGAATCATTGGAAGCCACAAAAGTGGTAATTTAATATGTTCACCTCATCAAGAAGTTCAGTTTTTTGGTTTGGTCAAATAATTTTTTATCACTGAGATTTGTATGATATATTCCATAAACCTACTCGTATTATTGTTCTCCCCAATCCTTCTATACTATTGTGTTTCTAAATCTTGTTTCTGTATATATAGGGAACGGGTACAGCAATAGCAATTGGTACAGGATCAGATCCTATTGTGCCGTTTGGTCTTGCTTCTATTATGTATGGTAGAACTTTGAAAGGTTCTGTTTTTGGAGGGCTTAAAGCCATATCAGACCTTTCCATTATAGCTAACAAATGCCAGAAAGAGGTAATAATCTACACATTTAACTATAGCAGATGTACTGTCTAGATTCTTTCTTGCATATATTTTAAAGGAAAATATATTATGATGTTGTTGGAAAGTATTTTTTTCTCATATATATATATATATATATAGGATAAATATTTCTGCAGCCACTTTAGATAAGCTTATTTACAGCTATCCTTTGTAAATATGTTTTTCCGGAAGATCATAGTTATAACATTAAAAGTTACTTTTTTTCTCTCTCCTCATTTACTTTTCAGAATTTGTCTGGTGACGTGGAAAGAGAAAAAAAACAACTTTAATGTTATAACTATGTTCTCCGGGAAAAACATAGTCATAAATAGGTAGTTGTAGATAAGCTTATCTAAAGTGGCTGTAGAAATATTTTTTCCTATATAATATATATATTGATTTTTGTGTTAATTTTTTTTTAATAAATAGGTGGACCCTATGTATGATTATGTCTATAGTATAAGAGAGCTTTTTTCCTATTTATGATATTAATAAAAATCATATTTTAATGTATGTGTGTGCAACGGTATGAATCATTTGTTAAAATAATAAGAGACAGCATAATAAAAAACAATTCTAGTTTGTATGACTTTTAAAATAGTTTAAAAACCTTTACCGAAAAAAAAGAAAAAAAAAGTTTAAAAACAATCCTATTGCATAGAGCTCTAAATTTTTATTGATCACTAACAATTTAATCTACACCTAAAAAGAGAGAACAAAATCAATGATTTTGCATCAACCGCGTGTAACAAAGAATATGACATAAGAGATCCTATCAATTTTTATTGTGAAATCATTTTCTCGTATTATTGAAAATTATTTTCTTATTTTGTGAGTCTAAATTTGTGTTATCCTCTTTTTATTTTTTTAACAAGTAAGGGATCCTATCACTTAATGTGTTTATGACATAAGAAATGTTATTTCATATAGCATGAGAAAAGAGAAACTATTGTTTATATGTATCAAATGAAAGAGAATTCAAAATTTTTAATCCTATGTATTGATCATAAAAAAACTAAGGAAAAAAAGTTTATCTTTTTAAATGACACAACTTATATCATTTCACTCACACAAAGAGGTGGGACCCACACCTTTACTTTCTTTGTCAATTTTCTCTCCATTTTTCTCTATTTCTTTTTCTTAAAATGACAGAACTTTACATTCTTTAGAATGATAAACACTTTTCCTAAAAACTAATCACAAAAAACTATTGTGTAACTCAATTATTTATAATTTTGTGCGCTATTTTACACACAATAGCAAAATCCAGGAAAAAAAAATATACCCGAAAAACTTGAATTTTTGCTATCAAACGAGACATTCTAATTTTTCCAAGCAAACTTTCTTAGAAATTAAAAAAAAAAAAATCTGTTACCAAACACTACCTAATAATCATAAACGAATGATAATAATGGTGTTGGACTATTTTTCATTTTACAGGAATTTCCGCTTCAAGAACTATTCACTCACGAGGTTCCTTTGGCTGATATAAACAAAGCATTTGAGCTATTGAAGCAACCCAATTGTGTGAAAGTTGTCATCAAGATGTAATGTTCTAGCATCTGTTTCCTATAAGACTGACAATCTTCAATAATGGCTGCAGAGATTCACTTGCAATTCCGAGTGGCTTCAGAGAAGCAAAATGTACGGGGCTGTTGTCTTTGCTTTTAAATTTTTTTAATAATTTGTATGAATAAATATTTCAGTTATCAAAAGATATATTAGGACATTAAATTCGTCATTCAGGGATTTTTAGATGTCATTTTTATTTTTTAAGTATAAAATAAATATCAATTTAAAAAACAAATTGATATAAGAAATATTATTTTTTTTATTCTAAATATTCAGGGATTAAATTGATGTCCAAAATCTTTAAATGACTAATATAACATCATTTATATTTTTGAATAATCAATTTTAGTATTTACTCAAAGCGTAGCAGTGAACTATTTTGTTTAAAACCAAACATACCCCAAATTGAGGAGTTTTATAGTTGATCCGCCTACGTTAACCATCGATATCTCTCCCTTTGCGTTTTTTTGTAACAGCCCCAAACTCAAACCCTGTAACATGATATTGTCCGCTTTGCCCCGAGCACAATCACCGTCGAGCTCACGGTTTTGTTTCTTGGGACACCCCACAAAAGACCTCGCACTAGAAGAGGTATCCACACCCTTATAAGGCATGCTTTGTTCCTCTCTCCAACCGATGTAGGACATTACATCCTCCCCAATAGAAATACAGCGTCCCCGTTGTACACACCGGTCCAGGGCTAGCTCTGATACCAAATGTAACAGTCTCAAACCCTGTAGCATGATATTGTCCGCTTTGTCCCGCGCACAAGCACCGTCGAGCTCACGATTTTGTTTCTTGGGACACCCCACAAAAGGCCTCACACTAGAAGAGGTATCCACACCCTTATAAGGCATGCTCCGTTCCCCTCTCCAATCGATGTGGGACATTACATTTTTCGTCAGCCAATCAAACATGCAATTTTATTTTAATTTTTCTGAATCTCGTTAATTTTTATCTAATTATTTATGCAGTATTATTTACACTCTTGCAAATATTTATTACCCTTACCAGAATTTTAAATCAATTAAATCTAAATAAACTTAACTAGACAATATGAACCCATTTTCTATGTACAATTTTAGATTCTCACATTTTTGCCCACATAATTAAAAAAGATACTCGGCATTTAAAGTTGAGCTTACGGGGTGTTTGATAGAAGAGAAATTTTTTTATCCGAAAATCACGATTTTCAGAAATATGATAGAAAGATGAGTTTTTTTGGGAATATTACTAAAAAATTATTTGGTAGACTAAAATATTCTCCGGAATATTGAATTAATTTTCTTGATGCTATGTTTAGTAATATTAAATTTTTCCTTATCATAGAAATCCTAGAATACCTCCCCTGGATGATATTTTCAAAAAAAATTACAAATAAAATAAAATTATGGAAAAATCAGATTCTGAATTTTTTTAGAATTTTTAAAAATTTCAAAAAAAAAACCTTGTAATAAACGTCTCGCGGGGCATTTTGCATGACGTAGAGGTGGTGTGTAACACTAGCTACTGGATTCTGGAAGGTCATTTTGGGGAACAGTGATCATTTTGTCACGCTTCACCAAATTATTTACCAGACTGTTATGTCAACAGTAAAATTTTTCGAAATGACACGTAGCATAATTCGCTACACATGTAGCGAAATACGTGGTCAAAATATCAGAGTGCACAGTCAGCAACATGTCACGTGTCAATCAGACAGTAATTCACTACACTGTGTAGCGAATTATTGCAAGCTTGACACGTGTCCTGAAAATGAGCTAAAAATGTAAATAAAAAAGAAAAAATTCTTCCTTATTGAGGAATATTTATTGAAAGTTAAACATGCTGGGGACCAGGCTTTCAAAAACAGTTTGGGAGTTAACAGTTGCAATAAAGGCAGTGGTTTAGGAATTAAACTGACAACCATCTTCGTTTACACTACAAAACCATACATCGTTGCTTCTCTCATCAACTGACTTAAATTTATTTATTTATTTTGACTTTTCAAAGCAACAATGGCTTTATTATCTACCAAATCTTGGTCCCCTCACTTGATTATATTCCGTAGTAGGGTGCAATTTGTTCTAAAATAAATTAAAGAGAAATTATATATATATATATATATATATATTACTTGCTAAAGAGGGAAACGTTGGACCAATGCCATTGTGCCAATTATTATTGACATCAATCTTATTTTATAATAGCATTACTCGCTATTTTTTTAGACTTCTAATTAAGGGACGAACTCCTTATCAGCGTTGAATGGTTGTTGTTCATTACTCAATTCTTTTTGGTTATAAAAAGTAACCACCGCACCTCCTCTTCTCTTTGCAGTCCAAAGTCTGAATTTTTGCTTTAATTAGGAAAACAGTATTCTATCTACAATGACCAATACCTCAGAGGTTATTACATGCAAAGGTGATCAATCATCAAGCATGCTTACTACTTTGATTTTTCATCTTTTCAAATATAATATATATATATATATATATATATATATATATATATGTGAGATACGTCTGGTTCATATATGTATATATTTGTATAAATTTTGGTTTGGATATTGTAGCTGCCATATGCTGGGGGTTAGGAAAACCTGTAACGGTGGAAGAGATACAAGTAGACCCACCAAAAGCAACAGAAGTTCGAGTTAAGATGCTTTGTGCGAGTTTATGCCATACAGACATCTTAGGCACTCAAGGATTCCCAAGTGTTAAGTCCTTTTTCAATTAATCATATGCTTTGAGTTTGAGTTAGCTTTAGCTTATAAAAATTATATATCTATTTTCTTCATATATTTCTTCCACTAATGGATTACTACAAACTAATTTGCAGGGTAATTTTCCTCTAGCACTTGGACACGAAGGAGTTGGGTAAGCTCGATAAATAGTACTTTTCTTTTTTCGTGTTCCTATATGTACCAATCAAAGGACTCAAAACTTTTTTTGTTATGTATGCATTGATTGCAGTGTTTTAGAGAGTGTCGGTGATCAGGTGACAAATCTGAAAGAAGGTGATATGGTAATTCCAACATACATAGGCGAGTGCCGAGAATGTGTGAATTGTGTTTCAGATAAAACCAATTTATGTCTGACATACCCTTTAAGGTTGAGTGGTCTAATGCCAGATAACACTTCAAGAATGTCCAATATTGGAGGCCAGAGGCTATACCACCTTTTAAGTTGCGCTACATGGTCAGAGTACATGGTTATTGATGCCAACTATATTCTCAAAGTTGATCCAAACATTGATCTAGCCCATGCTAGTTTCATTTCATGTGGGTTTTCAACTGGTTTTGGTGCTGCTTGGAAGGAAGCCAAGGTTGAAAGTGGATCAAGTGTAGCTGTTTTCGGTCTTGGGGCTGTTGGATTAGGGGTATATATGCATTATGCAATAGTATTAGTTTGTGTCAGTTTTTTTTTTTTCCATCTAATTTTGAAGCTTGAATTTTGATTCTAAATGAGAATGACCTTGTGCTGCAGGCTATAAGCGGAGCTAAAATGCACGGAGCAACTAAGATAATTGGGATTGACAAAAATGAGATGAAGAGAAAAAAAGGAGAAGCTTTTGGAATGACTGACTTTATAAATACTGGTGATTCTGCTAAATCTGCTTCAGAATTGGTGAAGGAACTGAGTGGTGGAATGGGTGTGGATTATTCCTTTGAATGCACTGGAGTTGCCCCTTTACTTACAGAATCATTGGAAGCCACAAAAGTGGTAAGTTAATAAGTTTCACCTCATCAAGAAGTTCAGTTGTTTGGTTTGGTCAAATGATTTTTTATCACTGAGATTTGTATGATATATTCCATCAACCTACTCATATTATTGTTCTCCCCCATCCTTCTATACTATTGTGTTTCTGTATATATAGGGAACAGGTAAAGCAATAGCAATTGGCGTAGGATCAGAACCTGTTGTACCGGTTGGAATTCTTCCCATTATATATGGTAGAACTTTGAAAGGTTCTGCTTTTGGAGGGCTAAAAGCCATATCCGACCTTTCCATTATAGCTAACAAATGCCAAAATGAGGTAATCCTCTAGACATTTAACTATAGCAGATGATTCTTTCTTGCATATATTTTAATGTAGATATGTTGATGCTAGAGTCTTGAAAGGTTTTCTATAAAGAATAAGAAACAACATAATTAAAAAAATTATATTTTATTTGTTTTTTAAAATAGTTTAAGTTTGATAAAATTGCTTAAGAGACAACCTAAATTAACCACCAAATCAAGTAATAATATTTTGTTTACACCAAAAAAAGAAAAAAAAAATTAATGAATTTTGCACCAACAACTGTTAGTAGAAAATATTGCAATAATTTTTACGTTATACATGTTTTGAATAAATTTATTCCGAATATTTATAACTAATATCACTAGTGTTATATATTCCTATTTGCGAAAAGGTGCACTTGATTATTTCTTTCATAAAAAAATAGTAAAATACCATTGATAAAATAAAAAAATAAATAAGCTGACAAGTCACAAGCATAAAAATTACGTGATTCACCCATAATCAAGTTACATTCACAAGAAAGATTAAAATTCACTATGAAAAATTATAGAATACACAATATACCAACACTCAATTTTTTTTATTTTTTATTTTTAAAAAAACTAAGAACCTTATATACACCATCTTATTATTTCTATATAATTGAATTTTCTCGGCTCTCTCATCACTAATCCTTCAACAACCCTTATTTATACACAAGGAGAAATTTAATACAATATCAACTAATAGAGAAATAACATTCCACAAATAATTAATTTAGCAATTGAAAGTTATCTCCCAATCTTTGCAAAAATAAAAAATAAAAAAAATTCCCCATTATTCAGGACTCAAACTCTAAATACTCTATCATGAATAAGGTAACACGAATATCACATAGGTGAAAGACACACCCCCCCCCCCCCCCCCCCCCCCCCCCCCCCCCCAACACAAAGAGATTTTTCAGTACTCATGCTTATCAAATGATGGATAATATAAAATTTTTAGTTCTATACAATGATAATGAAACAACTATTTCTCGTTTTACAGGAATTCCCTCTTCAAGAACTATTCACTCATGAGGTCCAATTGGCAGATATAAACAAAGCATTTGAGCTATTGAAAGAACCTGATTGTGTGAAAGTTGTCATCAAGTTCTGATATTCTAGCAACTGTACGTGTCCACAAGACAGGAAATCTTCAATAAAGACCACATGAGTGCAATTATAATTTAAGAATTGTCTATCAATGAGGAAAACCTGAACCCAAAATGGGACCTGCACGGTTCTTTCCCTCCCATCGAAATCGCCTCACATGACACGCTAACTAATTTTTTTTAGTAGATAATTTCGGCCTTTTTATCTCCGTAATGTAGTTGCTTTTTAAAACAAGGTATTGTTATTTTTAAATTAGTTAATAAACTAGTGATTTAAAACTAAAGGATGTTGGTTTAGGGTTCAAAAGTCTGATTCAAAGTTGTGACCCCCTTTTTTTTTAGAACTCCAAACTGAGTACGATTTGAATGTACGCAAGCTAATAAAGAAATCTATATCATAGTAAGAGACGAGAATCATAGAGAAAGAAGAGAATTCCAGTGTAACAAAAAGTGAAGACGGTTCAGTGTTGACATGAATAAAATGAGCTTTAAGCCTTGTTGGTTTAAGGGAACTATTTGACAGTTTAAGTTATGATTACAGTTTTTGTAATTGTTTTAATTATGGAAGTGATTTTAAACTGAAACGTTTTTAATGAAAAGGAAAAAGTTCATCCGTATTTTAATTCAATTACCGTGATTATAACTGCGCTAAATAGTATACGTAATGTTAACAAACCAGTGAACAACGAAGTATTACATTTTAGGTTTAGGGTGATTTGATTGTAACTATTAAAGCGACTATTAGTATTCAAAAAAAAACAATTCTTGATTATTAAAGTGATTTGGTCTCTTTCAAATGATAGATCCTTCTCAATCAAATCAGCTTATGCAGAGATGTGCATGAGTCGAATTGAACTAATTTTTTTTAAAAATCAAACCAAATTAACTTAAATGGTTTGGTTCAAAACTGGTTCGGCTCTGTTCGAAAATGATTTTGTTTGGTAAAAAATAGTTTGGTTCAGTTCGGAACCGGTTCGGGTCGACCCTATTCTGAAAAGAAAAGAAAAGGAATTAAAAAATTAAAGAAATAAGAATCCATTCGGTTCGGTTCAAAAACGGTTCGATTCAATTCAATTCAAAAATGATTCGGTTCTAGAACTGGTTTTGAAAACCAGTTTGGTTCATGAACTGATTTTTAAAAATCAAAATTATTTTAAGTACAGTTTAGTTCACGGTTCAGATGACTGGGATATTACTTGGAAATGGAACGACCCCAGAGGATTAGAATATTTCTTTGGCAACTCAAAGGCCGTAACCTTCTTCTTAATGACAGGAGAGTAGAGAGACATCTTACTAGCTACAATCTATGCCCTAGATGCCAAAATTATGTAGAGGACAAACGTCATGTAGTGAGGGACTTCATATGGTGTAGAAAGGTGTGGGAGAGGATCCTACCAACTTATCTTAAGTCAGCCTTTTACAATTAGCGACTTGAGGAGTGGATAATTTTGAGCTTGGAGTTCGAAGCAAACACTCGTGACACTCAAGACTGGCAATTAAGATTTGGAGTTACTTGCTGGAGCTTGTTGAAAGCTAGAAACAAACTAGTTTTTGATGGGAAAATTACCCAAGATTTAGAATTGATTCATGCTATAGAAGGCCTCATTTATAATTTATGTATGCACAGAACAGAGGTTGTTCTGTTGGTCTAACAACGCCCTCAAAAGTTGAAAAGTTTATCCGCTGGACCTTTCCCCCCGTGAGAGATGGATCAAAGTTAAAGTAGATGGATCCAGCTCAAACGAAGGAAGAAAATCCAGTTGTGAAGGTGTGCTTAGAAATGACAGAGGTCTCTGGATTTTGGGGTTCTATAGATATATGGACTTTGATTCGTCTTAGTTGCTGAACTTTGGGGCTTTCTTTGTAGGCTTAAAGTTGTGTGGAATGGTGGTTATCGTCGAGTTTGGAGAATGTGACTCCCTCCTGTGTTAGATAATACAGATATATAAAACTATTAATCTAACTTCATCTAACGACTTAAGTTTTTGTATTAATATGGTTCTTTATATGGTATCAGAGTCTGATATTCACAACTCCCTATTTAGTTAATAATTAATTAAGTCTTGTGAAATTTCTTAGCACAGGTTAGATCTACGCATTATCCACCCTTCAAGTCGAGTGGGCTTGTGTGAGGGGGGAATGTTAGATGTATATAAAATTATTAATGTAACCTCATTCTACGACTTAAATTTTTTAGTTGAAAGGTTCTTTATGTGGTTGTTGATTTCATTAACAAAGGTTGTCCAGAAAATCACCCCATGACTCCTATTATTGACAAAATTCATAGGTTACTGGAGAAACCTTGTCACTGGTACCTTTCGCGAAGGGAATATGGTGGCAGATTGGATAACATCTTTTCCTTACGCGGATAGTAGTTGGGATACTCAAGTTATTCAGGATCCTCTTAGTGTTTGTAGGAACTTGTTAGAAATGGAATTTAGAGGTGTTAGTAGCCTCAGGTTCCGACCTAATTAGGTGTTTTTTGTAATTTTTCTTATTTTAAAAAAAAAAAAGCATGACTGTTAACAAATAATTACTTAAACATTATTTTTATAATATTTATTTTTATAAAATCATATCCCTCAATCATGATTAACTAGAAAACTGGTTTTTATAATATTATATAAAAGTTGGAGATGGAACATGACACCTACAATTAGGGTAACACAGCGTGTCAGTGTATGGCGTTTATGTCTTGTTAAATCTAATTTGTGGGTTAAATTGTTCAACTCGAATACGATACGTTTTTTTTTTTTTGTGGGTCACACGGGTTAATCCAAAAAAATTGAAAACTTAATTTTTTTTCTCTAAAAAAATTAAAATAAAAGAGAAAAATCAAATAAAGTATATAGATTGACTTGTGAACCGTAACGAAGTATGTCAAAATCATCAAAATTTCAATGTTTTTAACAAAAAAAAGTTTTTGTTGGTTGACACGTTGGTCAGGCATATCAACCCGTGATATGACCCGACACTAATTTATATCGTTTACCCAAATCTACATACAACCTGTTTTATCTCATTGATCGACATGGCCCATATTTTGACGTGATATGTTATGAGTCGAATCCACCAGTCGTGACAGGTTTTGCAAGCCGTGGCTACAATTTGATTTTTGGTTTAAGAATTGTAACAAACTGGCTTGTTCCACCATCAACTGACCTGCTTATGGTTCGGCAACTCCTCAAAACTCAACTTTTGGTAAAAATACTGATCAAAACCCATTTTAACAAGGAATAATAATGAAATACAATTCCTTTCAATTCTAAGTCATAAATCACATATAATGTTTACTTTCTCTTTAAAATTACAAATTTATGAGTTTAAAATTAGTTTCAAGTCTCTCTGACTCTCCCTTTTTTTATTAACACATTATCAAAATGGTCGAAGTGGTCAAAGGTAAATCAAGTAGTCTCATTCTCACCTACATGACGTTAGATTTAAATTTTTTAAATACTAACATAAATAGAATTTAAGTTAATTGAGTTATACACTCTAGTTTTAAATAAAATTCTTACAAATAAAACAAATTTTTGTCGTTTTTTTTTTTTGGTAAAATATTATTGTCGTCTTTATTCCTTTTATTTTCTCGATATCTATAATTTACTTAGGTGCTTGTTATGCAATTCATTTAGTTTCCATTTGAACCATGATTGTTTGAGCACACAAGTCTCAAGTCAAGCCTCTATTAGCGCCACAAGTTGCAATCAAATATTACAGCAAAACAGAGCACAATACTTCATTGTTCTATGCTCTAAGCCTAGTTCACGTTCAGCTTAAATGAAATTTGATACCATCATACTTTCATAACATGCAGTCTCTCCTCTCCTTAATCATCATAACAGAAATTTTCGTTAATAAATACACTTAAATTTCTATCCAAGATTAAGATGTCACACGCGCCAAACATAACATGATCTGTCATCTAGCTTTACCGCTTTCACTAATCTATTTAAACCAAATAGAGCAAGATTTAGCGTTCGTCAATTATAGTAATACTAATAGTAAAGACTGTTGAAACCAGGAACAGAGGAAACCCTGTCATAAAAATAGTCATCCACAAGTTCCTAGTAATATGTTTGAAATTATGTTGGCTGAAATTCTCTCTATATACAAACAACCGTAACTATGCATTCTGAAACCAAAAATGACAATACTATAAAGTATGGATTTGGCAAAGAAGTAAAGAGAAAACTTAGTGACTCTTGAAGGGCACACGAACCGGGGAACAATGTCCACTTTGTATAAGGAGTAAGGACTGGACGATTACATGCATGATGGGCTATAGCTTTATCGAAGGCATCTGGAACAAGATAATGTACATCATTCGAAATACCAGCATATTTATTTATCTGTGAATCTCCCAAAAAGGAGCAACGAAGTATTCACATGTTGCCCATCATCAGGCAAAGGCTCAGGTTTTGAAACAGGTTTGATATGTTCCTTGTTTGAAGAAGGGAAGGATAGAGAAAGGGAAAGTGATGCAGCAACATTGTCATCCTCTTGCTCATCTGCCAATATATCAGGACTCTTTTCGTGGTTATTTTTCTTGTCAACTGCCCCAACAAAGAAAGGCAGCATACCCTTATGTGACGGTTTCGTTTCACCCCCCAAAGCAAGCTCTAGATTAGGAATCCCAACTTGAAATTGGTCCCCGTACTCATAAGGCCCTTTCAATGACATGCTATTCAGCACCATTCGCGAGTCATTTTTATTGTGTGTATCAACAGGAAAGAAGGTTCTTTCCATCGTTCCCAAGTCCTCGTGGATGATTTTCTCATCACAAGCTTCTTTGCATCCTTTGCCCTCAACTGAAGAACAGGAACCAAAATCATTTGCAACTGACGCAAAACTGCCATTAAAAGAGTCCCTACCTCCAGAACTGTGACATCCATAACTGAAACCTGTCCTCAGCTTCTTGCTAGAACTTTCTCCGTCTTCCAGTTTGCCATTTACCTCATTCCAAGGCATTTTCTGACAGCTAATGGCTGAAGCCTCCATAACTGTAACTGAAAGATCTATATGCTGAACTTTTTTATCATTAGGTTGCTGACAGATGGTTCCTTTTACAGACAGGTCTCCCTGAAACGTTGCCTCCATGTTAATATTGAGATCTTCAATCTGTTTGCTTTTAGGCCTTAGTTGATTTTCATCACTGTTCATCCTCTCTGAAATTTTAGCCTTACTGATATTGCATGCGGTACCTATCTCTTGATTGCCAAAAGAAGGAAACCCCGAAGACAAGGAGGTCTCTTGCTTAATAGAGATATCATAATCAGTTTTTGTTTCCACAATCCTACAGCCTACACTTGCTCCCACTGCGTCAGGAGGTTTAGACTCTCTGTATTGTCCATGTGCAGGTACAGTATCTTTCTGCACAAAGCAAGAACACTGTTAGAAAAATAATGAGAGATGATAAGCAGCAGCACTTGCTCTTCATAGAACACTTACAAACTACTTGGTTTCTCCCCTCCCAAAAATGATCAAAAAGGTCTCTCATACCAGTATTACTTTATTATACTTATGTTTCATCTTCCCTTGGATATATAATAGAAAGATTGGTAAATTTATATAATTAACAACTCAACCTCATTATAGGACCATCAAGGCCTAAAATTTTTTATACAAACCAATATATACATTTCTATAATCTAGGCAGTCAAAATCGCATTTCTAATATAAGATCACGATGTTGATAGCATGCAAGCAGATTTATATCAAATAGCAAACAGCAACTTTTGTTTCTATCAAGTTACACATTTAAGGATAAAAACATTACCTGGGATGAACCAGTGGAATTTATTTCTTGGCACAATTGCGAACTGCTTGTCAGAATCCTTGGTGTAAATTTGGTGTTGATTCTCATATCTTGACTTTGTGAACCCAAATGTGTCTGATCAAAAATAGTTTCTTTGATATCAAAATTCCTACTTACCATATTATGACCTTGGTCAACGGAAGTGGATGGGAGAAGTGCACTGCAAAATTTACCACAAGTAATTGGTTCTTCATCCATGCGCTTTGGTGAACAACGAGTTTCAGACAAAGTCATAACAGCAGTTGGAAAATTATTCTCATTTGACATCACATTCAAACTGGGAATAAATATCTTTTTTGCAGAATCTGAATGATTAATCCTCCTCCCTCTAAATATGCCCCACAAGAAAAACAGCATATTCCAACCTGCAGAAACGATAGGATTTTAACAATTGATTTTCTTATTAAAAAATGTTGTTACATAGATGTTCACTTAAGATTTCACCCAAGTAAACTGCAAAACTCAGCACACCCCTTCAATGGTCAAAAGGGAGAAAATTAGTTGGCCAAAGCATACCACTACTGAAAACTAATGCCTACTAGAAGCACAACAAATCATCACTTTTGACCAAAACCAAATTCAACATAAAACATTATCATTCTTTATGATCTTCAAGCACTTCATCCAGACTAGTCTTACTCAGAATTCAAACATCTTATAAAATAATATATAGAATCCTGATTCAAATTGAATGGGGATCATCAACCAGGTATAAATCACCCAAGTCCTCCCATGTAGCCATCCTTTATAACAAGAATTATAACATGCACTATAGAACAAATTCAAGCTAATCTTTGTAAGAGAGAATTTCCATTCTGTCTTGCTCCAAGACATGCAAAATTGCATATGAACTAAATTTCTGCAGAACTTGAATACTAATGCGGGCATAATCTTTAAGCCAGCACCAAAAATAGAAGCATTCATTCACAAATTTCCTACTATGGAGGATTGTTTAGCAAGAGTCTAGAACAATTCCTTACGCTGTGAATTTTCAGGAAGCTGATTGGATGCGAATATGAGAAGTTCAAAACCATCAAAAATCCCTTTAAGCGCTAAATCATTTCTAATCAAGTGATCCAATAGACCCTTGTAGTGTCTCTCATAACTGTATCAAAACATCATTAAAAAAGTAAATAATTACAAGATAGAAAACAGAGAAACATGTTTGCACTTCAAACCCTACTGACAAAAAAGAATGATATTCATATTCTTGCCTTTCAATGTCTTTGGCAAAGAAGTAAAGAGCAATATTATCTTCTTTAGCACCACCTTGATTAAATTGCGAAGGCCATGTGCTCAAGCGAGAAACTTCATTGAGGGAAATTTCAGGTAGAAACTTGTTCACTACCTCAAAAACCTTAGGGGAAGCACATGTGGATAAATGTGCTTGAATTCCAGTATACAACTCAGGAGGCTTTCCACTTCTATGCACTTGAAAGACACCCCTGCATGAACAACAAAACTCGTACAATACACTTGATAGCAAAACAAGAATAGTAATACAGCAAGAGCAATCCAAAACAAAAGACAAACTAGTTCATCACTAGATGTTACTTACTGCCAGATGTTTTCATATTCTGGAATCGCAGATATCTTTGAAAGAACTCTTGAGATTGCCAAAGCGTGATTAGGCAAGTCTCTCACTGCAGGCTTTCCAGAAGCAGGACCAACAGAATCTGACTTTCTCGGTTGAGAACAAAAATCAGTTGGTGAAAAGCTATGTTGCTTCAAATCATAGGTGGACAAACATTTGGAAGTTTCAAACCCAGAATTCTCAAGTCTTTCCTGACTCGCATTGATTTCTGCAGTAGATGTACTATTCTTGTTGGAAACCAACACTTGGTCTTGAGAAGTGATTTCACAATTCAAGTCTGCGCCTGATGTAGGAAACTCATCAGTTTGATCAGGTACTTCTTTCTTCTTCTGTATTTCAGGCCTTCTAAGCAAAGCTGCCTGGATTGCAGCTTTCAATCTATTACCTTTATGAATATCCTCTTTGGAAGTACTTGTGGCAGTGACTGATACTTCAACACCAAATTCCTGTGTATTACCAAATATGCAACATTCCGTAGCATGGACAAAATCCTTACATTTATGGCAGAATGGGCCTTTTGAAGCATCAGTAACACCTGACCACACACGATCACTACAGCTATCTTTGGTTTTGTCAACCTGGTTTGCTGTCTCTCGTGATCGAGGCAGCCCATCCTGTTGAGTTTCATCAACATTGGTTGATGTTCTCTCTGCAAAATTCAAAGAATAATTAAATAAGAAATCATCTTTGCAGATAACAAAGACAACTTAGTTCCAAGCTCAAAATCCATCACTGAAAGATGTTCCTATCGAAAGTAAAATAAGAGAAAAACTCATATATAATGCTGTTACTACACAGAAACTAAAATATCAAGAGCAGCTAATTGAATCATTAAAAACAATGTAAAATTTTAAAAATAATATAACAGGAATAATATGCGAGATCACACCTGAACAAACTTGGGGATCCGGACTTCTATGGCTTATATTACTCATAGACTTTGACAATGAACTTAATTTTCCATCTTGATTGACCTTAAAGTCTCGATTGTTATTAACTGCTGAAGGTTTTGCTGTTTCACCACGAGGTGTAACGTTCAGATCAACCTTAGATGTGGAAACCAAACTAGCCATGGTTGAACAACCAAGAGGCCGATCAACCCTAGACAGAAATTTCCTGTCAAATGCACCTGATTCTTTTCCATTCCTTGATCCTTTTAAATCATGAGCAGTTCCAGACTTAGAAGAAAGCATTTTAACTTTTGATTCAGTAGCACTTGAACGACCCAAATTTGAGGATTTAAATGACACTGACTTGCTTATCATCCCAGCAGGTGAATCCATGTTCCTAGAAGTATGTTCGCCACCCCCTTTCTGCTTCTGGGGAACAACTTCATCAAAAGGTTTGACTCTAGGCTTGGAATTGAAGTTGTTGAATGAACTAGACTTCAACAATGTGCCTATTCATAGAAACAAAATTTATGCTTGAAATAAATGAAATGCATCGAGATTGGAGACAAGATACAAACTTTGCCGGGGAATCCACAGCAGTTTAAAAGGAACAAAGAAAAACAAATTTGAAGTTGTAATGAAGCACAACAGATGTAAAATAATTCCATACTCTTTGCAGTTTGGCTCCGAGAGCCAGTGGAGACAGAACGAGCAAGTTCTATGTCACCACCACCGGGGCGATTACGAATGGGGATTTGACGACCAGGTTTCACCTTTCCTTTATCTAAGCTCTTGAATGAAGATTCACGTGACAGTGAAACTATTCTCTTGGGACTTGATGACTTTGGTGATCCTGTGCTTGATTCAAGAGCTTGCCTTTTTGACGATGTAGCTACTTCCACGCTTTCAGAAGGCCTTTTGCCACAAATTTGTGAAGTTGAACTAACTTTATGAATTATTTTTTCTTCAACATCTGAACCACAAAATTGAATTTCATAAATATGTTAGGACATACCGATAGATATGGGTCTTTGAATGCTTATGCTACCCTCAACATAGTGCAAATTCAGTTCCAGAACGAATGAATGGTGCAGCATTTGAGACCCATGAACACTTTCTTTTTAAGTACTATGTATAAATTTTACAAATAAAAAGTAGCATGCACAACTTCAATCTTACCAAGCCTTTGATTTGCAGTCTCCTCTGCATATTTGCATTCTTCACATAACCAATCCCCTTCAGGGACCTTCTGAAGCCTTTCCCGCATGCAGTAGCTGATTCACAGAAATAAGAATGTTAAGGCTCATTTTAGTGAAAGGACTAAGCAACAATGTGATAGAAGCTAAGAAAAGATAATATGAAAGGTTCTTATGCATACGTGTGCTCCGCGCCATCACTGCACCTACTACATATGGCAAGTAGATCCTCACGACCAGCATCTCCACAGATGTCACATACTTTTATCTATTTAACAGTCAATGAGATCAAGGGGAAAGAAAAAGAACTTTCACCCTCAGTAAGCAACATCAGAGAAGTCTAAAAAAGCAAAGTTGAAATAAAGAGAATATTTATAAACTGAGTTGATTGCTCAGCATTACCCTGAAGCTCAGAATCATTGAGAGTAAGCATACATATATAAATCTTCGTCCAATTTCAAACAATTACATTTTACTCCTCCCATTTTCATCTCCATCAAGTTTAGTTTTGGTGAAAAATAAACTAAAATAATGAAAGGAAATGTACTCACATCATGCTCAACAACATCTGAGTCATCACTCTCATCTTCTGATTGAGGTTGTGATTTGACCTGCTCCTCAGCCTTCTCATGCAGTCCATCATGGGCTGAAAATTTATGATCTTCATCTTTAGCATCCCCAACGTTGTTGTCAGTATCTGATTCTGACTTTGGATATATTTTTACTGAAACTTTGGCAGTACCGTTAATAGGGTTATCCCTATCTGCAAGAGATTTTTCACTGGAAACAATAATAGGTGCTCTCTCTTTGGTCAAAGATGAATCAACATTTTCCATACAGCATTCTGACAAATTTTCGGGGATATCTGCATCTTTAGAAGAGAGAATCTCAGACATGCCAACAGATGGCCCACTTCTAGATCCTTCTGCCCCTAAGCGACTAACTGAAGCTGAACTACAAGATATATTTATTCTGTCTGAACTTATTTGATGGCTACCACTCACTAAACTAGCATTACTTACTCTACTGATACAAGAAGTGCTGTCATCAAGACCTTCTAAACACTTGGAATCCTGATAGTTTTCTGACAAGGCACGTCTACTCTCGGCATTTTCAGATAGAGAATCATGACTGGAATTAACACTATGCATGTTACTGGTTTCACCCATAGAGTGCTGATTAGCCTCCCCTAAGCGACAGTTTTCATCAGAGAATTCTTCAGCCTTTGAGCCCATGAAAGCTCGATTAAGATGCATGCAAGATGAACAAGGAGCTGAGCATACATTACAAGTCCCCGATTCGAGTCCCATATCAGTGTTCTGAATCATAGAATGTTTGGCAAACTTCTTCCAGATTCAGGTGCTACCTAATATAAACAAAGCATAAGTTTAAAGAAAGATGAAACCTTCAATTCAGACTCCTACAAATCAAAATTTAGTTCTCACTGAGTCATCTAGATGAAACCTTGCATACGGAAACTCCCTCTCAAAACTGAGTCATCTAGAAAGTAAATCCAAACCACATTAACAATTATCACCCCAACTCTTACAACAAAAAACAACGTGCAAGTACAAATCCATGAAGTACTTCTCTGAAAACCCAAAAATTAAATCAGTGATTGCAAATTTGTAACCACCTAAAAATGCTGAGTCTAGTGAACTAATGACCCCAAAAAAGCGAAAATTTTCTCCGATTCCTAAAGTCTCTACAAATGACAAAATCGAACCCTAAACCACACGCTGAATTAGCTCATCCTATCAGAACAAGCACCCAACTTCTCCAATGTTCTCGTATCAATTCAACGAAAAACAAAATCCAGATATAATTATACAAAAAAATCTATAAAAAAATAATAATAAGTTCCGAATAATCAAAATAAAAACCCTAACTAGGAATGAATTGACATGCCTCTTGCTTCCAAATCAAGTTCGTCGCATTGCACAAGGTTCCCTCGCGTTCAGCCATTTCGTATGGCAATCCAGGGAAAAGTGCCTCCTGCGATTTCGTTTCGAGTCGCAATAAACTCTCTTCGAATTAACAGGAAAATCAAAGTTCTCACTATATGTGACGACAACCAATCAAATGCGAATTCAAAGTGAAGAATATATGCAAATTGAAATCACAGAGGATCTGATACAATCCTTTTGCATTTATAACTAATAATTAATTAGCACATCAACGCATAGATTTTCTTCCTTATTTTCCTCTCTGTGATCTGAAGGGGGTGAAAATTTAAATCTCAGAAATGGGTTTTTCTCATGAGAATTTCATCTAACCAAGCTCTCTCTCTCTCTCTTTCTCTCTCTAAATTTCTTGTTTTCTGTGGGTTCAGATTTCAATCTCTCTCTAGATTTTCTACATGCTAGAAAATAAAATCAGAGGAAATGGAAGAAAATGCAAAAACCTGCAATTTTAATATTATTTTTTTCCGGGTAGATTCCATACGGTTCTTTCCACGTAAGATTCTTTTTTTTTCTTTTAATTTTTCTCAGTTATTGGTTATTTATTTGCTATTATTTAAAAATTCGAAATAACGTAGATGAAGGGTGCATTGTGTACGTGTGAGGATTGTGAAACACGTATTGTGAGTTGCGTGTGAAGTCACTGTGAACACGAGGGAAAGGGGCGCGTGAGGGTTGCGTGAGTCAGCAGTAACGGCGTTGTGGCAAGCGTCAGGGCCTCACGTTTTGCGTACATCTTCAAATTTTCTTGCCTAAGAAGTAACAAACAAGTGAGTAGTGAAGGGTAATGAACTTGCATTCCGTCTTCAAGTCAAAATATTTTTTCAACTGCAAAGGGTTGTTACTTGAATAGTTGAATTACACCGCATGATTTCATGTAAAATACACACACGATTAATGCAATTCATGCATGACGCACACCACATGCATTAGTGTAATAATAGAAATGAATCTTCTCATGACACATTTAACACAATATCAGTTATTTATATTTAAATCAATGATAACTTTTTTCTTACTATTTATACATTGAACGAATGAAATTGTTTCTTCCCTTCCCTTCTGTTTTTTTTTTCCCCTCTCACAAAAAGGGTTGGGTTAAAAATTCCGAGACACCAGCAATACTGTCTCAATTAATCAAAAGTTAAAACGTCATTTTATCTATACAAAAAATAACGAGAAGAAAGTACCAAGTGTAACTCACTCCCAATCATCTTCACAAGTAAGCACAATAGAAGCTACAATGGCCCTAGTCCCCTTTTTATTGCATTCGTTCTTCACATGCTTGTAAAGAATCACTTCAACTCAAAATTTTAAGGTGTTAGATAAAGGCCTTTTTAATGATTTATATTATTCTCTAACAATACTCATACCGAATGCTGGATTAACATTATAGTTGAAATTATCACGTATTAGAATGATGATTTTATCTTATCCCATTTCCATTTTACTCTTGTGAAAATAATTTCCAATATCACAGATGAACTTAGCTAGGCCCCCCCGTGAAGGAAGAGTACATAAAACAGAGGTAGTTGCTGGGGGTACATACAAGCTGATTGGTAGGAGGCAAAACATTAAGGGCATGTTTGGTGCATAGTATAGGATAAGGCCTGATAGTATAAGACCTGATAGTATAAGGCCTGATTGTATAAGACCTGATTGAATTTTAATACTATCAAGCGTTTGGCACGGTATTGTATAAATTAATATATTGTATAAGATAATATCATCTAGTATTTGGTAATGCACTGTATAATACTATATATGATAAAAATAAATATCTTTAATAAAAATATCCTTTAATAAAGAATTTATATAATTCTTCAAAAAATGTCATATGATATTAATTTTTATAAAAATTTATTGATCAGTGTGTCCATAATATAAATTAATTTTTATAAAAATAAAAATATTCAATATTTTAAAAATTAATATATTGAAAAATAAATTTTTATTTTAATAAATTAATATTAAAATAATATATTATTTTTTGAGAATTACATTTGTCAACGATGTTAATACATCAATCTCTTATCAGGTCTTATCCCTCACCCTTAGGCCGAATTAAGTTATACATCGTTTTGATGTATTAAGGGATTATGCTGTATAAGCTTATACTATACGGTGGTCACACCAAACAACTAAAAATGTCATAACATATAGTATAAGTTTATACTATCATGCCGTATACGTCACACCAAACAGACCTTAAACATACATTGGTAAATAAACACATTGAAGTCACTACTCACTGCATCTTACATTCTTACAGTACATCATAAAGAAATCACGAGAACCATTACCCACACCCACCAATCAAACAAGAAAGCAACAGGTGATCAAATCGTCTTCTGAATTTCTCACAACATTCTTGTACTGATACCCCATTTCGATGTATTATCAACCATATATATAAAGTTTTGCCTAAAATATTCTTTTCTATACGAGCCTTAACTGATCAATTTCCACGGGGCTGACAACAATCTTATTATAACGTAGTGTTCCTGAGCTGCAATTTTTTTTATTTTATTTTATTTTATTTTATTTTTTAATTCAAGCCAATCCGAGTAATGTTGGGACCATATTGGGGCGATTCTTCAACATCATTTTATTCGAACTCTAGACATTTGGTTAACGGAATAAGTTTCTTGTCACTTAACCAATAGTTGTTTGGTTTATCACAATTTAATATTTCCACTAAAAATGCGTGTTCAATTTAATACCATTCAAATAGCCGTCTAAACCGAAAACTAATATGAAGTTATCAACATCAAGAACGCATCTATCTCAAACTAAACTAAACAAACAAAATATGAAGTTGTCAACAATTATTGTCAAATTAACATTTAATGTGAACATAAGATATAGATGATTGATTGAATCCATAAATAATTTAGAACTTAAAAGCCACTTAAGCCACATGTAACATTTCTTTATCGTCTTTTATCTTTGTCTATCAATACAGTGAGGAGGCAGCACACTTGTTGATTGGTTTCATGGATGTGTTTTATCTTTCTTATTAGGGACTGGAAGATTGGTCACTGAAATGAAATCCTATTCTTTGCTATGAGTAAAGATTTTTTTATTTTTTATTTTTTATTTTTTGGAGACTTCTATGAATAAAGATATGAATAGCCTTGTAGGAGGATAATACAAGACGGTTGATGGTTCCTTATCTTAAGGAACACGCAAATGCTAGATGATTTCCTATTATCAATCCTACCTGTGGGAAACCAAGCTCCAATGATCAACATATTTATGTCCGATCGTGCTTTTCTATGTGATGCGTTCATATCATAACCAAGTAGTCATTGTATTATCACGTTCACGTCAACATTATACAAATGATCATACGCATACTTTCAATTAGTCTCGCTTAATAAGTTAGAGAAGAAATACATTGAGACCCGAAAAGAAAAATATTCATGAAAAACGGCCAAAATATTTGAGTGGGAATTTCAAATTTTCAACTACAGAGAATCTAAAATTACCAATAAGTCTGCAACTGTTCCTTAGGCCCATTGTACCAATCCCAAGTGCAAAATTATTCACATCCAATTCATTCTATACTTAATAAAGCATAAGCAAATCAACATTCAACATATTACCCGACAACAATATTTCTGCTCAGAAATTTCAACTTTCCAAAGAAGATAATCCCAAAACGGATATTCGATTAGGTTTCGCAGCAGTGCATCTGTTGAAATAACTGAATCAATATGACCCCTCTCCTCGGTGATCTCTTCTAGCATAGATGTTTAATCAGCTACGCACTGGCATATGAAAACAATAAATAACCTCTATCAGCTATCAAAATAAATTCAAATGAACCCATCTAGAAGATTTAAAACTGTACGTTTAGTGGTCTGATATCATACCTTCCGTGGCAATAGAAACTATACATGCATCAAGGTAGTATGTTTCTTGTTCTACATTGAAATAAAACGCGAACATGGTAAGTAATTCATTTACGTAGCAACTAGATCTATAATTCACAATGCCTTAAAGAAGATTAACTCAGATTTAACTGGCATAATTACACTCACAATCAATTGGATGTTTGTCGATTTGGCGAGATGTATAATGCGCAGATAGTAAAAGCAGCGAAAGGAATGCACTAGCCACAAAAATTGCATCAAACCACCGATGATAAAAGTCAAACTGGATATCACCACCCAATACCTCTGTTATAATAATCCTGCCAAGAGACTCAGATCAGACATCATCAAGACAAATGCTGTTCATCCTGGGAAGTTCAATGAAATAATAACTATGCTTACACATGCCAAATCTGCATCAATCAAGACTAGGGCAACAAACTACCAGGCCCATACTTCAGAATGCTACTACTTTGAGTTGAATTCTAAGCAGTAAAAACTAGTCTGCGGATTGTAAAGATATCAGTAGTTTGAAAGGCTTTATTATGACGATGCTGTTCATTCTTTTGTTTACTTTAATCTTCAGTGTTTCTGCATTCATATTTTTTTTATGAGGATGCCTTATGTTCTTACTTTTCTCTCCTTGACAGTACAAGATAATTCTTTATTAGCCAAAGACTCAACATTTCAGTGTACCTTTCTTACCCTAGCGTTCATGCATTGTTATCCCCAGCCACAGGTAAAAATTAAGAGCACCTAAATTTGTAGTTCTGATTATGCTGGGCAGGTTTCTACTATGCAAATCATTTAAAACATTACTAACGCACAGATAACGACTTATACCTGTATTCAGTTGCTAAGCTTTTCCTGATTAAAAGAATAGAAGATACAAAATACATTCCCATTATCTCAGACAAAAACAGAACTACATTGCTTGAAGATCCACTTCCAACTCTTGAAACAGCAAAAAAGAACTGCATGCAACCCCAAAAAAATTGGAAGTTAGACTTCATAATAAGACAAGATAAACTGTATCTGTTACTATATTTACTGAAGCCAAACTGTACCTAGAAGCATGATATAGGACTAAATATCATCCTAGCAGAAGAACTCTCAAATCAACCACAAAAGAAGGAAATTTCTTGAAACTATACTCAAAATTGAAAAAAGATATTTTCTTGGTTTATAACTAATAATGAAGCTTGTCCTAGAGGTAACAGTAACAGATCTCCTTTGTGATCGAAAGGTCATGGATTCAAATCCAGAAAACAACCTCTTTGCAAAATAAAAATGTAAGTTGCGTACAAGAATTTCCCTAACTCCTACCCTCGCATGTTGGGGTTTCATGGCGAGTATTTTTTTAATAAATCTTGTCCAAGTGCAATTCCTTCTTAAATAACTGTAACCGATATGACATATAGTAACTTGCTATAACTCTAGTTCTATCAGAATTACTCCAAATGAAACTAAAAATAAACAGATAAATTCCAAAAAAATATTACTATGATTATTACTTATCCACAACCAATATACAAAAATAAAGATCTTCAGTATAAAAAAAAAAAAAACTTGATTTTTAGGCTCTTTAATTGTTGATTGCCCCATATTCCAAGCATCATAAGATGACATCACGTGCGGTCATTCCTTCTTGAGTGTTTTGTTTCAAATTGGAATTGAAATTGGATGTTGGAGATTTATACCGGAAGTGTACATCTTTAGGCCCACATATGACTGACTGAAATCGGTAAAAGAATTTTTCTTCATATTGGATGGCCATTATTTCAAGGGTGATGAGGATGGCATCTCATATTAGAGGTTCTGTAGAAGTGGAGATATTGACATTGTAAGTTATTGATGACACCTGCTTATCTCTGCTGGAGACTGCTGATAAGAATGTTTTATTTTCGTTTTATGCGTAGAGATCTTATTTTTAATTTGTTTTTTTTAAAAAAAACACTATTGCAAAAGCATATCAATATTGTTTGGGACTTGGGGAAGGTTGATTTGGGCCTCTCGTGAGGTAGCTTATGCATTTATGTACTTGCCAGGAAGGTACAATGTTTATTCTCCCATAGCATATTTGATTCTTTTGTAGATCATCCCTGAGAGTATACAAATTCAGACTTCAATCTGTTTAGGTTATGCAAAACCATATTACTGCACATAAGATTAGCTGCCTTTTAATGAAGCTTTTACATATTTCCTCAACAACTCAACAGACCCACCATCCGAAAAAGAGGAGGGACACAAAATTGTAGTTTTATCAAGAACATTCTTCAAGAATCTGTTTAACAGTAAAACATACTAATATAATTAATCTAAATAACATCAATTGGAAAAAATTAGCAATTGAAAGCAGCAGGAATACCTTCATTAGATTTGTTAAGAATCCACGCACTGATATCACAACCAACATTCCGATGAATAGCAAGGAAATGTACTGTACAAAAATTGCAAAACAAATTAAAAAAAAAAAATACAATATCAAACCATGCAAAACCACAAATTTTTAGAATAAGTCAACAACAAAGGAATTGGAAGATTCATAAAATATATACCCTAAAAACCTGCTAAGTTCTTTATATTCTTATTACAAATGGCAAAAGTATCTACGAATCAATAAACTTGTAAAGAACCAATTTAACCCAAAAGCTTAAACTGATGGGTGAGGCTACATTAATAGTTTTATATATCTCTAACATGTCCCCTCACACAGGAACCCACTGGGCTTGAAGGGTGGATAATGCACTGGCCCACCTACTTGTGCTAAGAAATTCCACAAGGCTTAATTATTTATTAATTAAATGGGGGGCGGTGAGGGTCAAACCCATGACAATAAGGCTCTGATACCATGTAAAGAACCAATTTAACCCAAAAACTTAAGCTGATGGATGAGGCTGCATTAATAGTTTTATATATCTCTAACAGAACTTTTTATGGTCAAATCCAAAATAAAAACGGCAAAGACATGTGATGAGTAAAAAATGAGAACTAGAAAAAACAAATACGGTCGTCTTACTAGAATTCATTTAGTTAATCCAATTAAGGAAGTTATGAATGACTGAATAATTTATGAACAAAAATAATTATTAGGAAATGGACTCTAACCTGTGATAATAAGGTGGCATTTATTCCTATATCAAAAAACTGTAGGAATATACTTATTGTCCTTGTCACAGGATCAACTGAACCAGCCTGTCATAGAAACACATTATCACCAAAGAAGCAATTTGACAGTATATTAAGAATTAGTCCAAAAGCTGAGAAAAAAGTAATTACATTTGGAAAATATTAATGACGATAAAAGATATGATCACCATTGAGAAATACAATTTACCTGTTTGAAAACAACACTTTGCAATGACTGCAAAGAACGATTAAATAGATTAGCCATATTAACTACAATGAATTCCAAAATTATAAAAAATCTCACTTGCTAGAGAAATACTTTGTCAAAATACTATTAACGCTACCAACACCAGATAGATGCCACCAACGGAAAGCACCATATGTTAACTCAGCATGAATTGAACTTTCCAACACAAGAATAAAACACACAATAGAGAGAAGCAATACGAGCTATAACTGCATGGTGTGCTATGATAAGATACAAATAAATTTCTTTGCATAATTTCCTAGTTACCTATTAATTGCAATAAGAAAGAAATGATCCAGAAATAGCATCATCCAGTAAAGGCTGATCCTCCAAGAAATGTATATGCTCTCTACCCATAACTATTATTATTTATTACTATCATTATCTGGATTGAACTAAAACAAGAGAGTAAAATAGAGAGAGGACAAGGAATCTTTCCTAAAAGGCGAAAACAGACAAGAAAACCATATTTGCACTTCTTAAAAGTTATAGCATTCCTCTCTAACTAAATTCACCAAACTCCAGCAGTTCATATGTTAAACACAGAAGGCAGCTTAAGGGGCTGAGGTCCCTAAATACAGATGGTAGCATATCAGAATGCAAAGCTGTGACAAAAACATCTTTAATCCAAGTATTTGTAAATTTATCTGATGCAAGACAGCGCTAGCATCAAGAGATCATAAGTTTAAAGGTCAAATCATCCAAGCATTTCCATTCAATTTTTAAGATAAAGTACAGATTACACTCCTAATGTTTGGCCTATTTTTGCATTTGGTTCACGTTTGTTTTGTAACATGTAACTCCCCTTAACTATGGGAAAATGTGGAACTGTCAAATGGGGTGTTAGAATCAATGGAGCAACTCTAAACCCTTATAGATAATCCGCTTGAAGTTCAGCTGATTTTCACACTTACTACATAAAGTGCCACTTTTAACATATTACCCTTCCCATGTGACACAAGTGAGTAGCTCTCCGATAAGTCTAACTCCCAATTTAACAATCTCACGGTTCACTAAAATTCAGGGAGGATAGGGTATACAGAACGAAGAATATCAAACGTGAAAATCAGCCAAACTTCAGGGGTGTGTAATCTGTATTTTACCCAAATATTTGTCATGGGGCTGTACCAATCTGCTACTTTAAGTATGCTCACATGTCCAGCCATGGGAGTATTTTCAATTCCACTTCATGAGCTTAATTTGGGCTCAGATTTGTGAGTCAGAATCCAAATATAGCAAGCAATTTACTCCAAGTCTTGCGGAATGAGTTAGGCGAGGTCTTATTATATATGGACGTGTTGCTATCAAACAAATGAATGATTAGTTTTAGCAGTACCATTCAGTAAATAGATTTCCAGATTGACCATACACTGCTTGTGAACCATCTGTACCTCAAGAAAGCTTAAATCAATCAATCACAACCATTAGTCCTCCAAGAAACCCTACTTCTAGCTTATAAAATATCAATTCTTGCTGCCCTACATCACAATACCTTGATCATTTTATACACACAATACACAGAACAAGCATAGCCCAGTAGATTCTGCATGTGTCCTCTCCAAGTTCGAGAATAAGCAGCAGCTTCCTGCAAAGTGAGAACCAGTTTTCCCAATAAGCAGATTTTAGCAGAAAATATAAGTGCAACAAAGTTCAGTCACATAATTTTTTGACAGAAAAAGAAATCATCCATTTTTTTAATACAATATCAGTTATGTAATTTTATCAGTCACTGTAACATATATTCTTCAAAAAGAAGTCAGTCACACAGCTTTCCAGTTTTCCTAAAGGTTGATGCCACAGTTATTGGTGAAGATAGTTATGGTTTGGGGGTAGTTGTTTCTTATCCTCAGGATTTCATTCCAGCAGCTGCAGAACCCTTAAGCAGGACTTCGCTGTAAAGGCATGCATAGCAGAAGTGCTGGCTTTGCAATGGGACATCAATTTCACATTTGAGATAGGTTTCCTCTGTATTTAAGTAGAACCTGATTCAGTACATGATATAGATATCAGGCGATAAAGCTTTGTGTAGCATTCTGTCTTTGCACCATCTTATTACTTTCGCAGTATTGATCTTGTTGAGAAACATAACATTGTCCACATGAAGAACTTAAACCTTGTTAATCTTTACATTTCCAAAGGGGTTTATGTTTATCAACGAGAAACTTCTTTATATTGGAAGAGTGACTGAAGGATTTAAAAAAAAAAAATCACCAGGAGAAGCAAAAGTCCAAACTAATCTAAAAGGGGACATAAAGGTTTATCTTTAACAAACTCTTGCACGTAAGCCATTTGGGCTTTGAAGTGTAAACAAAGTGCAGGCCAACATTATTTTGTGCTGAAATTTAACTTAATGAGAACTGGGCTTATAATGTGAGGATTGAATACAAATTACAAAGGAGTACAAGAAAGTAAACATAGTCACATACACAATTCTAAGAAGTGAATTAGGGAAATCCAGCATATCAGATAAAGTATACCTTTGCTTGGCGAAGCTCATAGATCTCCAAGAACAATTGCTTTGAAAGCTCTTCTAAAGCCAGCACCTCTGCTTCCATTCCTTTGATATCTTCACATGTAACAAAAGAATAATTTAAATTTTGTAACTAATAACATAATTACAGGAAAAAAAAGATTATACAATTAGATATACCACTATCGAAGAAATCACCTCACAATAAGTATTTCAATAAAATAAGAATATCGCTTCGAACCCCCCCCCCCCCCCCCCCCCAAAAGAGCAAATCTTGATTTCAAATTCCAAACAGATTTAAACACAATTATGTATTTGCAAGAGTTAAGATAGGACAGCCCCATTTTGAATCTTTGATAAAAAGGAAAAACTTATCAACTGAGCAATGTAATCCAATATACTTGAACATCCAATAAAGAAATCCCTATAAAATAGCCACAAGCCAAGCACTACAAAAAAACTACAAACACTTTCTCCCAAAGAAGTGGTAATGGTTCATTATCCTTGGAAACTCAAGCACTAGTCTCCGACCAAAGGCATCAAATCACTGTATAAATACTCCATTATCATATAATTACGAAAGAAGTACATGAATACTTTTAAGTCTCTTATGTCTTACTTCAGAACACAACTTTTGCTTTCTTTGTTGATCATATAATTCTTTAACATTATGGTTGCCCCAAATTTAGATTTCGGAAGTGGCAGCGTCAAATGGCCTTTTAAGCGCAAAAGAAAACTAACCTTGCTCCTTTTGGTCCTCTTGCACAGATCGAACAACCGTACCAACTAAACGTTTAATTAAGGATCTAGCATTCAACTTCTGCAACATACAAGTTCAGATGAGTTTCAAATTGTAGGGATTGAAAAGCAAGAACATGTATGCAAAGGAAATGACAAATAAAACAGGTTAACACCACCACGCCTTGACAAACAAACATTTATATGTTTTTTATTCCAACATCCTGCTAAGTGTAACCTTAAGGAAAATCAAATGCAACTGGTTTCAGTAAAATACACTTAATCAAGCGAAAATCAAAAGAATTTTACACAATGCGTAAGTCAGAACTGGATAACAAGTACTTTTTTGACTAACGAATGAAAATATCAACATATTTATTCAACAAACAAATCATTAATTGTTATTAGGGCACACATCCTCTCATCCCTTATTGAATATTGACTTGTACATAGCACTTTTTAAATATTTTGGCAGGAACAAGGAGGCTAAATTTTATGGCAGTGTTGTATATGCAAATGTAAAAAAAAAGTCAGTATTTTAAGGGTGTCACTTTACCCTTATATTGGTTATTGGTATAATTGTGTTCATGGCGTCTCTTTGGAACTCTACTTATGGTTGCTTCAAGGGAATTTCTATAACTGATATACAAATAAGTTGGACATCTTTGTTGCATTTTTAGGCCACTTTGACTCACTCTTCTCTTATCTTTTCTCTAGGATTTCATATCCTCCCCCGAATGTAGTTTCTCTCCTTTGATCTATTATCTTTAAATCATTGTAATTATTGTATAATATTCTTTTACCAAAGTTTGGTCACTATATTAGGGAAATAGATATTTGTCTAGGTCTATATATTAGAATGAACCCCATGAACAGTATTTATTCAGAAATAATATTCAATAATTTCCCATTCAAGTTATTCTTTTGTAAAAGAATAAAAGATGAAGCACAAAAGTAAACATTAAAAGAACTCCATCCACCAGAAACATGCTGAAAGGCATAAGATAAGAATGTAACCTCCTCAGTTCCTTGCTTGTGCTCCATCTCCATTTGGCAAAGAATAATTTTCTTTTTCTTTGATATACAAGTCTCAAGTGACTGCATCAGTTGTCTTTCCAAGGCCTTGATCTCTGTTTCCTCAATCTCTCTAATAAATATAAGTGATAAACATCAATAACCATGAGAATAAATAAAAAATAAGAAACCATGACATTATGCCTTCATATATATGGAAACCTAGGCTAACTTCCTTCTTCTTATATGACTTTTAAACTTTCCTTTAATTTATTTTATATTTTTAAATTTAAAAAATGCAATTACTGAAAGGAAGAAGAAGATTATACAGAAGGAAGACAAAGAATACTCCAAAATTGATAAGGAGAACAAAAGAAAGATAAAAACACATCAGCAGAAAAGATATCCTAATCTCTATGCAGATTCATCAGATAAAACTCCCAATAAAGTCTAAAAGCAACACGCTCCTACAAAAATTGCAAGGGTAGGAATCTCTCGCAATATACTTTTGCACTATGTTCAATAGAAATATACCTCAATTTTGTAAACAAAGCGTACTTCCACAAGGCCTTACCCCCATTTCTTTTCCCAAACCCATGGAAGTAAAAAAAAGAACCCAAAAAATTGGAAAGAACCCATTTTTCTTCGAAAATACAGAAAGTCCATCTCAGATCGAAAAATTACCTTGAACTCAAAAAATAGATTACTATTAACTACTCGAAGTCCACAGAAAAATTTGTGGTGGAAGTGGCCACACACAGTACAGAACCTTAAAAATTAAGTAATTACCTGATGAAAAGCGATAAATAACTGTATGGCAAGTTTACAGCACCAAAACCAGAAAGAACAGCCATGACCGTAACACCGATCACCCCAATTCTACTCACCAGCTGAGGCATAGTGAAGAAACCTGAAACATGAATAACAAGTTGCAAATATGAAAGAAGAAATAAAATAAGGATCAACTTAGCAAGAAAGGCTGTACATTACTAAAATAAAAAATAAAAACCTTACTTCTTTAACTGCAGTTATAGTGTAAGGCAATAAGCAGTCAGGTAATTACATTTTATTAACTAAATTACTTGCACCTAATTCCACTACCACACTGCTTTCTAGTAAGTATATCATAGCCTACACTACAGCACAAGAACAAAGCCAACAAAGTATTCAAAAAAATAAAAAAATAAAAAAATGCATGGTTCTGATCTTTTTCAACACAAGCAACAAATGTCAGGGACAAAGCTTATGAGAGTCCACGAAGCTATGCAGGAATTGGATCCTGAGAACTCCTACCTTTATCAGGTGATGGCATTGGAAAGTGAATGCCCATGCGCCAAAATGCATAAAGAAATGCCAGCAAGAACAAAACAGCACCAAGTGCAGCCCTTTCGGTCCTCACACCATTGTTTTTAAGCATCAAGTAACAATGATAATAAGGCAAGAGAAAAACAAGCAATAAGATCAAACAGAATAAGTCGACCTTCCAGTTCACCACTCTTGCCCTACACAACAACAACAACAAAGAAAATTGCAATTAATTAATTGTTAAATTAAGATTGCAAATTGATTATTCCATTGTATAGAATTTGAAAGGTGAGGTTACTCTTTGGAGAGGATGGGAATGATTTCGAAGAGAACAAGTTGGAGGAGATTGCAAGAGAAGGCAAAGACGACGCTGAAGATGATCTGAACGAGGAATCGTTTTTCTTCGTACTCTTTGTAGAGGCGACGGTTCAAGAACCATAGACCGGCCCAACCGAGTAAACACAAACTTCCCAAGACCACCACACCTTCGTATATTCCCCTTCCCCAACCCATCTTCCTTACTTAGCTTCAACTCTCTCAATTCACAAATCAATCAAATCGACCATTTCTTTTATAAGATGTATGAATGAATGAATGAATGACTGAAAATTCCTAGTCAATTACTGGCTGTGGATCTTGAGGGAGGGAGGGAGGGAAAAGAACCAACAGAATGCAATGCTCTCTCGAGTCTCATCAACTTGTCCGAACTAGCCAATCGATTTAATCACCGCTACGCTTTCCTTTTCTTTTACGCCAATTTTGAAAGGTTAAATAAATTAATGACCATATATACTCTCCCAAAATAGTAATAGTAGTAGTAGTAATAAAGGTTTTTTTTTTTGACCATTTTGCCCTTAATTAAATAATTAATAACCAATTTGCTCCTCTCCCAGAACTATTCATCATCTTGCCCCCATTTAGTCGATTAAGTTGCACTTTTAATCGACTAAATGGGCTAAACTCAGAAATCATGAAACGCGAATTTTAGTCGACTAAAAACTCACCTTAATCGACTACATTATTTGCACTTTTAGTCGACTAAGCACATTATTTAGTCGACTAAATGTCGCAGATCAGGTTTTTTAAAAACCCCCCATTTCGCAAAGGGGGTTATTTTCAAACCCTAATCGACTAAATCGCTCCATTTCGTCACGTCTCTCCAACCAAGTCCGAATCTCAACCCTTGAAGGTGCGATTGAAGCTTCCTTGGTTCACACTTGCGAAATCGACATTTAGGTAACGTATTCTGACTTGCATTTGGTTTTAAGTTTAGTTTTTTTTTTTTTTTTCTCCATGCATTTGATTTCTGTTTGCGGTTTTGTGGATTTAGGTTAGGGGTAGGGTGCTAAGTTTGTTGTGAGGGTGAGGGTTAGGGTTGATGTGGTGCCTTAGGCTTAGGGTTAGGGTTATGGTAGTGGTAGTGGTAGGGTTAGTGTTAGGGTTAGGGTTAGGGTTAGGGTTTATGTTGCTGTTTTGTTTGGGTTGTAGTGTTAGGGCAAGGAATGGGTTTTTGTGATGTGTCAGGGTTAGGGTTAGGGTTAGGGTTTCTATTTTAGGGTTAGGGTTTCTGTTTTCTGTTTTATTTTAGGATTAGGTTTTGTTTTTTATATTGAATTTTAAATTTTTTGATATTGTTATTGTTCATTGATTTTTGTTTCCACTTGCATTGTAGGTACAGTTGTTCCATGGCTGGCCGTAGAAGATCGTCTAGCACTGGAAATGAGAGGCGACAGAAGCTACGACAAGACCGTCCGTCTTCGTCAAGGCCACAAGAGGAAGACCCCGCTGCTGTCGACCTCCCATTCGGATACTTGTTCGAGAATGACCCGGTGGTTCATGAATCTTTTGTCCGTGACTTTGTTAACCGACCGATTTGTGGGGCCAAATCACTTGATACAGCCTTTTTTGAACAAGAAGGTTTTAACATTGTGAGGTGGTTGGAGGAATCACATCTTAGGACCTTGGCTGAAATGTCGTGTTCATATTCTGAGCTGCATGTACGGGCCTTCTACCATAACCTCAGCTACCATCAGGGTGAGCGGAGGTCTAGGGTCTGCGCGGTGGAGATCATCATGACGGCTCCGGTATGGTTGGAGTTACTGGGGTATGACTTTGATTCTGCGCAGACTGTGGAATATGACGCAGACAGCGGGACCATACTTCCAGGATATACATGCGGTGATGCCGTGCAGGAGCAGAGAAGAGCCCGTGGGCAACACATTTCCTATACGGTGGGGTTGCTTATTGTGGAGTCCCGCATACTACACTATGTCATCACCCACATTCTGTTTCCGCGAGCGTTCAATCATTCCAGGGTGTTGGAGCATGACATTCCCATCATGTGGGCTATCCGACATGGTACTTCGGTGAACTGGAGGCACTACATCTGTTGGATGATGTATAAGGCCAAACACAAGGGTGCACTTCCATTTGCTTGTCTTGTTCAGAGGATATTGGAGCATTTTGATGTTCCCATGGGTGATGTGACCTTGAAGAAGACCACAGGGTATAATCATAAGTCTGGAAAACGTCTACTGGAGCAGTGCAAGATGACAAAGAACCCACAAACAGGAGTGTGGCAGTTCACAGGTGCGGCTGATGTTGAGGTTCCTGATGTTGGTCCAGTTGTAGACATGGTTGAGCCCGAGGTGGAGGATGATGATGACGATGATGATGAGGGTGACCAGCAGGAGATAGCTGAGCCTGAGGGTGGGTTTTCATTACGTGATGTCATGAAGGGCATAAACGCCACGCTGAAGAAAATAGGAAAAATGGCGCTGAAACACAAAAAATGGAGGAAGAGTCACGTGCAGAAGGGAAATGAAAGATTTAGACATATACAGGGACGGTTCAAGGGTGTTGAAGATAGGCTTGCTCGTCTAGAGCTTGGACGAGGACAACAGATTGAGGATGTTGCAGGGCAGGGGGCTGATGTGTCAGATGAGGATGACGAGGAGACGGCGTCGGAGGAGGATGAGGATTAGATTTAGGGTTTATGTTTCTATTTTACGTTTGTAGTGTATGTTGTTATGTAATTGACTTCGGTCTTCCTATTTGACATTTGTAGTTTATGTAATATTATGGTTATGTAATGAACTATTTGATGTTCACATCATGTTGTGAACCGTTTACGTAATTATTGTTGTTTTCTTGTTTACCAAATGAAGGAACAAATATGTTTTACCTTCTTGTTTTTATTTTGTGTATAATCACAGTCCAACGGGTCTAAAATGTCCAATGAAATTCAGAACAGGTGCTCATAACAGAGTTAAATGAAGAACACAAGTTTCGGATACCCTAACCCAAGATTTATGCAATACATGTACATTCGTGGTTTATAACCTGTACAATACTATTTTGTACCTGAAAGTGTGTTCCCCAAGTCATTATATGCGTGTACATTGATATTCGATCGATTCCGTGCCAAAAAAACGCGTGCAAAACAGAATGGGGTGTCAAAACCAGTTATTTAGTCGAGCATAGACCTTCTCAATTTGTGTAATTGAGAACACAGGATCGACATAGTCATAGTGGTTCAATTTTTCAACCTTGCACACCGCTAGCACATGACTGCAAGGAAATCGTCTAGCTGTGAACCGTCCACATTGACATTTACGATTTAGCAAGTCAACCCTCATAATGTCGCCGGCATCATGCGTAGATTGATTGTAGGCATCCTCAACTTCAAACAACTGTAAGTCTCTATCAAAAACACGGACACGGAGACTGACAATTAACTGATCATTCTTTTGTAAGAAGTCCTCAACCTTTTTTGCAATTCTCCAGCCTTTGTCCTTTACTTTTTGGATCTTTTAACGCCTCTTCACAAAATACTCTACAAGTCTACTTTGCGTCATCTTGACCAATGTAAGACCTGCACCATTTCTCTTTGGGAATCTGATCTATCCATGAGGCTACTTGTGGGTTACTGTCGACAAATTCTTGAAATCTTAAATCAAAGTGAATCTTCGAACACATGTAACCTGCAAAAAATGAACCCAAATTGCAATGAGTTATACATAAACAACATTACAAACAACATGTACACATTCATGTAAATAGGTTACCTAGTTTCATCAGCGTTTTCTTCAGTTCCACGTCCCTAAACTTAGTGTTGAAGTTGCTTCCAATGTGACAAAGACAGAACACGTGATACGCAAATGGAGGCTGCCAACCGGCATGATCCTTCACAGCCCTGATGATGCTGGGGTGACGATCGGATATTAGACATATACCATGCCTACGTGTGACATGGAAACGCATCTGGCTAAGAAACCACAACCAATCATCCAATCTCTCACCCGGTGGAACAATGGCAAACGCAATAGGCAGAATGAATCCATCACCATCCTGTGACGTAGCAATCAAGAGGGTACCTTTGTATTTCCCGTACAGGTGCGTGCCATCAATTTGGATTATGGGTTTACAATATTTGAAAGCCTCAATGCACTGGTGAAAAGTCCAAAATACCCTGCGAAAGACAGCCTTATCGGTGTAGACACGTCGTTCGTCACAACATTGATCCGTATCAATCTTGAACACATAACCAGGATTTATCTGTGTCATGTAGGTCAGCCAACCAGGTAAGATGGCATATGATTTTTCCCAGTCCCCAAACAACTTCACAATTGCCTTCATTTTATCCTTCTAAGCCTTCCTATAAGATATGTTGTATCCATACAAACTTTGTACCCTCTCCTGAATAAGAACTGGTTTCGTGGATGGATCTTCTTTTAACATACCTATACAAAATTCGAAGTCAACACAATCAATAAATATACCGAAAAAATTAAACCATAAACAAAAATTCTGTAATACATACTTATAATGGCTGCACAGATTACATCAGAATCCAGCTGTCTATGGTCCCGAGTAAGGCCTTGGTTTAGGCAAGTGTGTTTTTTACCCCACTTACTAACAACCCAACTATTTCCATTCTTGGGCAACATAGCCCGCACGTACCAGGGACAACCATCATTATGGTGTCGACACTTCATCACAAATCTATGGTCATCACTTTTTGCCACCACAGCAGTACGATGAGACTTCATACAATATAATTTGACTGCATGTTGCATTTCAGATTTAGTTCGAAACTCCTGGTACAAATATAATGGATCCCCTAAATGCCAGCCACCGTGGATGTCATCGTCGCCATACAATATCTCCGTCTCATCATTAGGGTGAGCCCAATTAATGAACGAATAGTGTGGGCTGTCGTTCCAAAATGGCTCAATCTCATAACCTACGTCCAAATTTAAACTTATACGTCAGTACGATAGAAAACACATATATATATATATATGCAAAATTAAAACTTTAATTTACAATCTTACCACTGCTAACAGGGTCAACACGGAGCGGTGGCATAACCTGGGAACTCAAGTTTCCTGAACTAGTATCAGCGTCAAAATTCCCCTCTACGTCCGTATCTGAGGTGTCACCCAGCGGAATAACACTCTCGGGTTCACCATCGTCTTCACTGTCCATATCCTCGTCATGCTCATCCTCATCCTCGTCTATTTCCCTCAGTGGTATCTGACTTAAGACAGGTGCAGGTGCAGATAAACCGACCACTCTGTCTTCTTGACTTTGACTTCTTCCATGCACAGGTGCAGATGAAGATTGACCACAGTCTATTTCAACATATATCTCAATAAAGTTTTGAAATTTTCGGTCCACAATTGCATCTATGACACAGTCCACATCTTCATCGTCACATATATCATTACCAATGTAGAATATAGCATCCTTACCAACTGTAGACTCTACCCTGGCGATCATCCGTTGAACGCCATGGCTGCCGTGTAGCCCCAATTTTTGGTGAATCCTCCCCTTCAGCTCATTGTACGTAGTGCCCCGTTTGATTTTCAACATTTTCGTTTTTCCTTCAAATTGAACACCGTTGGGGCCTTCATAATGCTTTCCATCATAGTAAATCATGGTAACATACATGTTTGGACTTGAGCTCATCTTTCACACGAATTTTGGGGGTAGGAATCGGATTTTAGGGTTTTGGGTTCGGATTTGGGGGAAAAATTGAGAAATAAAGGAAAATGAAAATGATTTCACAATTACTATGCCTTAGAGGTGGTGTGATGAAATGGAAGGGTGATTGGAAGGTTCACAGCTGACAAACAAGAGAAAGAGACCAATGGAGGAGTTTTACATTCGAATATAATGAAAATGAGACCAAGAGAGGTCTGGATATAGGGTTTTCCGCGATCTTTAGTCGAGTAAATAATGTGCTTAGTCGACTAAAAGTGCAAACAATGTAGTCGACTAAGGGGAGTTTTTAGTCGACTAAAATTCGCGTTTCATGATTTCTGAGTTTAGCCCATTTAGTCGATTAAAAGTGCAACTTAATCAACTAAATGGGGGCAGGATGTGGATAGTTCTGGGGGAGGGGCAAATTGGTTATTAATTATTTAATTAGGGGCAAAATGGTCAAAAAGCCTAGTAATAAATCATATGTTTATCATTTAAAAAATTTATTATCTTTATAATTAATTTAATTATCGTTGATTTCTATTAATCTAATGATTATAATTTATTAAATTTATTGAGAATTAATAATTAATTACTAAACTATAATGTTAGATTGACGAAAATTAATGGTGATTAAGTTGGTTGTAAAGGTAGTATATTTTTTTGATAGTAAATTTATCCTGCCCCATAAACTAATAATATTAGTGACCGTATAAAAAAAAGTGGCAAGATATACTTACCACACAAAATGTTCACCACTTTTACAATCAATCTAATCATCGTTAATTTTTCTCAATCTAACGGGTTGTAATTTAGTGGGAATTAATAAATAATTAATAAATACAGTTCAATAATTACCAATAAATTATAATCGTTAGATTGATGGAAATCAACGGCGATTAGGTTGGTTGTAAGAGTGGTAAACTTTTATGGTAGTAAGTATATTCTATTCCATAAAAAAATAGTAGTAGTAGTAATAAACTAATAATATAAAAAAATTATTTATCAAATATAATATTTTTAGTACAAAACGTCATTTTTTCGGAACAGTGACCAAAATGTCACGTTTTGTCAAATTTTTTACTCAAATGTCACGCGAACAATATTTTTTCCCAGACTACCACGTGTCATAATTCGCTATCACTGATAGCGTGGCCAATAATTTCGTGACACGTGGTCATATTGCAGACCAAATTTGCTACCATAGCGAATTATGACACGTTATCTTTTTCCTGCGAAAGTGTGCCACGTGTCCAAAAATCATTCGCGAACATAATTGGCTAGTGGCTACACTGTGTAGCGAATTACGCCCTGCTTGACACGTGTTATTCTTGCTGACTGTGCATTTGACGTGACATACTTTGCTACACTGTGTAGCGAATTATTTGCAAGCATATTTCGCTACACATTGTAGCAAATTATACCACGTGACATTCTGAGAAAATTTATTGTTGACGTGGTAGTCTGTTAATTTTTTTGGCCAAGCGTGACAAAATGGTCATTGTTAGGGGTGTTCATCAACCGATCCAAACCGATTCAAACCGCGAAAACCGAACTGAAAAACCGATAACCGAATAAACCGAAAACCGAAAAATCGGAAACCGAAAGAAAACCGCAAATTTTAATTGGATTAGATCGGTTTTCGGATGGGTTGATGAAAACCGATCTAATCCAAACCGATCCAATATATTAATTACTCTCTACCTACTTGTCCTTTCTCCAATCATAGCCCAAAAATTTCTAAACTCAAGACCCATTAACTCATCAACTAAATCCAAAAAAAAACTTAGTCACGTCTCATCAACTATAGTATTGTTTACTGATATTTTTGTATTTCATTTTTTTTTTTTACAAAGCCAATATATACAAAAGATGTTATTTGCACAATAATCATGAAACTAATTCTAGGATATTCAAAAAACTGAAAACCGATCCAATCCAAACCGAAAAAAATTGGATTGGATCGGATCGGATTTGAAAAAAAATCTAAACCGAATGGATGATTACATGATCAAACCGAAGGGATTGGATCGGATGAGTTTTGCTTCCAAAACCGATCCAATCCAGACCGCGAACACCCCCTAGTGATTGTTACCATTTTTTCATGGATATATGCACTAAATATGAGGACTTGCTAAACTTGAAGAGGTTATCTTTAAGGATTTAGGGGTTTTTTTTTGTTGTTGTTAAATCTAATACACCATTTGAGAGATTTACAATTGATAAAAGATGGGATTTTTTATGAATTATAAAACAAATTTTGTACACCAAAAATAAATTAGCCAAATTTCAAGCATGTAATATGTATTTTACCCTTTGACGCTTTCAATGGACATTAAGATCTAAGACCTGTCATCGATGTTTTAACAAAAGTTATTGACAAAAGTAATGTTAGATTTAAGATAGAGCTGCCCGAGTTTTTATCACACAAGGGGATAATATGTTTTTTTTTTTTTTTAAGCAAGAACTTTATGAACTAAATATAAAGATTGATTCAACTCTGAGGTCATTTTTAAGGATTTAGGAATTATTATTTTTAAACAAATCTAACACACCGTTTCACAGTTTTACAGTTGACTAAATTTTGGAAAATTATATGTTAGAAAGCAAATTTTGTACTCTAAACTTGAAATGAACCAAATTTCAAGAGCGTAATATGCACTTACCTTTTTCCCCCTAGTATAGTATGGGATTTTCAATAGATATTATTATTAGGTAGTGTTCGGTAGAAGATTTATTTTGGGATTGATGAGAAAGTGTAAGTGGATATTGAAAAATATCACGTTTGGTTCAGGTTTTTGAAAAAAATACTAGGGAAATGACTTTTGTGTTAATTTTTGGATGAAATTCACTGTTACATAATACCACTTGAGATGTGGTATTTTGAGATAACTGAGAAAGTGAAAAGACAGGTGCAAAGTTTCTCCCGAACATAGATTTTGCAAATTTAAATAAATTTTCCTGGTAATATTTCGGTCAACCAAACAACTTTTTTTACATTTTCCTACCAAACTCACTTTCCAACTATTTCCCTAGTAATTACATTTCCGTAATATTCAAAAAATTTCTCCTCAACCAAACGCCCCTAACGTCATTAACCTTTAGCTGACTTTTTAACCAAAACGGTAGAATCATTTTGCCTCAATTTGCAAGGTACTCAGACTTCATAATCACGTTAAGAACGTGATAGTGAGTTTGGGAGAAAGTTTTCAAACTTTATTCATCTAAACTATTGTATGAAAAAATTGGTTAATTGATAAATATAATATAATTTTTTAAGAATTAAAATAATATGCTTTGAAAATTATGTAAGAAAGTCATATAGATTGATTACTTTGATCGGACTTGTTCCGTTTATGGAGTCCGTAAATGATCAAAATATATCACTTTAATAAATAATATTCAAATCATATTTTTTAATATTTTTTAAATTAAATAATAGTGGCCAATCAGCTACAAAAAAAACTGATTGACTCTTAACGGACTCAAAATAAATATTATGAACCTGTTTTTTGAGGAGGAGTTTCTTAACTATTTGAAGGTAGCAGTTATATCCTTGGGTTGTGAACAGTCTTCTGAAAATAAACCAATCCATTCATCCTATATTAAAATTACGTTCCAAAAAAAAAAAATTACGTTCCATAATTTCCATCAAGAACAGAACATAGCGGAAAAAAAAATTCAAGAAATAAGTCCTCTTAGCTTTTGCATCATGAATCAAGGTTAGATATGAATATGAATATGAAAACTATAAATTTGTAAAATCTTTATTCATGTTATTGATTTGTGAGTGAAGAACATGAAATTACATAACAACTCACATCACATACATGCAAAACTTTACAATACATATTCAACGAGTTTGGAAGAATTTCTCAAACTTCATTCGTAGTAAAACATAATCCATAAAAAACGTATTAAAACATAATTTGACACAAACAAGCTCTGGTTTCATCCCTCCACTATGAGTTCACACCCACCCTTCATTTTCAAATTACGTAGCATGTGAGCCATTGCTTCTGAGGGTTCCCGAACTTGCACTTTTCTCAAGGCAGTCAAAGACCACAGTTCATTTGGGAGATCATTCAACTCAGGACAGCTTTCAATGACCAGGTTTTGAAGGCATGGCATTGCACCATTGGCTAATTTCCAGTTTTGGACATACAAATATCTCATCTGGAACACCTTCAGTTGTGGGAACCCACCTGCAACGCAATTAAGGTCAAAGGAAGACCCTCTCACAGAACCTCCAGATAGTCTCAAAATTCGGAGTTCGGCAAGATTTCCCAAAGCATTCATCCAATGGTCATTCAAGGAAGTAATACCTTTCAATGTTAACTTGGTAATGAATGGAGGAAATGCGACCGCACACATTGTAAGGTCCAATTCACCGGAAATTTTTAACGCAGTCAGATGACTCATGTGCTGTAGGCTTGGTAAGAGTTCTCCTGGCTTAGCATTTATGTTCTGTTTCATTGGTTTTGTTCTGAGGCTAATTTGCAACTTGTTCAAATGACTTAAATGTTGTAGACATAGCAACAGTTGGGGGGCTTCTTCACCCTTGCAGTCTGAGGAGATTTGCAAGCCCAATTTTCTTAGTTTGGGGAACTTTCCTTCCTCTATGAGAGATGCTGTTTGTCTATTGAGTACAATGGAAGATATGGTTTGAAGATTCCACATAACTTCACCAGCTGATTCTGAACCGAAGCCACGTGGCATGATAGGCCCATTTATATACAGATGCCTTAACTGCTTGAGCTTCAACATTCCATAGGCGAAATAAATCTGGAAAGGCTTGACCCAATAGTGGTACAGGTCTAAGGTTTGTAGATTCCGAAGGGTGTATATAGAAGTTGGAATGGCTCTAGGATCTACCAACTCTATTCTCAAGTACCTTAAGTGAATAAAGTTCCCCAAGTTGGAAGGGATCTTCATTCGGCAGCGCCCAGCAAGCTCTAACACCTGAACCAATTTGAAGCTTTTGAAAAGCCATTCACATAGGCCGCGAGTAAGTTGGAGATCTCGGTCAAAGCAGAACAAAGAACGGACACATGACTGGTCATTGTTGCTTGAAGAAATGTAGCGAGACATGCTACAATGGATGGCCAGTCTTCGAGGTTTTGTCGGGATTACAATGTTATAATCGGTGCAAACTTCAAAAACCTTGTCCTTTTTGCTCTCAGATATGCAGAGATCCCGCAGAAGATCGTGGATGCGACATGTTTTCACACCTCCACTACTCTTCACTCGTGCTACTTGGACCAAACTACGATCAATGAGCTCGTACAAGTAGTCTTCGGCAACATCATCTGGATCTCTAGTCCCCGTTTCTCTTATAAATCCTTCAGCAACCCACTTTTCCAACAGTGGCCTAACATGGATTTCAAAGTCTTCAGGGAATATCCCAAGATATAGAAAGCGTGTCTTCAATCTTGTTGGCAAGTTATCGTAGCTGAGTTTGAGTACTATATCCTTGACTTGGGTCTCATCTCGAGTGAGATACCAATTGACATGGCCCACCACTTTTGACCATTCTCTGTGAGACTTTTCCTTGTTTGCTAGAAGCCCTGCCAATACGACAATGGAGAGAGGCAAACCGCCACAACTTTGAACTATTTGTTTACCTAGAGACTCTAGATCAGTAGGGTACTCTTCTCCCCGAAACACTTTCTTGGAGAAGAGCTCCCAGCTTTCTTCATCATTGAGAAATTGAAGTTCGTGTGGAGGATCTTGGCTGGTATGCGAGGCCACCTCTTTCAAACGACTAGTAATCAATATTTTGCTGCCTGTGTTTTCATCGGGAAAAGCATCTTGTACCTCGTCCCAATCTTGGGTTTTCCACAAGTCATCGAGCACAAGTAGATACTTTTTCCCCTTCAAGCATTCCCGCACTATTATCTTCAGCTCATCAGTGCTCAATATAGAAAAGTCTTGAGGCTTATCTATTTCCTTGTGTTTCTTACCCTTCTTGTTGCTTCTACGTTCATATTCAGGGTTCAACGTCAACTGCTTGAAAAGACCAACCAAAAGCTCCTTAGCTCTGTACTCGTTTGACACATAAACCCACACACTGCAATCGAAGTATTGTTTCACCTCGTTGCTTTTGTAGACCTTTCGAGCAAGTGTGGTCTTGCCCAATCCACCCATGCCGATGATCGGCACGATGTTACGCCGTGAACCCCCTTCTTCCATGAGGCGCTTGATGATTACCTCGGAGGCATGGACAAAGCCAACTACATCTTCCTCTTCCACATCTCTCCTTCGCTTGTGCACTAACTGCGCCCTCTCCTCTTCTTCTCTTAATGTGGATTGATCATCACTTTTTTCAAAGTTGTATTTGATCTTGTTGTCGCTTATGTTGTTGAGAGTGGTTGTTATATTCTCTATTTTCTCGGCTACTTCGTGGAGCAACTTTGCGTTGCCAAGGCCGCAGAGCATCCTAGTCAGCATGCTTCTCCTTTTGTGAATGGTGATGTTGGCAATGTACGTGTCAATGACATCCTCAGCTTCGTGGGAGACATCTCTGATTTGATTAACAAATTCTTGTTCTATCTCCGTCTTGCTCTTCTTATTCCCATCGAAGGTTTTGAGGTAAGCATTTATAAATTGGAGCTCGGTGTGAAGGGATTTGATTTTGCCTTCCACGCCCAAGAGCAACTTGGCTTCGTGTTCCAGCAGTTGGGACAATTTTTCTAGAAGGAAGGGAACCACGCTCTCAGCCATTATAGGGATGTGAGTGTATGAGAATAGATATGTGATTATAAATAGAAAGAGATTGTTGATGAAAGAAATTAAACTGATAGTTGGTGTTATAAAGCATTGATTGGCACGGGTTTATGCCAAGGGTGTTGCGTAGGTATTCCTTCCTTTGATGACTTGTGCAAGGTTCAAGGCATTCCTTGCTTGTTGCAAGCCTCTCAAGACATCCCTTGCTTGGTGCAAGGCTGAAGAAATGCTACCCACCTACCTAATCAAAGAAGATTCCCTCCTCATTCATATTTATATATACATATGAACACCTTTTGGAATATAGAGACACAAAGCTTTTGAAAGCTTTTGAAGTTTGATTTCTTTGTAACCTACTATTTTATAGTAGAAGTTGGGAGTGGATCCTCTCATGTGCTAGTTAATATGATCATGTCATGTGGAGCAATCATAATCATACATGGGTGAGTTAATGGTGATAGGGAAGGAGAGAGAAAAATATAAGGATAAGAAGTTACACAATCATCACCGTTGATTTAATTATTAATGGTTAAGATCCTCTCACATGACATGATCATGTTAAATTAGACATGAGAGGATCCATTTCCGTAGAAGTTTGAATGAAATTAATGGATTTTGGATTTCATTATTTTGAATAAACTCATAACATTGAAATATATATGGTGGATACAACGATGACTTAGAGAATATTATATGAAATTACTAAATCAAAGTCCCATTTAAATTGGATGAAAGTGGAACATAAGGAGAAAGCAGAGGTGCTCAAAACCACCAGAAGTTCAAACTATTCACAGTGCAATGACATCTTTGAATTGAATCAGTGATCGCAGTCTCCTTAACAAATTTGGCTAAAGTCAAAAATAAATTCCAAGCTCTTCCTTATTTTTTTCACAAATCCAACAGCAGAGCGTTATTGATTTGATATTTAATTGTGATGTTATATAAATATTCAAAAGAATAGAAATATATATTTTTTTCACTCGATTAGTAGTAAAGTTGCTCTTTTCAAAACAAAATCAAAATTTTAAAGTCAGGAAATAGCCTCTTTCAAAAATGTAAAGATAGGGCTATTTGAGTGAGCCTTACCATAAAATTTGTTTTCTGTCCTGTTACATTGTGTATGTATTTCCATAATTCAGAAAGACTTGAGGTCAACCATAAAAGTTTGATTGCACCTTCCCGTTAGGTGAAGCAATTGCACTCAATAATTCAGAAAGACTTGGGGTCAAGAGTTTTGTTTTGTTTTTTGTTTTGCTGCGTGAGTCTGCGTCCACGGCAAAGCTCAATTGCACCTTCCGGTTAGGCGCGTAAATTGCACCTTCCACTAATTTGCCTTATATATCTACATTTTTTTAAAAAATGATTTGCTTTTTAAAAGTTTTCTAATTGCCCTTTCTTTCTTTTTTAATTTCGGTTTTCTTAGGAAAATCTTGTACATCCGTGATGCGAAAATAATGCTTCTCTTTGTTAGAGAGTAGCTCTTTTTGTATATATCAATATTTTTGTATACCTCAATTTTTATTTTTTATTTTTTATAAGTGAATGGGTTCGACCCATAATTATGTCTATTGTCTATACTAAGAGAGAACTATTTTGAGTATTCTCCTATAACATGATATTAATAAAGCCCTTTATGAGAAATAAAAGGTGTGAAACCGATTCTCTTTTTTCTTCTTTTTTTCTATGCAATGAGACCTATAATATTTATGTGTCTACAACAATAAGTGTCATGCAACATTATATTCATAAAAATCTTTATTATTAGTTCATATTTCTATACACACATAAAAATTTGTAGAACCCCATGTGAATCCATATAAAAAAAGAGAGACAAATATGGATCACATATACTTTTATATGTACATGAGAGATAAAATTATTTCCTACAATATTAAAAATATTAAACCCTTATTATCATGGGTCCCTTTTTTATACGGTAACTGCAAATGGAATTTTTTCAACTTTTGCATTGAATTGATTTTTTTACATAATATCAAAGTCTCGGTATCCCAGATTTGATCCTCATTGTCCCCCATTTTCTCTTATAAAACTTCTTATCACAAGACGCCCAATGAACTCTTCTGTGACGGAACGTGTTAGAATATAATATAAACTATTAAAGAAATTTTTGGATTAAATTAATTCTTTACAAACATAAAAAAAAATGGCTTTCTATATGTTTTTTCAAGGAAAGACATTTTTCTGTATTATTATTATAAAAAATATTACTCTCATTTTACATAAGATAACTTCTCTCATGTTCTCTCACTTCGATTTTCACATCCCACCTTTTTCTTTTTCTTTTCTTTTTTCTTGTAATTGTGAGACGCACTCATTTTCTCTCTAAAACATAAAATAGTTATCTATAGTGAAAGGAGACTAATAAAACTCTATTATTATATTGCAAAAGTAAAACTGAGTCTCAATGTTTCCCCCAAACTGGCCAAAAGTCAAAGCAAAGCACAGGACTGGATAACTCGGAGTTCTAATTTCTAGGGATGCATTAATTCACGAACAAAACCAGTAACTTTATTCAGCATGCAATAAATCAGGTTGAAATATTTATGTTCGCTCATTAGATACAAAACGAAGAGTGTTCCAGGGTTCCACAAATAGCCACCCACTAGATGAGAGTAGATGTTGGTCTTGCTTATATCAAACGGCTGAGGTTCCATAAAGTTGTACATAGCTCAGCTTAAATGAAAATACACAAACATGGGATTACTTTGGAGTTTGGACCACACATACCCGACAAGGACTTGTTTGGGCATTGCATAACATTGCACTGAAAATCCTGTTCCTAGTTATCTGCAACAATTTAATTAAAGGATTCAGCTAGTTGATGCTTACAAGCTGAAACTTTATCTAATTCAAATCTCACCATGTGGTGATTGAGAGCTTGTTGTTGAGAAGCCAGAAGATGACATAGGAAGGGATATTGAGAGTTGAGTTGAGGAGAATGCTATCTGGTTGGATCTCTCATCTTCTAGACCAGACCATGATTCTCTGCTTTTAGGCCATTCATCAAAAAAAGGTCGAAGAGGCTGACCCTCATGCTTCACAGGTTCTCCTGACACATATTCACTAGATAAAAATGAATGCTGGGGATAATCACCCTGCAACATGGAATTATTACTCGATTTCGATGAAGAAAAAGAGGCAACTCTGGTTGACATCAAAGGCCAGGTGTTTTCCAGCTGCGACTCCATTTGGAGAACCTTGTTGCTTCCTGAAGCTTCAGAAAAGAAGCTATGTTCACCACCCTCAGATTTAAGTCCTTCAAGATACCTGTTTAGTTCAAGTAAAATTACCCACGGTTCAGGGGATGAGTGATATTGCTAACATATTCCATAGTCATGTTTAATTATACTGAAACTTATCATGGAGCAAGGTGCCTTATTGGCAAAGTTGAATAGCACAAACAAATAATTATGACGTCGATTATATGACATAAGCAACAAGAACAAATTGAAGAAGGCAAAGAGCAATAGACTAGACAAGGTCACCAATGCTATCCAAGTTACGAAGGTACTATTATTGAATGAAATTAATACAATTTAGGTCTCATTATTTTGAATAAACTCGTAAAATTGAAATATATATGGTGGATGCTACAATGACTTAAAGAATATTATATGAAATTCCTAAATCAAAATCCCATTTAAATTGGATGAATGAAACATAAGTAGAAAGCAAAGGTGATCAAAACCACCAGAAGTTCAAACTCTTCAGAGTGCAATGACATCTTTGAATTGAATCAGTGACCGCAGTCTCCCTAACAAATTTGGCTAAAGTCAAAACTTGAATAAATTCCAAGCTTTTTCTTCTTTTGTATCTTCCACAAACCCAACAGCAGAGCATTATTAATTTGATATTTAATTGTGAAGTTATATAGATATTCAAAGGAATAGAAATATTATTTTTTCTTTGGAGTAGTAAAACAGCTCCTTTGAGACCGAAAAGTGAAGGTTTCAAATCCGGGAAATAACCTCTTGCAAAAATGTAAGAATTGGGCTATGTAAAAAGATTTCCTTGATTCCTACCCTCACAAGTTGGGGTTTCATAGGGGGTGATTTTGATTTATAACTTATGATTTCAAAAAGTCAAAGAAATATGGCTGCAGTACAGAACAAGATTCACAGCTATATTTAACGATGTATGGAGAACGAGTTAGACAAACTTTTGTTGACATATATTGAAGGAAATGCATCCTTTCTACCAAAAGGAAAACTAGAAGACATTTAGTTAGTGTGCCTACCTTTCTCGTTATCCCCATGTGACAGATACTGTAGGCGGACAACAGAGCCTCACATTAGCATGCTAAAATGTTCCACAAAATTTCACCCAAAAGAAAAGTTTCACAATGCCCTTCATATTTAAGGAATAAATGAATGCAAAGAAAAGAAAATCAGAATGCAATTAAAGGGCCATCTTTCACCCTCAATATTTTGTCAAAGTACCCAACAATAAGTAGTTTGGAGACAATTTCGATTTGATGAAGGTCTCTTGATTCTAATACCTAGTCCACATGTCAAAGTGTCACCCAACACTAGAAAAGAGAACAAAAAGCAGCAACCGGACATAAACAAAATAACAGTTCAAGATTTAGTGAAAGAGCTACAATTTCCCTCTAAAATATTCAAAAAACATAAATAAAAATACAGAAGATGAAGCAAAGATAGATAGCTAACAGCTCCAGTCTTACTCTTGACAATATACAGACAAAAAATGGAGTAGATACTTCTGCAGTGAATAACATTCTAACAAAAAAATAGAAATCCACGGTACAAGCATACCATTATCCACATAACAGATATTCGTCTGTACAGTAATAAATTTCAAAAGAACTGCAGCAAATTCAGATGAAAATATTAAAACACGAGAACATGAAGAAGTAAAGGCAGTTCCATTAAATATGCCAAGCAATATGACCTTAATTAAGGGCATATTTTGTGTTCTGTTCTCTCTAGCTAAAGGTTTTTTTCCAATTCCAAGCAATCAACTGGTGTGAAATATAATAAGGATTTCTATACCTGTATTCTTTACTTGGAATCCCATAGGGAATGGAATCTAGATGATAGTTGGTATGTTCGGTTCCAGAACCAGTACCTTGGAGATTACCAAAGGCATTTCTGGGAAGGTTCTGGAAGTTTTCAGTTCCACTGCTGCCACCAGTGACAGTCAGTGATGTCACAGAGGATGATGATGGTGTCATAGTTTGTGATTCCACAGGCTTTCTTGAACGGTTGCGGCCACGGTGCATGTGGCGCTCACAGTACTTGGAGTCTGGGTATGCTTCCTTGGAGCACCTCCACTTTTTTCCATCAGTTCTCCTGCATCTTCCTGGCTCTGGGTCCACCTTCTTCCCATAGAAGGAACAGTAGCTCACTGCAAATTTACATGCACGCTTAGTTATGCATAGGTACTTTATTAACAACATTCCAGACACATCCTATGCCACAATGAATTAGAGACATTCATTTAGCAGCAATAAAGACAAACTAGAAGTGTACATAGCTATAGGTGAAAACTCCAGCACTAAATATGAAATATGGGGTAGGTTATACCTAACTATTTTCCCTTACAACCATTTTTGCCATCGTTAGATTAAAATCAAATCAACGGTTACAAAATGATGTAAAATGAGAACAGTTGATTTTAGTCCAACAATAACAAAAATGGTGGTAAGTGGTTGTAAGGAAAAAGCAATTGTAAATATAACCTATCATGAAATATTATACCAGTTGTAAGATTTACTAATAAGTATAAAAATATGAAGACAAGGGAAACAAACCTATCAACAATTAGAAATCTGTGTCTCTCAATAATTTCATCCAGAAAGGGAAAAGCAAATTCCTATGAAAGATACGGAATATGATTGCAAATATCTTATTAAGATATAGTGTTTAATTTCCAAAAATAAAAGAAAACCCTCCACCTTCTTAGATAACAATCCACCGACCAAGCTTCATGGATCCTTACCATAAGTTTATTGGGTCCTCAGGGACAAAAGGGCTATATATCCATTTACACTTTTTAGGGTTGAAAATTGAAAGGAAAACATTACTGTTACTTGCACATAAATGTCATGTTTGGATTCCTAAAGGAACTAACGAATGCCAATTAAAGAATAGAGATTTAGACAAAAACAAAAAAAAAACAAAAAAAAGAATATTTCAGTCTCTTTATTTATTTATTTATTTCAATCTTAAAACATGAAAATAGGAAAACATTATCAAAACGAATTCCTCATGTACAACAATAGAAAACCAATGGTTAGGAAGAGGATTTGAGAACTCACAAGTGGGATGGTGAAAGAAGCTATGTGAAATAGACTCGAAGCTCTTCTGAATGGGAAGCACAAGATCAGGTGGCACAGGAAGACCCGCCACCATGTACTTGAAGATCAAAGCTTGGTGCTCCAGTTCCTGCCACTGAGACACTGTGAAAGGCGACCTATTATAACTGTTACTGAAACCCATCATCATCCCTCCCCCACTGCCACCACTGCTACTCACATTCATATTTTCCACTACTTTTACTACTCCTATGAATAATACAACACTCTTCTTCAATGTCAATATCAAAACCAAACATAGTCAGACACAAAAATATGTTATCACACTCAGATCGAGCTTTGTCGGAGCCATTTGGTTTTGCTCTGTTTCTTCCTTTTTAACACTCCGCGCGTGTGGATTCTGTCCGGATGGCGATGCTCCCAAGTTAAAGTAAGCTAATATGTTTAACGCTTATAATTTCTTCTCTTATTTAAATGGAAAATAATTTCCTTATATCGTAAAAAAAAAAGTTATATTATCTAGTAGAAATAAGATTATAACAAGAGACCCAACGGGTGCAGCTCAGTTGGTAACTTGGCGCTGAGTTAGTGGGGTTGGATATGTGTTCGATTCCCGCTAAATGCATTCTTGGGGGGCTAAACCTTTAGCCATCACTGTTCCCCCGCACTCCGGATTAGTCCTATAGCCGGCTCAAAGAGTCGAAGCTCGTGGGGATACCGGAGGGAGCCAACTCGTCTTAAAGAGATAATTAGGGTTGAGTAACTCCAAAAAAAAAAAAGATTATAATAAGAGAAGTTCACCAAAAAATAAAAAATTATAATAAGAGAAGAAAAAAAATAGAGGTTGAATTAATCTCTCATTTGTGTGTGCTAGAAATTTGATTATCTTATGTAACATAAGATAAATGTAATCCATCTAAATTAATAATATTGCATACATAAGATTACTTTTCTTTAATTATTTAAAGGCTTTAATGTTCATATAGTTAATATAGATAAACTATATTATTTTGAGTTAAAAGATTAAAAAATTATAATGATAAAGATTATTATAAATTTAAAATAAATTATAATTATAAAAATACATTAATATTTTATCACAAAATAATATTATTTTAGACTCAATACAGATAACTTATTTGCATTCACAGCTAAAAAAAAATTCTTATTTAAATCCATTTCTATAACATCAAGCGAGATGAAAGATGAAATCGAAATGTAAAAAATAATAATTTCTTATACGAGAAGATTTTTTTCTCGCGGTGAGAGTGGTTTCCACTTCTTTTGCTGTCAACCGGAGATTTGCAAAAGAAACCATTACCAAAAATGAACACGGAAGCAAATGATGATAATTTAATTGACATTAAAGAAAAAAAAAAGAATTGAGTAGGTTAGATAAAAGTATGTGTTTGATCTTCCTTGTATTTAAGAGAAATTTAAAGTCTAAATCTCTAGACCACCCCAAATCAGACTTGTGATGAAGTGATAAATCGATCGAAATATTTCAATAAAAAAAAAAAAAATTACCAGCAAAATGCTTTGTTAGTGAAGTATCATTTTACTCATTTTATCGCGAGGGCATTTACTCTTTTAAAATGCTACCCGTTGGCGGACAGCAACAACACGTGATGGGCTGGAGTAAGGCCGGGCCCAGTGGCCCAAAGCACCAAGTGACGGTGATTTTTGGAATGGCCACCGCTGGAGGAAACCATCCACTGGTTGCCGGAATGCAGGTAACATTTGATGTGGGGCTCAAACTCTGACATTGGCAAAAGCAAAATCGTAAATCACCAAAATGTGGTACAAAGCGATACAAAAGTTTGCAATTCCAGTTTTACGCTTCTCGGTTCTGTATCATTGTCTATGTACCCTGTACCTTTGGCCGTAGGCACTGTATCATGGTCCTTGCGTTTCATGCTTATAATTGAGATTGAAGGAGACGACAAATAGAATAGGTATATTGAATAACTGAAAAACATCTGTGTAGTTAATGCAGATAATTACGGGAAAGTTTAAAAAATTATAATTATAAAAATTATAATAACTTTAAAATAAATTAAGATTACAAAAATATCATGATTTCTATCCCAAAATAACGTCGTATTGAGTTTAGTACAGATAACTTATCTGCAGAAAAAATGAACTCGTTGAATAATAGGATAATTTTTAGAGAAAGATTAAGTTTACAATTTTTTTTGCAATAATTTTTTATAATTATTGTTTAAAATTAATATCATTTTGAAATTGTTGATTTGATTTTAATTCAAGAGTAAGAAAAAAATTGTAAAAATTTATAAGAGAAAATAAATAATAAGTATAATATTTCTTTAATTTTTTTGTTATTAATTGTTTAATGATAAACATAGAGAACCAAAAATTTGTGATTTCCATTAATAAAATAAAGCAAAATTTATTATGATGCTCTTTGTATCGTATATATATATATATATATATATATATATATATATATATATATATATATATATTTATTTATTTGATAAATAAGAAGGGGCTAAAACTCCAAACACAAACTCAGTTCAGAAACACCCTACGAGAATTATAAACCAAAGAAATTTCAGTCAAATACAGTGGCAAAATTCCAGGAGGAGGGGAATCAAAGACTCTATAATTACTCTCCAAATGGTACTCCAATGGATATTTAGACAGCCAGTCCGCACAACTACTGTTTTCCCTAAAGACATGAACCAGTTGCACCTTCCAATCTTTTTGTAACCATGCTCGAATGTGAATCATCAAACGAGACTCTCGAGCTGCTCCTCCACTTTTGATGAACAAAGTGCTCACTGAGACTCGAGCTGCTCCTCCACTTTTGATAAGCAAAGTGATCACTGAGCTAGTATCATTTTCTAACAAACAACCTCTCCACCCCTGTTCCAAGCCATTTCATGGGATAATGAAATAAAAAATTACTGATTTTTTCACTGTGTGTCGTGGGTAAAATTTTATATCTTAATTTGAGTGAACAATAAAAATTTAGAGATTCTCTGTTTGATTAGTGTTTTTAAAAACAGTTTTTTAGTTTTCAGAACAAAAAAACTAAAAAATTTGTTTGATAAGACTTATTTTGTAAAAAAAAAATTAAAAACTGTAACTATTTTTTTGTTTTTAGAATCAAATTTAAAGAACATGTCTGAGTTGTTTTTGTTTTTTGTTTTGGTTTTTAACTTTCAAAACAAAAAAACACAGAAAACAAATGTTTCCATACTTATTCTACAAAACAGTTTTAAGAACAAAAAAAACCAAAACACAATCAAACGGGCTCTTGTATTTCACTTTTATTTTTTCTATTATTTAAATAATTAAATAAAGTACTTTTTTTTTCCCATATCGTACTTTTATGTTTTAGCAAATCTAGATGAATGAATGGATGAACTCAGCCAACGTTTTACAACTCATGGTCAAGAATGGTTTAATTATTCATGGGTTGCTGGTACCCATACTTTTATTTCATTCATGGACCACACCCCTAGGCCCTCTATAGCATCTACTATTTGTTGGTTCCTGTTTTTGTGTTTTTGGCATGGTTCACCAACGATTCCTCGTGAGGAATGAGATAACGTCAACTAATTGCATCATTCCTCAAGAAATCAATATTACATTTACATGACTTTGCTCAGGAGACGGAAGAAAAAGTCACCCTATAAAGCAAGTTCCCAGTGTTTGTGGTTTCCTGATGGGGAAAAAAATTAAATAATAATTTAATAAAAAATTACATAAATATAATCATTTTAAATGTATTTATAAATGTATAACACTCAAATACATTCCATAGATGCGTGACGGTTGGAGAGACACTCCCCACAAGGGCATGTTTGATCAGAGAGACACTCCTCAAGGGGCATGTTTCACTGGTGCTGATACGTGGCACAAAAGTCAACAATATACCCATAAAACTTTGGAAGTTCATAACTTTTGTGTCCGAATTAGGTAAAAAAAAATTGATTCCACACAACTTTTTGATATCTACGCAATGACATGTCATTTGATATATTTTGTCTCTCACAAAAAAAAAGTTCGATTTTACAACAATGATATCATAAGAACGTTTAAACCCTTTTTTTTTTTGGGTGAAATAAACCCAAATTAATAAAGAGAAAACTATTGTTATGATTAGAAACATTCATAATAAAGATCCTTATAATTATGGTACCATTGTGTTATTTATTGAAAAAGTTTGAATTACAAAAAAATTATCTAATTCAGAAACCCGAGTCAAAAGTTATGGACTTTAAAAATTTTAGAAGAAAGACACGCCATATAGGGGGTGTAACACTTGGTGCTGACATGTGGCACAAAAAGTCAATAATTTGATAGTAAAACTTTGGGAGTCCATAACTTTTGACTTTGGTGTCCGAATCAGGTAAAAAAAAAATAATTTCACACAACTTTTCGAGATATACACAATGAGATCTTCTTGAAGGGGATTTGGTGAAAAACATTTCAAAATTTTGAATATTTCATTATAAAACTTCGGAAGGTCATAACTTTTGCCTCGGGTGCTTAAATCAAGTTTTTTTTTACTCCGTATAACTTTTGAGACGAACGTGTTGGCAAGTTCCATTGGTCAAATTTTTTTTTCAAAAAATGCTTCCTTGTGCTTCGAATTACATTTTTTTATATCTGTGAGTGTGAACGATGTATTTAAGTTTAAACGTTCTTATAGTATTATAGTTGTAAATTCAAACTTTTTTGTGAGAGACAAAATATGTCAAATGGAGTGTCATTGCGGCGTAGATATCGAAAAGTTATGTGGAATCAAATTTTTTTTACCTAATTAAGACATCCAAGTCAAAAGTTATTATGGACTTTCAAAGTTTTACGGTCAAACTATTGACTTTTGTATCACGTGTCAAACACGCCCCTTGGAGGAGTGTCTCTCTCATCAAACACGCCCTTGTGAGAAGTGTCTCTCACCAACCGATCACATCCCCGTGGGGTTCTAGTGCTATATATTTGTAAATACATTTAAAATGACTATATTTTCCTAATTTGTTATTAAAAAAACAATATTTAAACTGCGAATATCATACTGTCATGCTGCAGCATCACTTTCTCATATATGAAAATAAATTTCTCAATTTTATGGAGCTCGAAAGGGTTTGCAAGACTTCTAAAACGTATTAATGTTAGTATGTCACATTGGCAAAAGTCAAGGGAAAAAATCAATTTAAGTCACGTGTACTTGCTGAAACTATACCATTGTGACTTCTGATCTTAATTTTATTGTGCTTATATCTCATCTAGGTTCCTTGCTTTTGTCGGTTAAATTTTCACCACCTCTATCTCAGTGTTTTGTTACTTTTTAATTATAAGTCCTTGTAGCTTATTTTAGCTATGACCAAAAGATGTTATTTGGCTCGGTGGAACACAATAAATCAATGGAAAAGTGTTTGTCAAAAGATGTTATTTTACATTTCCATTTTCAGTTGATAGAATTTCCAATGAATCAGACGTCTCTGATATTTATACTACTTATGTTGAATAGTGATAGACATTGAATGGAATCAAAGATATTATAAAATTTTAAAGTTGTAATTACTACCGAAAAATATGACATTTAATGCAATAATTATCAAATTATTTGTATCAAATTATCAAATTATTTACATTGCCATACCATGTGAAATTAGAACTGGACAAGTAATAAGAGATTTATGTAATCTGTTAAATTATAGGTTTTAATCATGCATGATTTGCCTAAAAAAATATATCACATCATGTCTAATATTTGACTGAATTATTGTTTTTAAAATATTAATTATAACTAACTTTTTGTTTTGAAAGGAATTCTTGGTGATAAGAGATTACGAAATTTTAAATTAGAATTCCAGTAACCAAAAGGAGACATTTAAAACCGTTCGAAGATGTATCTGTTTCTATTTAGGGGGAGTAATGGGGTAAAAAAATTTAAAATATTTCTACTTTAATAATTGCTTTCTCAGGTTATTCAAACACCTGAGCAACAACGTTATGTGTGCAAGTTGCTTGGTTATAGCTTTTCAATTGATTTTAAGTCTGGAAGCAGTAATATTGTTGTTGATGCCTTATCCGGACAATTTGAAGATGCCGAGGCTGCTGGTTTACTTGCGCTAATCTCCTCTCCTACCTTTGATATAGTGCAACGCATTCGTGAGGAGAATGCCACTGATCAGGAGCTTTTGGTCATCCATCAGCAGCTATCTGTGGGAACTTGTGCTGACCCTGCTATTACTCTTAAGGATGGTATCCTTTTCCATCACCGTCGTTTCTTCTTGGGACCACACTCCCCCCTTAGATTGGAGCTGATTAAAGAGGCTCATACCACTCAGATTGGGGGCTATGCTGGAGCATTACACACATTCTTATGACTTTCAACATCTTTTTATTGGAAAACCATGCATGGTAATGTCAAGGCCTTTGTCCGTGATTGTATTATTTGTCAGCAAGTGAAGTCTGGTACCATCCCATCTCAAGGTCTGTTGCAACCTCTTCCGGTACCTGAAGGAGCCTATGAAGACCTCACAATGGACTTATCACTGGTTTACTTTTATCCAAAGGTCTGTCCACCATCTTGGTTGTTGTTGACCGTTTCACCAAGCACGCTCATTTTGGAGGCCTCCCATCTTCAAATAATGCTTCTACGGTTGCTCAATTATTCTGCACAATGGTTGTTAAGCATCATGGCTTCCCAAAGACAATTATTTCTGATAGAGACAGTATCTTCCTTAGTAAATTTTGGGTTTATTTGTTTCGACTCAGTGGAACAACCTTGGGACTAGTTCCTCCTATCATCCTCAAACCTATGGACAATTGAAGGTAACTAATCGGTATTTGGAGCAATATCTATGGGCTTTTTGCAGTGAGCAAAACAACCATTGGTCTACCTATTTGTGTTGGACTGAGTTGCACTATAATACATTTGTGCATTCCTCTATTAAAATGTCTCCTTATCAGGCTTTGTTTGGTAAGGTTCCCACCATGATTTCCCCTTACTTGCCTGCTGAAGTTTCGGTCGAAGTTGTTGATTTTAATTTGAGGCATTGTGATGAGCTACTCGCTAGTCTTAAAAGGAACTTGGACCAGGCCAGGAACCGTATGAAGGTGAGCACTGATAAACATCGTCGCGAACACATATTTGAGGAAGGTGATTTAATTTTGGTGAAGTTGCAACTTTACCGCCAAATTTCTGTCGCTCGCCGTGGATGTCACAAGCTCTCCAAACGTTATTTTGGACCCTTTCCTATAAAGCGTGTCATTAGCTCTGTAGCCTATCAAGTGACACTTCCAGAAAGCTCTCGTATCCATCCAATATTTCACGTGTCAGTTCTGAAAGCTTTTTCTGGCCAACCTCCGCCTCATCTTCCTTCTTTTCCAGAGGCTAGTGTTAACAATCATCCAGTTCAGCAACCAATTGCCTTGCTCATGTCTAGGACTCGTATGGTGGGTGAGCATCCTCGTAAGGAATTTTTGGTCCAGTGGTTTTATTCACTTCCTGAAGATGCTTCGTGGGAACCAGCCTCAGAGCTTGCTACTGTTTATCTTGATTTAGACCTTGAAGACAAGGTCCCTTTGGAAGGCAGGGCAAATGTTACGGCAATGGAAGCAAAACCAGCTGTAGCTGAGACAGCAAGACCAACGAGACAGAGAAAGACTTCTACATGGCTTCGTGTAAAGTGAAGAGATGGCAAGTAATTTGCAATTAGTTGCTAACAGAGCATGTGAATAAGTTAGTTAGTTACTGTGCATTAGGAGTTAATTGCAGTTAGTTGCTAATAGAGCATGGGAATAGGTTGATGTGTAGTGTGTTGATTAGGTGTATAAAAACCTCTCATTATCTGATCTAAAGATTGCATAATTTTGATAATACATTGGTCTCGTATTGTTCTTTTCTCTTCACCCAACATCTGGGAAATAATCTCCCCCTCAAACAAAAATAAAATAATAAATACCAAATTATTTCTAAATAAATTCTCATATTCATATTGTCATACGCGATAAAAAATGGGCGAATAATACTATTCCATTGATGTTTCTATGATTTTCCCTTTCATTCGTTCAACTTTCTTGACCAAATAAAAAAGGTAAAATACTTGTCATTTTAAACGACACAACTTGTGTCATTTCAAAGTAAGACTCACACCTTTATTTTTTTTATCAATTCTTTCTCATCCTCTTTTATCTATCTCTCTCTTTAAAATGAGACAACTTTAAGTCTTTTAAAATAACACATTTTTCCCACTAAAAAATGCGAGTTTTGTTCCCATCAAAATAGAATATGCTCTTTAGCAGTATAACACGCGAATACCAATTTCAGCTCGGGACCAAACCGTTAATTTGTTTTTTAAAAGTGATGAATGAGATTAAGTGAAACTTTTTAATTAAATAATAAACCAAAAACTTGTATACAACATAATACTAAATTAAAAAGAAATTACAAAATCAGCTTACCAAAAAAAAAAAAAATTACCAAATTTTCTTGACAGAAAATTGAACACTAGAACCCAAATTTTGATAAATTATTGTCGCCAATTACAATAATGGAAAAAATATTTGCAGAAAAAATTAGGTCTCTCGCTGTTGTAAAGAAAAGAAAGAGAAAAAAAATTATGAAAAATTAAAACAGAAATATTAAACCCTCAAAATAATAATGATATACAGAACTAGAAATTTTTTTATATATCAGTATTGTTATGTGGGTTTAATAATTTTTTTTTCTTGTACAACAAAAAATAAAGAAATATTAAACCCACATAACAATAATGCCTCTATTTGTAGTTTACAATAAAAATAAAAAGCTCTCCTCACCAAAAAAAAAAAAAAAAAAGCTCTTATCGAGTGTACCAACGGAGTGGTTGCTGAAGCCTCCAACGGCTCAAGTTGCTGAATTCTGCAAGACCTGATCGAGTGTGATACTCGACAATTCAATAAATACCATCTTGAAGGACTATCACATCGCTTAAGTATAATAAATTTTGTGGAGTATCACAATCTAATCGGGTCCATGATCTCAGCCTGAAAGATAAAGTTGACGAACTAGTCTTTTAGCAGAGAAAGCTGTTTGTGTGTGTGGGGTTACACACGGAGGTTTTGCAAAAGCCTGCGTTTTTTTTTGTAAAATTCTTTCACAGACATGCAGATCCAATTTTTATTTTTTTCAAAACCTATGAATACACAATGTATATAAGTAAAATATTTCTTAATTTCAAAAATGCATGTTAAATAAAAAACGGCGGTTAGTATTAGTTTGTTACCGTTGAAATAATAACAACAAATGTTAAGAAAAAAGAAATTATAAAAACAAGTTCGCTCCATTTTTAAAACATGTTATAGACAAAACATAGTTCTCATGTTTTGTTTTTAGGAAAAGTGTTTATCTTATTAAACAACTTACATACTTTAAAATGACACACATTTTATCCTTTGTTTTTGTTTTTTAAACAAGTGAATTCCAAAAGTAGGATTTACTGATATAAAAAGGGAAAAAACTGTAGGAACATCTGAATGCACAAGTCTAAGGAGACCAATGTCAAAATCTCAGGTCCGAATTATTATCGGCAACGTACAGCACTGATAATGCTATTAATTAAGCAAATCAGAGACTCTAATTTATTGCCTTTTCATTCACAATCAAGCCTTGGTGTGGAAAAGTTAAGTAAAAAAATAAAAAATAAAAAAACTGAAGAAAAAAGTAAAAATAAAAATAGGAAACCATTCGTGATTCGATGATATATAATTATGCCATCGCTGCACCCAGTCAACAGCACAAAAACTAGAAAGAGAACAATTTTATTAAAAAATGTTAAATTATTTAAGAGAGTATGGGAGGCCTCAGATTCAAGAATTGGAGTATACATCAGAGAAGTCTCAGATGGTACGGACAAATTATTCATGCATCACAGGCCAGAGAGAAAAATCACGAACGCATAAAGACTAAAACTAAATAGGAAAAAATTAGGGATGAAATTAAACTAGATGAGATGAAGAGAATGGAAGAATAGGGTGGCGCGCGCACCTGGAGTGAACCAGTGTTGGAGATTAAATAGGCGTAAATGAAATGAAACCCTAATTGTCTACCATGAGTGAAGTTACGCTTGTATCCTTTATTCTCTTCGCCCGTTGTTGAGGACCATGCTGGGCTTCTTGGCCCAATGCCACCTTAAAGAAAAAATAAAATAAAATAAAAACAGAACAATAAAAAAAAAAAAATAACTTCATTAAAGCGATAGAGTTAGTATCTCTTAATATTTAGTTTTAATTATAATTTTCGTTCTTTGATTAATGTGTCATTGGTAACATTTAATAATTTTTTGTTCAAAATTAATATTTTTTTTTAATTGCTACAATTAAATCTGAAAATCAGAAAATTAATCCACTTCAGGTCAAAATTCACCAATTAAAATATTAAATTTCATTTTTACCAAAAAAAATTTCAAAAAAATTTCAGAAAAACATTAAGTTTCATAAGAAAATCTATTTTCCTTCATAAAATCCCTAACCTCTTTTCTTATAAAATTATTTGAATGTCTAAATTCTGAATCATTGAAATCATTAAGTAAAAACAAATTAACGAGTTTACCAAAAACACAAATTAACGAAAATATTTAATTATAGTAGTTAACAAATAAAAATATCAAATTTGCACAAAAGTTTAGTAGAGAATTACAGTTGCACATTAGTTATGATAAAGAATTAAAAGTGCAATTAAGCTTAATATGTAAATATCAATATAATTAATTTTAAAAAAAATAATTAAGAATTTTCATTTGAATGAATCTCAAAAAACCATTTTTATATTAATTTTAGAAATTGACGTTTCTCTTACCATCTCCAAAACCATATTCTTTTGAAGTTTTAAAAAATATATATAAGCAAATTAAAAAAAAAACAAATATATATATATATAAGGTATTTTAAAAAAAATTATGATATAAAAATAAGGTAAAGTATAGTAAATTAAACCCAAAACTATGTAATTTTGAATTGTAGAAAATAACTTCATTTTTCAATGCAGGAAAAAAAAACACTTTTCCCATAATTTTAGTTTTTTTTTTATCTACGCTTACTTGTTTTATGAGAATATTACTGTAATTATTTTTTGGAACCTGATTTAATTATTCTAAAATATTTCAATCATTTTTAGTTAAAACAAAAAATACTTCTTCCCCTGGAAAAAATCACAATCAAATGCGCTGATATTCGTAGTTTCTTTAAACTAAAGTGTTGTTTTTTTTTTTTTAACCAAATGATGTTGGGGTCGACAAATTCATCAAATGGGATAAGAATATGAGTTTCATTTTTTTTAGGGGTTTAAAATTTTAATCTGAAATTAGTTTAAATCACATTATTTATGAAGTGATGAACCAATTTATAATCAACATCAACATCAACAATACCTTTATTTAAAATTAATTGAGGTCGGTGGTAGATGAACTCAAATAAAAGATATAAATAAACTAAAAAAAATAAAAATAAAAAAATTAATAAATAAAAATTAACAAATAATAAAAATAAATAGAATAGAATAGTAATAATATATATATATATATATATATATATATATATATATGTATGTGTATATATAAAAGTAGAAAAAGAATGGGAAAAGAAGAAGAGGGGGAAATGAATGGGAAAAGGACTAAAAGGAAGATTATATTTATAAATTATTTGTTTACAAATTTTTACAATCTATGCTATGTCTAATCGGTGATACACTATCATCGCTCGTATTTACATAATTTATAAAAAATAATTGTAAACCGAAAAAAAAAAAGTTGTTTTCTTTTTCTCTTTTTCTATTAAAAAAATTGTGGTTATTTTTTTCACACTATCAAAAAGTATGCTTCTTCCTGTCCAAATTTTACGTGTACGAATATTGGGGTTTACGCACAAGAAGTGAATCCGGATAATTTGAGAGGCCATGCTGGTTTTCCAGTGTCAGGCGTGCTCGTCGAAGAATGCAGCTACCTATGACCTCGTCTACCGTAAGTCCTTAACGTTGAACTGTTTCTTATTCTTCTTAATTTGAGAAACACTAACACTGAGAGTAAGATGGGAGTTATTGGCTTTGAAATAAATGGGAATTCTGCTTCTACTTTGCATCATGGTTGGAATTCGTTCTCTTCTTATGCAATTCCTAATCCTATTTCTTCGAGACCCTTCTTTGGTAATGCTTTGAACGCAAGAGTTGCAAGGAAATTTCAGTTTCGGGTCTCTCGTACTGCAAAGCTCAGTTTTGGGCCAGTTATTGTTTCTCTTAATGGTGGTTCTAATGCTGGGCTTCTTCCCAAGGAGTTGGAATTTAAGCCATCCTTCGACGAATATTTGAAGGCTATGGAATCTGCCAAAACTGTTAGGGGCAAGAAGCATGCTGATGATGCTACTATTCAAAAACAGAAGACAAGGGGAAAGGGAGATGAAGGAAAAGTAAATAAAAAAATTAGAAGGGTTGGAGAGAAAATTGATAGAAAAGATGGGTTTGAAGCTGCTAAAGAAGACGTGGCATTAAAAGAATGCTCTTCCATAAGTAATGGTAAGGTAAGAGGAACACCAACTAAAGGATTTAAAAATAAATATGATGAGAAAGGAAGCAAACTTGATGTAAAGGCGAAGCAGAAACATGGAGGGAAGATAAGACAAGATGCGTGGTCGAAACGCCAGAGTCGTGGTTTAGAACCAGAATCTGATGACTGCAGTGTGGTTAAGAGTCAAGGAAAAAGTGGAAGTGGAAGGATTAGCAATAACATAATTAGGTCTAATTCGAATGGTAGCCGTGGGAATGTCGTAGAGAGGGGAGTCACTAGTGATTTATATTCTTCAAAGATGTCAAGAGAAAAGGTTGTTAGTAGCAGACAAAGGGATTACAACGCACAGAGTAAAACCCCTGGTGGAGATAAAATTTTAGCTAGCACAAAAGTTATGGATGGAAGGCTTGGCGGAAGACATACTGAAATTGAGAGTTTGATAAATAGAAATGGACCAGCAAATATCAAATTGAACATGAGCAGTAAGCGTTTCGTTGCTAGGGATTATGATTCTGACAACGTGGATCTGGAACGAGCAGCATTCAAGAATCTAGACGACAACAATGTTATCAGCAAGCAACAATTTTCCCATAAGGCAATGGAGGAGAGAATCCAAAAGCTAGCCAGATTGTATGTAGTTCATTCCTTTTTTCCTGCTTCTGGGATACTTAGAATTGACAAAATAATGTGTTCAGGACAATAATGTATTCATAAACTTTTATTTGCTGAATTTTCATTTTCTATTATGAACAAGTTTTGGTAAAATGCTGCCTCAGGGAACAATTTAAGCAATCTACACAGGATGCTTAATACCTAAAATTGCATGTTTTGATATTTGAGCTCAGATCTATGATTGTTTGGCTCCATAGTCTTTTAATATTTTAGATATAAAGTTATAGCTCTAGGATTTTTCTCACATTGCACTTTGGTGGTTTTGCTTTTAAAGTGTAGTTGAATCTGTGTGCTATCAGAATCATTCTACTTTATATGTGCATTCTAAATTTGGTAATCTGGGGATTTATTATCCTTAACTGTGGTTTGGAAGTGCAGTGCATGATTTGCCAGTTTGCACCTTGTTCTGAGTTTGAGTTTGAGTTTGGTTATCACATAAATTCCGTTATTTATGCATATGAGTGTAAATTACTGTTGGCCCCAAAGAATAATGGGGAACTTAAAGAATGTTAAAGGAGTTGTATTTTCATCCACGAAGAACACCATACTGCTTCTTCATGGGCTCCTCAAAATTTTTGGAGCAAACAGTGATACAAATAAAATATCTCAATTCCCTCAGGAAATTTAAAATTTAGAGGATTAAATTAATGATAAAGCTGGGCTCCTCCTAGAGCCATTTTTTTTCTTTGTCTATAGATTTCTTCCTTCTTAAATTCCTTTAACAGGCATTGGTTGATTGGGATGGTTGAATAGATATAAGGGATATCTTGTGGTAAATGTTGCTTCATGTGGGAAATTAATCTTTTTTCTTTCCTTCCTGCCTTAACTTGATAGTCACATGGCTATTCTCGATGTGTGATTTTAGGATATTTTAATATTTCAATCATGTTAAAGAGTTCCCTTCTTGTCTTCTTGACCATTTTCTCAAACAGATTGAATGGTGCAGATATCAATTTACCTGAATGGGTGTTTTCTAAGATGATAAGAAGTGCAAAGCTCAAATTTAATGACTATTCTATAACGAGGGTTATCATACTCTTGGGAAAACTAGGAAACTGGCGGCGAGTGATACAGGTCATTGAATGGCTTCAAAGGCGTGAGCGCTTCAAGTCCTATAAGCTAAGGTACTTGAATGGCCTTTGGTACTTAGTATGACTAATACTTGAACAGTAAGCAATTAGGAACCTGTATAGATATCTTAGAAAATGATTTTAATAAACCCAGCTCTATAAGTATGCATAATTGTCATGTTTATCTTACATGCCAAATTATAGAAAATTTAAAAAATTAGACGTATGTGATGGTGGACATATCTGTTTTTTTGAAGGTATATTATAATTTGATTTTTAGATATATTTGAGTAGAAAACTACCTTTGATTGATATGAAATTTGGTATGCATGTGCTTTCAATCTAGTGGTAGATTTGAAAAATATTTATCCTGTAAATGTTATTCATTGGTGTAAGATTGATTCTCGTACGCCCTCGCGCACATACACAAATGAACCTTTTGACCCATAAAATTAGCTCTGGCTAGTCAATGGCCTTTTTTTCTTTTTTCCTTCAATTATATGTTAAAGTGCTAATCTTTGATATAGGCATATATATACTGCTGCTCTTGATGCACTTGGAAAGTCGAGGAGACCTGTAGAGGCACTAAATGTCTTTCATGCAATGCAGGTAATGCAAGTAATTGATGCAGTTTGTTCCTTTTTGTGAAAAATGTTAATTAACTTGAGGTGGGAACATGGACAACTTCACTAACACTTGTTCCTTTCCTTCCAGCAACAAATGTCCTCATATCCTGATTTAGTTGCTTATCATAGTATAGCTGTCACTCTTGGACAAGCAGGGCACATGAAGGAACTCTTTGATGTGATTGATATTATGCGATCGCCACCAAAGAAGAAGTTTAAAACAGGGATACTTGAGAAGTGGGACCCAAGGCTGGAACCAGATATTATAGTCTATAATGCAGTAAGTTGTTGATAAAAAGGAACATAGTTTGAAGTGGTTTAATAGATAGTTGTTCTACTCCCTATCTTTGGAGTCCATTCTAGACTTAAATGGATAGCTTTGGGGTCTGACATTTCATCTTTTTCAATGTGCAAGTTAAAGTCCTAGATTATCCTTATGGTTAAATTTATTGATTAGATAGTTTCTGTAGTTGAAGAGAGAATAGATATTCTAATGACATGAAAAAAAAATTATGCTACTAATTCTTTATTGAATTTGAAAATAATATTTTTTATGACAAATTAAAATACTGTCTCTTTGTTCATCAGTTGTTTTTTCCAAATTCGATTTTTTCATTTTATCTTTTTGGTCACTATCAGAAGGTTTCGATGATCCATCATCATCCAGTGAATGTTTTCCCAAATGAATTTTGTTATTCAGAGTTGCATACTAGATCAATTGGGATAAAAGACATACACTTTATGCATGTAAAACCTTTTCTTTTTGTGGAACATTTGTTTATTCTTATCTATACTGTTTTGAGTGGGTTTTCATATACTCCATACCCAGCTTTGGTGAAATGATTATTTTGCTTCTCTTTTAAGTTTTAATGTTCTATTTGAATTTTTTTATTTTTTTTTAAATAACATTCATAATTCCCCAGTTTCAGAATTTGGGCCTGATTTAGTATTTTATATATCAATTGGGCATGCAGGTTCTTAATGCTTGCGTTAAGCGGAAACAGTGGGAAGGGGCCTTTTGGGTTTTACAGGAGTTAAAGAAGCTAGGCAAACAACTTTCTGCCTCAACTTATGGCCTAATTATGGAGGTAGTAATTGTCTCTAGTTTTCTTATGATTTATAGTTACACTTAAATATTTTGCATGAGTCTTGATAAATAAAACTTTTTAATCAATCTGAGAAGTAAAATTGTATTTTTTTCTTTTTAACTCAAGAATATTAAGATTCTATCAGGAACAGAGAGTACAAAGAGGTAGGATAAATATCTCTAAGAATAGCGGATCACAGAGCACAGAAGTGGAAATAATAAGCAACAAAAATAATACATCAACTCAAAAGAGTAACCCACTTGCTCACCAAGTGTGGTGTGGCTAATTAGGAAGGAATGTGACAGATAATTAAAAAATTTCTTCAAGAAAATAGAGTAGCAAAATACAATAAATTTGAGATCTTTGCAAGATTTAGGACGAGGTCTTACTCCTGGTTGTGTCAAATTATATGGCAATTGGGAAACTTGGATTCCATGGAAAAACAAAAATAAAAAAAATAAAATACAAATGCAATTGCGTTATGAATGAATGTTTGCTTGCACATGATTCATGAATTTGTTGATGCTTGGACAGGTGATGTTTTCATGTGGCAAGTACAACCTGGTTCATGATTTTTTCAGAAAACTTCAGAAATCTTCCATTCCCAATTCATTGACATATAGAGGTATTCTCATTTATTTTCTTATCCTTGTGAATCACTAAATTTCATTATGATCTTGACCTTACTGTTATATGCAGTTCTCGTGAATACATTTTGGAAAGAGGAAAAAACTGATGAGGCTGTGTTGGCTGTCCAAGAAATGGAAAGACGTGGAATTGTAGGTTCTGCTTCTCTTTATTATGATCTTGCCCGATGCCTCTGTGCAGCAGGAAGAACTCACGAGGCATTGATGCAGGTACCTTTTTCCTGTTCTCTCTCACAGTTATCTTTTTTATGGGGTGGCAAAGGGGTAGGCACGGTGATGTCCATTTCATTTCCATTGAAAAATATAAGTGCATTGATAGGCAGATGTTGTATTGTTAAAATTGTAACGCTTAAGCTAAGTAACACAACATTTGCCTAAAAGTCGGAGCTTATGAAGTCTCAAAAGAACAAAGAACATCCAAAAGGTAAAAGAACTGTGCATTTAAAAAACAAGCAATTCAAATTGAACTCTTTATCTCTTCCGAAGTTTTCCATTTTTATTGAAAGTATGTTCATTTTCTCAACCCATACACCCCAAAGTCCACATAATGCAAGCAGGAATAACCCAAGCCCAAAACTCTCCTAATCTCCAACGGTACATAGCTCAGTCACGCACTGAGGCATAAGCAGACAGATGGCATCTAAGGCAATCAATCCCAAACAAAACTGAACGAATGCCAACTGACAATGCAATAGTTGTTGTTCAACTGTCTCACCATCCATCTTACCCATACAGCCCCACATAATTATAGTAAACCTACTTGAATTTGGCGGTGAAAATGTTCCATGAAGGAGTTGTCCTAACCCAATCAGAAATAAAAAGAAGAAAACATAGACCTTTTGGAAGACTTGTATCTGGATTTGTTCGATAGAAGTTTAATTTCATGGGATTTTGCATGGATAACGGTTTTATCAGTAGTATCCAACGGGATGGCTCCTAAGTGCAAAGGTGGTCGATGAAGTGAAATCCACCAAATTCGTAAAGCAATGTATGGTAATTTGGATTTGGAGAGAAGCAAGGAAATTATTGGTGTATCTAGATTACACCTGCGGTAGTCCAATACATCAATGAATTCCACTTTTTTTTTTTAATTTCTTTCCAAATCCACTTTGTAGAGCATAGCCTTCGAGATAATAAATGGAAATCATGAGAAAGTTCTATAATAGTGCAGAGAATCCTCAATTTCTACAGTACAATGATTGAAACGGAAGGGTTGCAAACTAGCAATTGCTGAAATACAACATAAGATAAACCGTGCCATACTCCTACTAAACTAGGTAACCTGTAAAGGCATTATATGCATCTATAGAACTTATGTAACTCTTCTACCATGTTTATATCAACTAACATACTCCAAACAGCAAGAAGTGTCTGTGTTATGGCCTCACAGTATACGTGCCTCAGGGAAGTGTGAACAAGATGGTCACTTCAGTTGACATTAGTATTTGGACAAATGTTATTGTCTGTTAAATCTGTGTTAAAATCGTTTTTGTTCAAAGAGAAGCGTCCTGGTGGTTATGAAAATAAGTTAGTTTTAGTGTCCTAGTGTATTTATCCACTATAAAAGGCTTGATACAGAAGGTATTGCTCATCTTTTGACAGATAGACAAGATATGTAAGGTTGCAAATAAACCACTGGTTGTGACCTACACTGGCTTGATGCAAGCAAGTCTAGACTCTGGAAAGATTCAAGACGGAGCATATATTTTTAAGAAAATGAAGGAAATTTGTGCTCCCAATCTGGTTACTTATAACATAATACTGAAAGCTTACCTGGAACACGGGATGTTTCAAGAAGCTAAAGAGCTATTTGAGCAGATGTCAGAAAACACAAATCACCTGAGGGAAAATACTGATTACAAAATGCGGGTGATACCAGATATATATACATTCAACACCATTTTAGATGCATGTGTTGCACAGAAGAGATGGGATTATTTTGACCATGTCTATCAAAGGATGCTGTGCCATGGTTACCACTTCAATCCAAAACGTCATCTTCGAATGGTATTGGAGGCTTCAAGAGCTGGAAAGGTGACCTTCCTCTTCTTCTTCCTTTTTTTTTTACATAGTCATTATTTCTAAATGATCCTTTGTGATCATGTGAAGAGAATCTTACTTTTGGGCTTGTGGTAATTTAAAATATATGCTTAGTTAGCCAGGAGTAAATATGAATAAAAGCTTGCTTGGTAAGCCAATAAAGAGGAATAAAATAAAATGGTCTTTGCATTTTCTTGCTATCCTCTTAAAAAATTTGTCTGATGTTGATTTGAATGCGGTAAACACTAGAGAGGAAGAGTAATTATAAGAATCTAAACAAAACAAATATGTGTTTCATTTAGAGATGTTGTGAATTACTGTAATTTTTTTTAAGACTTCCCTATTCACATACATGTTTAGTTTGTGCTTGTGCCCTTGTATTAGTATGGACATGTCATGCTTGGTTCAAAATCTCTTTCTGCATCCATATGTATGTACTGATAGAAACCTTAAGAATAAAGTTTCTATAGTATTTATGTTTGTCTTGAAATTTTCCCAGTATGAAATCCTAGTTATAGCTTTCTCAATTTTTTATACAAGAATGAGAGATGTTAACTTTATAAGGAAATCTGAGAGAGATCATTTCATTAACTTATGAAACCTTGCTTGGTTTACAGGAAGGGCCTTTGGAGATAACATGGAAGCACTTAACGGATACAGATCGTATTCTACCAACTCCTCTGATCATGGAGAGGTTTTTTGTGAAGCTTGAGAAAGATGACTATGTTGCTTCTCTCACATGTATCACCAATAATCCCCAAAAAGACTTGCTGACATTTTCCAAGTCGTCGTGGTTGAATCTATTCAAAGAAAATTCTCAACGGTTTAAGAAGGATACACTTGTTAGACTAATGAATGATGCTAGCAATATAGTTTCCAATAGTAGCTTGCCCAATCCAATACTCGTGTATTTAATCCAATCATGCAAAGAATTTCTTTTAGCCACTGACCTTATTGCAGCTGACATAGATTCAGTGAAAAATGTATCTGCAGTAGAAAGTAAACAGGTCGTTGCCCACTCTAGATGAACATTTCTATCCAAAGCTTTGTAATATATACTCAACCAAAATCTAATGAAAGCCTTTCTATTCAATGCATCTCATGCAAGTTTACGGAGGAAATACTCACCCAAATAATAATATGTTCTTGTTATCCGTTGTCCATTATATAACCTAAAAATTCGTCCACTACTTTTTTTAATTCTTATTCTGCTCTTTTTTTTTTAATCTCTGATATTTAATAATCTATATACTCTATTTAAAAATTACCCAATCTATTGTTTTATACTCCCTCGTTTCTCTATTTTTCTTCATCCTTAATTTTACCGATTTAAAGCTAAGTATTATCTATTATAAACTTTAATGCTGCAACCATGTAATTACCCAAAAAAGAAAGAAAGCTGACATTTACATATGCCTATTGCATCCAAGCAAAACTAAAAATGTGTAGATTTTTTGTGCCAATAAAATGGCGTATATTTATTTGAAAAGCAGCTTATTCTTTTGAGGGTTCGCTTTTTCTAAGATGACTTGAGCCTAAAACGACGTCGTTTTGAGGTGAAAATCAATGTATTTTTGTTATTATAATTTATTTTAGAGTTATAATAGTCTTTTTTATTTTAATTTTTTAATCCAAAACGACGTCGTTTTGAGAGCAAATGTAGATAATTTAATCACATTAAAGCCCTATATTTTCAGAATGATACGCTTAATTCCATTTTAATCCTTTAAAAAAAAGGTTTTATTAATCTCATGCAATAGGAGAGAACTCTCTCATGCAATAGAGATAATCATGTGTGGGATCCACCCACTATAAAAAAAGAATAAAAAAGTAATACGGAAATCGATGTATGTGTAGGAGAGAAAAATTCTCTTTCTACAACACAAGAGTATATTTTCCCTTAAAAAAAAGTTAAAATTGAGTTCTACAGAAAACATTTTTTTTTTTTTTAAATAGCTGGTAAAAAGAGAAGGTTGAGATTGTGGATTATTATTTTCCGTAATTGCCCTTGTAATTTCCCGCCATAAGGTAACCCAATCTCATTTTGTTGGCCCATTGCCCCCACACTCTGTGTGTCCGTAGCAGTTTTCACATCTTCATCGAATGGCTCCTTCTTCTCCGAGTGTTACTGATTCGCAAGCTCCGTCAACAACACTCGAAGCCGTAGAGAACGATCTTCAGGTTCTCTCGCTCTTTCTCTCGTTTCCTATTTCATTTCCTCACATACTCTCTCTGATATTGTAGATACCTAATGTCTGATTTAACACTTTTTTTTTTGGTTTGTTTGTTTTGCTTCACTAATTTCGAATATTGCTTCGCTATATATGGCCTGTGATTTGGTTCTGATAAGTTCATTAACTTCCAGTTCTCAATGTTGCTTAATATCCTTAGGGATCTTGTACACGAACCGCATGCGCTTTTGCCTTTTATCTTATCTCATTAATCTTGGTTTTAATTGCTCCGGCTAGTTATAGTTGCTACTGATGTTACATCTAATGAAAAATAACGTGGCTGTGCGCGTGTCTTGTGTTTTCGCCCCATTCCGAAGCTAACGAGGCTATTTTTATTTATTTTTTAATATTTGTTTGGCATTTGAAGTCGAAATTGTTGTTTTAATCGGAAATATATATCAGTAATTTTGACTAATTTCAAACGCATGAGGAATGTAGAGTGAAATTATAATAATTGTTTCATTTGTTTGATAATAATTCATTTCTGCATCATAACAAGTAAATAATATGAAGTCTAGCCTCTATAACAACATTGCCATGGACCATTGTCTTCAATCCGTAGCAGTAGTGCTAGTTAATAGGCTTCATTTTTAATTTTCATAATGCTTATTGATTAATATTCTTACAAGGAGAAGGCAGAAAAGAACAAGTGTCATGTGTAGAAGTCGGTTTTAGTATTTGTTTGATTTTACTTCCAAGCTACTGATTTAATCCTCATTTGGTTTCCTTTCGATAGCCGTTCTTTGTTCTTCATAAATCTTCATCCCAAAGAAAAGACAGAACACCAACAAGACGGGGAAAATTGCGCAAGAGAAATGAGCCATCTTCATCATCACCACAAGGTGCAAAGAAACTGGAAGGAAGTATGACTGAAGAATCTGATTGCTTGCAAATTGAAACTTTCGACATTGTCTGGACAAAAATTGAGTCTACCATTAAGGTTCTCTATTTATCTTGTCCCAAGTCTTGTAACTTACTACTATTGGTTTTGCTGTATGCTTATGTAGCATTAGAATTTATTTTAATTCTTTACCCAAGAATGATTCAATAAGAAAATTATTAAAGATTCTTCTTTCTATTGCAGGACGTGTTGAGAGATCTCAATGCTAGTGTATTTAATGATATACAACAATGGGTTCTAGAGTGCTTCAATGCTACTAGATTGCTTGGAGAACGTAATATTGCTGAAGCAACTCGGTCTTTCCCTATTCTAAAAAATATTACCCCAGGGCAGCTGTTTACTGCATTAGTTATTATCAGTAAGCGTCTGCATTCACATTTTTGGTAAATCTGCTGAATGCTTTGATTCTTGGAAACTGGGTATAATTCAGATATCCATCAATTCTATAAGCATGCAGCTTAAGTGAGTTGCTTTTGGTCATCAATACTCTAGTTAAGGAGTGAAAGCAACATTTATATTTCTAAAGAAAATTCTGAGATTTAATTATGATTGGCAGGAAACATAGAGTTTGTAGATGATATATTGACATTTGAAGAGCTTGGCCATTTCCTGAAATCCCATGGATGCCATGTGGCTATGCTTTCATCGCTGGAATTTTCGTTAAAAAATGGGATTGCTGGTTGCTTGAAAGCTTTACTGCGGGAGTTTCTAGGGGGTACTATAGATGTGGGTGCTTCTCTGTACTTATTTATCTATATTTAAATTACTTCTGTCTAGTTCTACTGTCTTCTTTACTCTTTCCTTTTCTTAATTTTGATGTTGAGCAGTCAGCTGATATATCAATCTTAGCATCATGGTATAGAGAACAAGACAACTACAACAAACCACTAGTGCTGATCATTAATGACTTGGAAAGATGTTGTGGATCAGTCTTAACTGATTTCATTCTGATGGTGAGGTATGTTTCAGCATCTTCTGTAAGTATGTTTGCATGCATATTTGTAACTGGGTTTGCATTTGTGCATCTTGAATACTTTATTTGGTTATTCTATTGCTTAGGTTAATTATGGTTGAGGCTTTACCGTGTACATACAGCAACTAAACCAAAGCCTTTTCCTACTAGGTGAGGTCGGCTAGGTGAATCAAACATGCCATTGTGTTCTGTCCAAAACCATTGAGGCCTCACCATGTATATTTGTCTTGTACATTTTTGCTGACATTAGGAGATTGTAATTATTTGCTCATTTATTTTAATGTATAATGGTGGGTTTACTTAGGTGATGTGAACTGGATTTCATCTTCTTCCACTTTTTCTATCAGTGAATGGGTTATCAAGGTCCCAATCATCTTAATATTTGGAGTTGCAACGTCAGTGGATACCCCTAGAAACATTCTGCCATCACATGCTCTTGAGCGATTGTGCCCGTCTAAGTTTATGCTTGGAACCCCAGCTGAGAGAATGGATGCAATTGTTGAGGCTGTTCTTGTGAAAAATTGCACCACATTTAATATTGGTCATAAAGTGGCACTCTTCCTGAGAAACTACTTCGTCAACCAGGATGGGACAGTAACATCTTTTATACGAGCTTTGAAGGTTGATAATGCAATTTTTGGTTTACTGACTGTTATTTGTATCTTTATTTTATGAATTACAAACACATTAATGGGGGACATGACTTAGTCTTTTACATGTCATAATTTCTGACTATATCTTTCAGGTAGCATGCTTTTTACATTTCTCTAAGGAACCTCTGAGTCTCATACCTGGGCGAATACTCACAGAGGACAAAAAGGTCTGTCTAAAACTCTTCTAATATTTGAATTATCTTTCCTTTGTTTGCTCTTTCAAATCTGTTTTACTTCATAGTTATATAGCTTTGGGGTGTAGTGTTGTGATTACGTACTTTAGGATCATTTAGCCCAAGTTGCTCTGGTTTTTTATTTTTTAGTTGGTTTAGTGTTTTATCCAGTTCTTTTATGCTCTTATAACTAAAATTCAGACATTTCAACATATTGACGCGGGTACTTCATCCAAGCTTCAAATTGCTGGGTATTCTAGTTAAGGAGCATATTAACAATATAAACGTCACTATCACTCCAATGATTAATTGTACTGTCTATACATGCAATTTTCTTCTGAAAACTCTATTTCAACAATTTTGATTGGAGTGTTTACTTCCTTCGACTTCAACCAATGCCAATGTGTGTGTAAAATAATGATGTCACATTTTGCAAGTTCGTGGAGTTAAATTAAATTTTAATAGCAATATGGTCCATGGAGAATTATTTCCATTATGTTTTTATATATGTTATTGATCAGAAACTTACCTATAACTTTTCTTGTTCAATCTTTTTAAAAAATTCTTATCATCGTATTCCTTTTTTTTTATTATTTTAATGTTTGGTCGTATATGGATTCTCAGGAGGGAAAATCTGCATTATCACCTGAGACTATGTTGAAATACATGGATGAACTTCCATCGTATGCAAGGTATTACAGGTTACAAATTTTCTTGTTCTAATTTAGATTTGCTTAATGGAATGACAATGAGTTCACCCCTTGGTTAAAATTAATCTAGGAATCAAATCGTTGATCAGACTAGAAAGAGCATGGCTCAGGGTTTGTCAGAATTGGTGACAGTGCAGAAGCTATGGAGCACTGCAGTTCTCGTAAGATTTAGGAATTGTTTTTAAATCCTTGTGCACTCATCATCCATTCTTATTGATCAAATTGCATTGCCTTTGATGCTTCTTTTGATCATCTTTTGTATTACAAATGATCAATTGATGATAGCAGATATCTAAACAATCCAATAAGTAGCTTTTCAGTGCATTATGTAATTACTCCTGAAAATTTCCAAAATGGGGTAGGAGTGGAAGTTTTAATATGGGCATTAAATTGACCAAGGAATTCGCATAGTCAACTATATTACAAACATAGGAATGAATCTCACTTTCAGAGTCGTGTATGACATTTGAACACCTAAATTGATTTAAGAAAACTACAAATGGGCACATGCCACCAGATGAAGAGGGTCACACTCTGTCAGTTTGTTGATGTTATAGACCCAAATTAAGTAGGAAACTCATCCCCCGCACACTTCAATGGGTTAAGTAGGAAATTCAAACCACGATGGCCTAATATTCATTATAATCCAAAACCTTAAGGAATTAAGTTTATGTATCTTTTATCTTATATTGTCTTTATTTAATCCATTCTTAAGGAATGAGACTTAATTACTCATCATTCATACTTAAATTTCTAATAGAACCAAATAAGCACTTTATTGTAGTCCTGCTCAGCTCGAATCCGATTAGTTGGGTAATCAATAAACCGGTTGAGAAATAAAAAGAAACACTTCATTATTCTGATTTTTCCTTTATTTTCAGTGCCTATATGAAGCTGGAAAATATAGCAGAGTACGACTGCTGGATTTGTTTTGTGAAGTGCTCAATCCAGATTTGTACCTGTCAAGGGGTTCTGATTGTCATGTGGGGAATGGAAAAGATCATGGGTTATCCTCGACAAATGATCCGTGTCAACAATATTCCATCATGCAAAGCGGTGGTTTTATTTCCCACATAGTACGCAAATTGAGGTAGCTAGGAATATGATTCTTGCCTTATTTTATTTAGCAAGAAAAGCTTGTCGATGCAGAACAAAATTGGCTCTTAAAAGCATATTTAAGCAGAAAAGGAGGGATAATAGAAAGAGAAGCCATAAAATCTGTAATTTCTATTTGTCATAAAAGTTGACATTTAATGCATACAGCTACTTGTTATATTGGCAGTCCTAAATTACTTTAATACTACAAGAGTATTCCCGTGCCTGAATCTAATAGGAAAATAAATCGAAAAATATAACTCCCTGAAAGAATTGAAGTAGGATACAAAATTTTGTGACAAACCAAAAATTTCGATAACATTACATAAACCCAATTGATAATCATTGAAATTAAATTGTAATATTCCTTCCTTTTTTATTTGTCTATCCAAACACTTTTCACTGAACTTTACCTTCAATTTGTTAACCATTTTTGTTATGGGAGTTTTCATACTTACAGCTAATTTGTTGATTTAGCCCCTTCATACAGACCTTTATTTTTATTTACTTAAAATATCTATAGACTTCTGACTGGACTTTATACAGGGATCTCCCTACAGGAATGCTATATCAGTTGATTGAGAATTGGGAAAAACTTACTGCAGATATTTCTGAGGTATGTTTACACTTGAAATATGCTTGCTCGGAATGTTAATTTTTCTGAGTTAATTTTTTTTTTCTTCTAGTTGAGACCACGGTTTGGAGCAATTTGGATCTAATTATTGAATATGGGCAATCAGCATCTTAGATGATGAAGTTACTTATGCTGTCTTTTCAATGGCTGCCAACACAAGATGGTCCGCAATCTTATTGTGCCCATTGAATTTGGCATGCTGCAAGTTGATGGAGCTGAATTCCTATTAACCAAAGGATAGAGGAGATTAGCGAAGATATGAAATTACAGAAAGCAGAAACAGAAAATTGAAAATAAGACTCCAGAGGTCTGCCAACTCAGTACCTCTATCCCCTTCCAAACCCATTTACTTGATTCATCCCTACGTTTCCTTCCCTGGTATATTCTCATTTTTCCCTAACTGAATTCCCACTTCCTACTATTCCTTGCCAACTCAGCATTCAGTTAACAATCTGAATATTCCCTCTGCTTCCTATTTTGTCCTTCTCAGCCTTGTGTGTTTTCCTTCTACTTCCTATCCCTTTTGTTGTAGCATATGCCTCAGTGAAGGGGTCAATCACAAGTGAATGGGTGATGCTAGGCCGATGAGCATGGTTACTCATTGGAAACATATCTCTTAAACGTGTGCTTCCTTTATCCCATTTTATTGACCTTGTGGATCTGATATTTAGATTATCGGAGGATTTGTCAGCAGTAAGCAATTGGAATTGGGATCACTTATGATTTTGCTTGACTTATAAAGTATAAACCGACCACCCAATACATTTTTCTGATAAAGGAAGAAACATTATCAATAAAAGTAAAATATCTAAATTACATCTACTAAAAAATAAAAAATCTAAATTACAGGAACCTTTGAAACAGCCATTAGTTCTTGGTTGACCACCATACCAAGAAGCCGAGCAGTGTGAGAGTGCTTTTTAAATTCCAGCCTTTAAGGCTTATAACGCACATATCAAGAGAAAGTGTTTTTCATGGTGTCCAAATCTTCAAAAAATCATACGTAGAAATCCAGCTAAGTTCCATAAAAAGACTTAATGTAATGATGTAAGAAGATATTGTGTTTTGCATGGTGTCCAATTCTGTTTTATTCATTTTGCCAATTCCTTATTGCAGTCATAGAGAGCAAATGCATAAACCTTGTACAACTTGATTTGTGGTCTTAGCTAATAATCACTGAATAATGATTTCTTGCAGATTCACGAGAAATTGAAAATGTTGCAATCTTCAGTAAGATGTGAAGATGGAAAGAGTCCACGCAAGAGTTCCAAGGACATTTCCAAGTAACGTTCTAATTCTTTTTTGTTCCTTATTTCCTTGTAGGTCATAGTTTAATTGTCGAGATTGTTTACGGATTATGGGGGACGGGAACTTTCTGCTTTGTTAAGGGTGAAAATAAGTCATGCAAAAAGAGTGATTCCTTGGCCTAGGAGACGGCTTCTTCACTAATGATGTTTTGGTACCGCTACCTGACAAGCCGCTAAATTTACTAGAATTAGTCAGTATGCTATTCCTCCTCTTCTCTTCTGTATCCATTCCCGCATGCCGGTTCTTCTCCTCATGGTGCTCTGCACAAGGATTTAAGCGGCAAAATTTACAAGTGCAAATACAAAAGGACACCAACGACGACGGTAACAACAATGGCAGGATTTCCATTGACACCAACGAAGCTCTTCTTCCGCCAGCGAAGAGATCAGCACTGACCCTCACTCTGTTCTCTCAACCAACGCTGGAAAATCCCTTTTACATAATCAAAGTGCATATATGATTTTTGTAGTCCCGAAAGAAAAAGGGTAAAGGTCCCTGACAAAAAACACGGTCTCCACTTTCGTCCTTTACAAAAAAAAATTAACTTTTGGTCTCTCTACAATTCCAGTTCTTTGAAAATATGGTTTCTCATAAATTCAATGAAGACTTCAATTTAGTCCCTAAAAAGGACTAATATGGGTATTTTTTTTATAAGGGATGAAAGTGGGGACATCATCATTTTTTGTTAGGAACCCAAAAGGAACTTTACTCGAACTTCAATTTTCTTAATAATCGGCAACAATATGCTTCTTTTCTTTTCAAGTGGATCGTTAGTTATTCCAAACAAATTTGCTGTCTGCTGTTCTTCACGGCCAGGTACCTGCTCGAGGTGTGAAATTTGGGTTTTTCATTTAGCTATTTGGGGAATAAGGGGCAGGCGGCCAGATGGTGGAATTCAGGAATTTGGGTTCATATGGGCGTGGTAGAATTGGGCTGAAGGGAAGCGCAGAATTTGGTAGTTATGTGGGATTTTAGGCTAGCCTTCCTGATTCGGACCAGTCAGTTTCGGGCTAGCGTATGGGGCCGGCAGGCCTATGGTTTTCAAATTATTTCTGAACTGTGTTCTTTTGGTCTTAACTTGACAATTAGTTGAATTGTAATATAGTATAAGGAGAAATGGATATATAATTAACGTGGGAGAAAAAAACCAAACATCCTGATAATATGGTAAATATTTTCTTGTTTTGCGAATGAGTTTTTACTGAAACACGTAATGCTATGAACTTGGAATGAGGTACTCTTCTCTCTTCCTAAACCTTTTACACCCAAAAAAAACTAATTTTTTGTTTCAATTTCGTCCTGAAACTTAGTTGGCGTCAATTTTCCCTTCAGATAATCTTTAACATGGGTGCCATTTTTTCCAGTGTAAATCACGGAAACCTAAACTCTCCTATTTCTCCGTATTTGTCATGTACCATCTAGTTTCTACCAAAATTGTTCAGTAATCTCAGTACCAACCATTACTTATGCCCTACTTCAATTTAGGCTAACTATTTATATTTTCAGGAGATTTGCGTCCAGGGTCTCAGTAAACATTGAGAAGGACTCGAGAATGTTAAACTCGCAAGCTCTCACATTTATAGATTGTTTAGTTAGGTAAGGTTTTGTGTTGTAACTGTGTTTCATTTCATGTTTATGCTGATTGATGGGGGAAGAGTTGATATGAGCAGTGTTTTATATTGAATCTATATTATTTCCAAGTACTAGGCTTATCTTAACAATGCAAAAGATCAGGAAAGGAAGGCATAGGTTGCTTCACAAGGGGTTTGAATTTTGATCTTGAATAACTGAAAAAAAGTTGGCTCAATTTGTTGGTTTGCCTACACTGCATTTTTCCACATTCCTCTTCGTTGTTTTTCCTCAAGACATTTAATTAAAACAGGACAATATTTTGATCAAATTCTTATTTAGGTCTGAAATCTGTTGATGCGTGCTCATCTTTCCCAAAGTTCATCTTAATATTTAATTAAGTTTTGAAGCTGATATTTCTAACTCAACTTGGAGATATTTGCAATCACCAAGCCTTTAGCAATAGTATTAGCTTTTTATATAATCAAGAATCAAATACAACTAGATAACTTGTAGTAGATTGTATTTAACATCAATTGTGTTGTTGCACTTTAAGCACCAGTAGTGCTGATTTCATACACCAATATCTCATTTTTATCAGATATTTTTATCTTTTTTATGTACTCTGACAAAATACAAACCAATCTTCAATTGATATGAACTTCAATGATATGATTTATATGACAAAGAATGTTAATCCAGGTGTGCTATAATGCATCTCCCATTCTTGTGTTGCGTTATTTGTTATGCATTTGCGATTTTGTCATAATGTAATACAAAGAATCGACTTTATAGCACACACGTGAAATGACTGTTTTATTTTTGTTAACATCTTTTATAGTGGAAGTATGAAGAGCTTGACTTATTAACTGCCTTCGCTGTATTGCTTTGCGCATAAGTAAAATAGTATTTAACCTGCCATTTCCTTATTGCTGGTTATTAAGTATTGCTGTCGTTCATTCTTTTTTCATGGAACAGAGATTATTTGAGGCCCATTGAAGGCATGCCTTTTCATGAAATTTTCTGCTTCAAGAATGTTGAGAAGCTTCAATTGGTAAGAAATCCAGAGTATTTTTTCCACTGTGTCGACCTTCCACTTTACTCAGCGAAATTCAGTTGCAATTTATTTTGCAGCCTCATCACTTTTAGATACTACCAGATCATACACAAAACTAACATATGAAATGGCTACAGTTCATTACATCCTTTCTCTTAAATTCTTGTATCCTGACTTCCAATTCATAGATCCTACTTATGCTTACAACTAGGACTAGGGTATAAATCCTTAATCTGTTTGTTCAAAGATGCAACTTGGTATCATTTGCTGATGACCTGGATAAAATGAAAAAATAAATCTTGTAACCATAAAAACCTGAACAGACGAATTTGCTTCATATAATATTGTTGATAACTCTGCCCTTTTGTGGGAAACAGGATTACTGTATATGATATTTTCAGATATATAAGTAACTGAGAATATTTAATTTATTCTCTAAAGAATTAGATAACCAAAGCATTTGACTGTTTCCATTCTTATGAGCTGCCCTTTGTTGAGATTCCTTAGCTTAACTTAAGCACTGACTAGATTTCATTTTTCTCTCATGGTTGATTTCATCATGAATGAGATGGAGATCTAGGCTCTGTTTGATTGTTGTTTTTAAAAACAGTTTTTTAGTTTTTAGAACAAAAAAATTCGTTTGGTAAAGCTTGTTTTGTAAAAAATGTTTTGAAAACTATAACTTTTTTTGTTTTTAGAATCAAATTTAGAAAACATGTCTGAGTTGTTTTTGTTTTCTGTTTTGGTTTATAACTTTCAAAAATAAATAAATATAGAAAACAATTGTTTCCATAACTATTTTACAAAACAATTTTAAGAACAAAAAAACCAGAACACAATCAAACAGGCCCCTAATATTTCTGTCTGTTTTCTCTTTTTGAAAATGGACATTTTGAGTAAAGATCTTTATTTATATAAACTGCAAATAATGAGATTCTATTCTCGCATAAATTTGAAGTTCTTTAGAACCTTTTTTGTTCTTCTGCAGGTTTCATTAACTTTTTGCTTGTCGTAGGTTTTGATTGGAGATCCAAGAAGAAGGATTCAACTTGATCTGTTGGAGCTCCATGAGATTTTAGGGTGCCATTGCTGTCACACGAGTGGCAATGCCCTATTGCCATCCAAACATGATACCTCAATTATGTAAGTATATCTAGTTAAGTGCTTGCATACGGCATCCCAATTCTTGCAACTTGTTGATAATGTTCTCTCTTTTTTTCCAATCAATCTTATTCCTTCTTACTCATATACTATTGACTTCTACTAAGCCTTGCTTACTACTTGGTGGTTGACATTTATAGTTAACATGTTTCGGCTTGTATATACGCTTAAACCTTGGATACAAATAGTACATCGAACACATTGGAGCTCTGAAATTTTTCTTTCATTTAGCTTTGAAGTTTCTACATCAATGTTTTGAGTTGATGCTAATTGTTTTTTACAGGTATTCCCTGGCTCAAGAGCATGGAGATCTTATCAATGTTCATGACTGGTACCAGTCTTTTAGAGCAATTGCTTTTCAACATACGAATAAACGGAAACAAAAATCGAAGCAGTCCCCCCTACCAAAGAAGAGAAAAGATACAAATGAATCTGGAGACCAAAATGAAGCATCAATTCAGTATCCTTTATATTTTCCATTTCGCAGAGTATCTTTAATAGCCTGAGGTATAATACTTCAAATGCATTGCTAGATGTCCCAAATTAGCAGTTCTAAATTCATTATGTCACCGATCTTGCAGTCCCATTTATTATTGCATGCGTGCATTTTAACTTGGGAAGAAATAATGGAACATTTTCAAAACTATATGACAAGGGCCTATTTGAAATTAAGCTTAAATCTTGGGTTTCACTCAACCTTGATAACTTGACTTTTGTCTTTTATGGATACATGGTCCATACTTCTCATTTCAGGAAAAGTCCAATTTACTTCCTCCAACTTAGGGTCGCGTGTGTGTAACGCTATCCTTAAACTTTTTAAAGATTGCATTTTAGTCCTTCTGTATAATTTTCCGTATGAAAATTGTCATGCTCAAACTATGACCATTTTTTCTTGCAAATTTCTTGATGGAAAAAATTCAATTTATTATTTCAAACTTGGGTTCAAGTGCAGTTCGGACTTGAAACTCAATAAATGCAACAATTTTTGTTTTTGTTTGACGAAAACTAGAAGGAAGGACTGAGATGCATACTTTAAAAAATTTAGGGATCGATTTGCACGTTTTTAAAGGACCAAAGTGCACACGACTCAAAGTTTTAGGGGGTAAATTGGATTTATTCCTATTATTTATTATATTACAGTCCTCTATATCTGCCTTTCTCTTTTTTAAATAGATCCAGAAATGTTCCTATATTGAAGAGTCGTGCTATAGAATCTTGAATGGGAATATATTTATCCATAACCGATTTCTACCATGAAAATTCTTAAATTGTCGCAACTTTGGTATTTGCCGATAGTAGTTCCGATAAGAGTCTTCTTGATCTTTAAATGATTTTAGCTTGTAGGCGATCTATGGTATGCCTATTATATTTTGTATTTGCATGTTCCCCGTTTCCACATTCGTAATTGTAGTGAATGCAAAGCTGTTTATTGATCTCGGTCACAATCCTTAATCTTGGTTTGCCATAGAGCTCGCTTTTGCAGGGCAGTTACAGAGCTGCAGATAGCTGGGCTAGTTAAAATGCCAAGCAAGAGACGCCCAAATTTTGTACAAAGAGTAGCATTTGGACTTTGAATGCAGGGTTCACTGGTTTGCTGTCATCTTGTGATTTCCTAATTTTCTTATTAAAGTGTAATATAATTTTATTTTCTTAGATTATCTAATTATTCATGGTCTAATAGCCAATTTAATTGATCCACCTAACCCGAAAAATTAATGAAAGGTAAAATCGTAAGAGAGAATTATTATAGGGAATATTTTTTCACGAGTCTTGTGCATATTTTTGTATTTCATGGAAAAAGCTCCTTCACATACAGCAAATCTATATTCATCATTCATTTTTGTTTTTGTTCTTGTTTTGGTTTTTTTCTTTTTATTCCTCTCAATCAATGGTTTTCTCGGAGCCTGTTAAACTTATGTACGAAATGTTGTGTATCATTTTTGGAATCGTGTTCACTTAATACTCTCTTATTACATTACCTAAAATTACAATCTTTATTCACCAAAAAAAAAATTTACAATCTTTGTTTTAGCAGTTATAAATTTATAAAACCCACAAATTCATAAGTGATGCAGATTTCTATTACCTGGTCTGTAAATTTTACTACTAATTTTTTGTAACTTTAAGAAGGATAATACAGTATTTCTCCCTTTTCTCTCAGAGGAGTATCAAAGAAAATTTAACTATTAAAATAATTAATTTAAACTCAGTCAATAATGAAGTGGTCGTATAAATATTTTGCAACCGTACAACTTAAGCTAACTGTTAATTCTTCTTCTGCCTCAGATGCAGCTGCCTCTACGGTTACTATTCGATTCTTCTAGTGTATTTGTAGTGTTCATGATATGCATATCTCTTTTCCAGTAATTGGCAATATCTCTTAGGGTGTGTTTGGTACAAGAGGAATTTTTTGGTGACCGGGAATCATGATTAATGGGAATTCAGTAGAAATTGAGTTTACTTGGAATCTTACGAAAGAGGTGTTTGGTTCGCCAAAATATTACCGGAAATATTGGGTAAAAATTACTGATTCCATATTTGGTTTAGAACGAAATATGACTTGGAATATGAGGTTATTTTACAAAAATAACCCCAAACTATTTTTACTTTTGTAATTGATAGATTGGGTCTAGATTTTTATGTGTATTGGGATATTTTTGTCTCAAAATTTATTGTTGTGCTTTTCCTTTACTTGGTATTCTGATTGGTATTCCGAATTACCATATTATTTTTGGTAATCTGAATAGTGACTTTTCTTTATAAATCAAATTACCGGTAATCCTTGGATATCCGAGAATCGTAATTTATTCCTTCTACCAAACGTGGTAATTACATTTACCAGATTACCGGTAATCCTCTTCAAAAACTTGAAACAAACACCCCTGAGAAAATCATAAGCTGGAATTATAAGGTTTAACATCTACAATAGATTGACAGAATTTCCGCAAGACTTTATTACTTACAGAAACTGAAGATCGTTGTCTAAAATACGACACCCTCAACTTTATTGTTCAAGTTATGCATATCTCTTTACTGTTTAGTGAATTTTTGTTTCTTTTTCAATTTTATTACTCTGATAATTTTCATTTTATATTCCTAAAAATGTGAACTAAAAAATGGATAACATGTAATTAACATACTAGTAAATCTTATTTTCATTTGGCCAGATTACACTACCGAGTATAAGTATTAATGTATTCTATTAAAATAAAAATTTGTGTATGATCATGAAACATCAAACTTCTTGTTATTTTAATTAGTTTTGCTTGTGCTGTGTGCTAAAAAGTCATAATCAGTTGTTTCTAGAGAAACTAAATAGTTGCTGGTACGCTTGGTTAACTTGAAGGGGTAAATATAGTTACAGTTTTTGTGCATGAATCATTCACAGAAGTGTAATTAACCATCAAACAAATTTAATTATTTTACCATTTGGGTTTAAGTACATGTTGTGGTATAGGGTAGTGAATTAATCATTTGTTAAGCATATTTCTCTCTCTCTCTCTCTCTCTCTCTCTCTTATCTATATATAATTGATGGATTTAAGAGTCTGATAAGAAATATGTAATTAGGTGGTTATATTTTATTTGATAAGTAGTTAAATACGCATCTTTGAGCGGTTTGACTTAAATCGTTGCATGACACTTCTTACCATAGAATTTCCTTTTCATAATTAAAGTATGACATGAAAAATTCTTGTGTAAAACTTGTTTATGTAAGTTTTTTATCATCACAATATTTTTGTAGATATTGTTGTAAGGCTAATCTTTCAATATATTCGCAACCAAAAACCCTTCTAAGTTAAGAAAACTAAACTAATAACCAAATGATATAACATATTGACTATGAAATAATTGTATAAACAAAAATTTGTGTAATTATTTCATATAAAATCATTATGTGCCATAAAACTTTAGAATAAAGTCTACACATCCCACACCAAAAAAAAAAAAGTCTACACATCAATTTCACATAATATATAACCATCAAGCCACAAAAGACTGGGATTTAGATGTTTCATTTCATTGATGTTCACTGTTGATTCCTTTTGTTAGGTGTTAATCTTGATATTTAAAAAACTATTTATAACTAATTAACAGACTGACGGGCTATAGGTAAGCGGTCAAGCTTCCGTCTTATCATCATTTGAGACAAAACGATAAGGTGCCTTCTCACTCACAATTGTTTGCAGTCGGTGAAATTGGAACTAGTAGTACTATCTTATAATGAAGTTAACAAGATAAAGGAATTAGCAGAGATCTTGTATTAAAACAGTGCAAAGAGCTGCTTATTTCATTTGGGGAAAAAAACTACAACCTGGATTCCGTTGTTATTCTGCCATCAGTTGATCTTGGGACGCAAGTAAAACTTTGGGTCCCTGAGAAACCTTGAAACCATCTCTGCCTTGTCAGTAGAAAGATCAGTGTTCTCCAGAATTTGCTCTTTTGATACCTTGGCAATTGCTTGGACAGAACCAATAGCTTGACTAAGCTGAATTGAGCGATCAGAATAACAAAATAACTCAAGCTATATGCATAGATACCATGGTTTCACGTGACAAAATTATTATTATGTTGTTTACTATCCTCAATAACTAGGAAGTGTAGCACAAGCCCAAGATATAGCATCAAAACTTTGTCACGAGTGCAATTGTTAGTAAATATACAAAAGGAATGCACAAACTATGTGTGGCTGTTAAACCTTCCTAAGTGAGTTTAAATATCTAAAAAATCGAGAATTTTGAGCTTTAGCAACATTGGATGGAGGCATGTAAAAGTAGGAAAACTGAATTGAACAGTTGCCTCATAGTAGAGTGATTTACCGCATTTGCGTCGTGATTGTCGATGCCTGGGATGGATGTAACCACTTTAAGGTAAAAGTTCATTCCTTGCACCAACTGCTTCCTCTTCACAACCATAACAAAGTTCAAACATCGACATGTTTGGTTGCATTTCTTAAGGAACTGCTAGCAGCTACATTGTATGAATGTAAAATTTATCAACTGACCTCAGCTTTCAATTTTTCTCCGATTCTCTCCTCCTTGTATACTGCAATTAATTGGAGAATAAGATAAATAAATTGGAACAATACATGAAAGTTAGTTTCAAGTTTCGGGTTCTACCTCCAGAAGAATGAGCTATTTTTACCATCTTTTCAAACCCCATCTCTAAGTCCTGAACTGGCACAAATGTCGGCTTGCCAATCACCATCCCAAATCTTCACGTATCCATAACCATGATCCTTGTTCTTTCATTATTCAAGTCATACATAGCAAAATATAATCAATTAGAACAGAAGTAACAGAACTCACTTGAAGTACGACTGAATAAATGAATCCATTTGCTCTTTTGCTGGGAGAGTGATGACAACATAAAAACGTGCAAATTGCGTCTTCAGTTTCTGAACTCTGCATAAGAAAATTTGAATCAGACATAAAACTCAAAACTCTTTCCTCAGTAGAACTACTCAAACACAGCCCAAGGCAATGACTCCAAAAAGCAGCATAATTACCTGTCGAAGATTGGAGAGACATTGTTGCAGTCCCAGTTTGTCACGAAAATGAAAGCTACAGACAAACCCCCACAGTTGAAAATAAAGTCCTACAAGGAAACTCCTCAAGTTTCAGTGGTGAACCAGTACATAAAACAAGGGGGGCGGGGGAACAGCCAAAAAAAGGAGACAAAAACTGCCAATTACTGGGGCGATTGGGACAATATTAAGGCGAAAACAATTTGCACAGAGGAAAGTGGTGATAAAATTGATGATGGATGGATGTTGATCCCCTTTCCATGCATTTCTCATCAAACATACTCCATTTGTACCTACAAATAAAACGTAATAATGGCCTCATTTTAAACAAGAAGAGAATCAATGTCTGATGCATTTTATAGTGATTAAAAATTTAAAACTGCAACAAAGACTCTATATCAAGCTGTTATTATTGAGGATAGGGTTGAAACAGCATAACTAAGAAACTAATACATTAAGATAACGATCAGAAGCATTCTAATATATCCATCTACGGTCGCACATCAACAGGAAGCTCCAAGCATAGACCACTCTCAGACACCAACAAGGGTAAAAAAGAAGTCTGAAGTAAATATCTGTTCTTCAAAGTTATATAAGCTCTAGGTATTATCTAATTTTAAAGCATACATGAATTGAAGGAAGAACACTGGCACAAGCCAATCAAGAAGCTAGCAGCTAGTGTAATGCATCTGACTAACTTTCTTGAAACATCTACAGTCTAACCCTTCTTCCTTATTTAGCTTTGTCCAACAAAGAAAGAGTATTATTCACCACACTACAGAGTAGAAACAACCAATTCAGGAAGGTCCAGGTCCAGGAAGACCTTCCGCGACAACCAATCCAACCAAGAAGACTAGGGGTTCACTCTCCAAGATCTAGAAGATGCCTAATCTACAGTTTTGTGCAGACCCTCTAACCAAGCCAAGCTTCACATTCTTTTCCCGCTGCAAGTGGACCTTTTCATCTGGCATCAACCACAACAACAGAGGCAATCTCTTATGGTGTCCAACATTCCTGCCCAACACAGGCTTGAAAAAACATGACGTGAATCATTATCCATGGTAACCATAGAGAAATTTTGCAACATAACAATCTAAACCCTTTCTAAGCACAACTACTTCAGCATCGATGGCAGAAACTCGGTCCACTATTCACCTTCGGAATTTCAGCATGCCACATTAAATTCCCCCTAAACGGAATCCTCTTAAATTTACAACTGCTCCTCTCCTATTCAAGTTTCCGCTTACTGCAGAGTCTCCACAATAAATGGTGACTTTAGGCGGGGAACCCAGATTCCACACAGTATACCAGATCCTTGGATCAATCTGATAAGATTATTTCTCTTTGGAACACTATTCCTAAAATATGCTCAAACCAATCCATCCAACACTCAAATCCTTACTTAAAAAACAATAATATCATATCCAAAGAATGAAAATCAAAATCGAACAGGGAATAAAAGCAACAGATCCCTCACTTTCAGAAAAGGAATTCCAAAATGATATTAAAATATTCTACCAATGGAAGACGAAAGTTTTTCCCACTTCCTCCTTTTCTCCTTCTTCCCTAAATAGAAATAAAATCTCGAAGAAAAAATAGAGAGACAATAGCATGAACCTCTTCTTCCCTATTCTTATTAGGGATAGGAATAAGGATAAGGATAATATTTAAATTACATAAATAACTTCTGTTTTATTATGTTATATGTTAGTTGTTTAGTTGTTTAAATTGGATGTACTTGTCATCTTGTATTCATGCGTCTATATAGACATTTGTCCAGTAATGAAATCAACTTTGATTCCATAGAATTCCTAATACTCTTCCCTAAATAGAAATCAAATCTCGAAGAAAAAAATAGAGAGACAATAGCATGGACCTCTTCTTCAAGTTAGCAAAGCAAATTCATAGTATAACTGTAGCAGAAAGCATGAGATTAATTCCTAATCCGAGTCTTCAATAAATATGATTTATAATTCTAACAAATGAATTTGCTTACATTAACAAATCTGTTTCAGTTAATTAAGAAAAACATCAGTACCAGAGAATGTGGCATGAGACGGAGTTGAAGTTTTTGAATCTCTCAGTGATAGATCCATGAGTAAATCGCAGAGAGAACTATGAATGAAGAAGAAGAGCGCTTAGTTTGTTTTCGAAGCTCGTTTCCTTATTTAAATTGCGAACAAAAGAGATAGAGGAGAAGAAGGTCATACCGACGGCGGAAGAAGGATGCTGCTACGGCGAAGTCTGGTGGTTATGGCAACAGAAATGAGAGAGAAGGGAAGCGCGCCGGTGATACAAGTTGGATCGCGATTCGCGTCGCGTGCACACAAAGAACGTGTTTCCCGCCAATAGTACTAACGAATTTATATGTCTCCTTTCGCCATGGAAAATTTTGAATTTTTGCTTCCTTCCAGATTTAACTGGAATTTGAAGTACATTTTTTAAAAGAAATAAAAACGTCCCGAAAATGATAAGAAACAAGGAAAGCGCATTTTAGAGGAATAATAAACCGATTTCAGAAATTAAATAGATTTGTGATGCTCGTTCAACATTTTTATTTTTATTTTGAGTTTCTTCGAATTATCTCTCATCCATAGTTGAAGACTAATTTTTTTCAAAATATAGATATTATGCAAGTGAGTTTTGCATTTACTAACAAAATATTTTTGGGAATAACATCTATCTTTTTAAATGATACAAATTTATATTCTTTTAGATCCTAACTGTTGATTTCCGTCCATCAACGATTATAATTTATTGGATTAAAATTATTAATTAATTAATAATAAATTTGTCTCATTAAGTTTGGCCCAATAGACTATAACCGTTGATGAACAAAAATCAACGATTAAGATCTAAAAGGATATAAATTTATATCTTTTAAAAAGAATAGATATTTTTTTCAATATTTTTTCTTATAAACGGTCAGGGATCAAACTTTCTATTAACATATTTAAAGGATTCAACCATCCACCAATGTATCCGGCTTTTTTGGTCAACAGTATTTTTTTTACGTCAATTTTAATTTGTTCCTTTTCTATTGAAATGCCGACATTCTTAATAATTAGTTACTAATGTTTGAAAAGAATTCAGGGATGTATATAATATTAAGTGATAATAAAATATGAGATTAGTATTTTTTATATTATAAGAAATTATTTTATCTTCTTCTTTTTTTGGAGTTACCCAACCATAATTACCTCTTTGAGGCGAGTTGGCTCCCTCCGGTATCCCCACAAGCTTCGACTCTTTGAGCCGGCTATGGACTAATCTGGAGTGCGGGGGTCAGTGATGGCTAAAGGTTCAGCCCCTCCCCAAGAATGCATAAAAACAACCATAAAAACGTGATTATGTATTGTTCTATAAATACATAAAAACGTATGCGACTCATAATTTTATTTTATTTTTTCTTCACATGAGTCTATATGAATCTCATATATTTTTATATGTACAAAAGATAAAATTATCTCTTATAATATAAAAATATTAATTCTTTAATAAGTTTTATAAGAGTTATGTTATAGGAAAAGTAATTATGTAATGTTATAGAGATTCGTTTTGCGTGCTGTAATTTTTTTTTTCTTTTTTCTTCAAAAAGTGTAGGCCACACAAAATATTGTGTGTGTAGGAAAGTTTGTTGTGTCATGTTAAATGACAAATGCAAAACCCTTATTTAATATCTATATTATTCTAAAGTAAAACCGTTTATTGGAAACTTTGATGATGTGTCGCATTCTCCTTGAATCTGAGGTTTGTGTTCACACTTAAAGAAATTTGAAATGTTTCCTGTTATAGTAATTTTTTAAATTATTTTTTAAGCTTAAAATTTTAAAACATCAATTGAAATCCGATTAAAAAACACAATTAAATTAAATTCCCACAATCTCTTTATTGAAAGCTGCGAAAGTTGGAAGCTACAACAATTTATTGAACCTTATTGGGAGTTGAAAAGTTTTTTTAAAGTAGTGCCTTATTTGAAAGTTGATTTTTTTTTTAAAGTTGTGCCTTAAGGTACTTCTCAAATAATGCATTGAGTTTTTGTATAAATAGAGAATTGTTTCTTCTTCTTTTTTGTCTTGCCTGCATTTTTCTTTCTTTCTGTTCATGTCTGCGTTTTTTTTTTCTTTCTGTTCATGTGCGTAGGGATTGTTCTATTGGTATAATTTTCGGTTTCTTTATGAACAAACCCTATGAATTCGTTTTCATAATTTTTTTTATTTTTTTTTATAACATTTTTCATAAATTTTTTACTGACACTGATTTATTCATTTTTTAGGGTGGAAGGATTCATGATACTGTGAGTGGTTATTTACATATTCAGCGTCTTCCACCTTCAATTGTTTCGATCCACGACTACCAAAAGAGATCTTTCTTCACAGTGCTAATTCATTCTTCTTCCACGGAACAGTGAGGGGCTTTATGCTTCCAGAGTCACCTCTTCCAATGACACTCAATCTTTCGAAGAAAAGTCCCTCAATGGTAAATCCTTCATCACGTATTCATTCTTATCTCTTTGTTCTTATTGTTCCATCCACTGAGAAATCTTCACCACCAACCACGGTATTCCTTCCTATCCACAAAATAGGAATGTTTGATCCATTTCTTTCTCGAGAAACAGATTGAGTTTCGTCCCTTTCTCTTGGAAGTGAGTCGGGGAAATTTAATATATGATTTTTCTCTTCATCAAAGAAAGAGATGCATATTGTAGAAGACGACACAACCGCACAATAAAAAGAAGACAAGGAACAACGCAGAACTGAGCAACTCAACAAAGAAAATAATAAGGAAAAATTGAGTGTAAATAAGAATGAATAAAACTCTACTTTATATCTACATTCAGTCATCTACATAAAGTAAATTAAAATCTTAACTTAAAATAATGATACAAAACGGAAAACAAATTCGCAGAAGAAACTTTTTAAGAAATACTTAAGATAAATATTTTAAACGTATATATATATAATATATATATAGTATAAATTAAAAGAGAAAAACAATATTTTTTAAAAGTATGTATAATTAATTATATTATCATGTTGAATTTTAAATTTTAAAATTAAATATATTAGAAAGAAATCAAACTTTTATTCTTTTGATGTAAGAGTGTAATTAACACAATTTCCTATGTCGTGAATGATTACCTAGAAGCTATTACTTGGAGAATGTGCCTAGACTTCTATGCATGTTTCCCTTTATTTTTTGCATAGAAAATTGTTAAGCCTATTAATTTATTATTATGTCTATTGGGAGGGAAAATATTTAATACTTAAAATTTAAACTTTCTAAATTTGAA